TACTTGTTTTTTTCCTTTCTGCGCCCGAAACGTATTAATATTTAATTTATACATACGTTTTCTATATGTTAGCTTCGATGCGAAGCCGAGAATGTATTGTTTTTACAATGATATTTTCATTTTGGTTTCGATGCGTAGCTGAGAAGAAGGCATTGTTTTTATTTTTATTTTTTTGTGGGTGAACCCGCGATGCCTTCTAAGGCTTAGGATCTAAGCCGCCGAACCGATTTCTTTGTGAAGCAAGTCTATAGATTAAAAATCGTTCCCAAAAGATACTTTATTGTGCCAATTATCATTAAAAAAGTTCACACTTTTCACCTAACCTAACCCTTCAAAAAACGAGAAAAATCTATCTGGACGTAGATCAGCAGTGGGCTGTAACATACCCATGTACAGTTTGTAGAAACGTGGTCAAACCTAACCCAGAGGAATGTTTTAACCCAATGAAAAAAAATGGTTTTTCTTTTACAACGATTGTACGTTCCAAAATTCTTTACACAAAAATAAATCGAATGCATTTAGATAGGAACGGTTTTTGGTTGATTGTAGACTTAATGGACTAGAATGATCTTCACGGTGGCGATACATGGTTTACTGTTTAGTGTGGATAGGGACATAAATAACAATGGTTTCCTAAAAACGTCGTCTTGGTCAAGTCATCTTTTAAAAACTCGAAATACTGCTCAATTTTTTTTTTACCAACCCTAATTGTGGCAAATGGCGAATAGACACAACAACAAAGTCTCAGTATAAATCTGCGCGTTTCGCGGACCATGAGGCGGTGGAGGCGTGTACAATATGTAAATTTTCTCTCGGCCCCTCGTTTTATTTATAGAAAATTCCACGGCATACACTGTGCGTGCAATGGCAGCCGTGTGCCGATTCATCAATCGATCCGGCGCCAAGCGGTGTCGTCGCAGTGGTAATAATAGTGGGATAGGACTCGACGGCGAGAATCCTGTAAAAAAAAAAAATAATAATAATCATAATAAATATTATATTATCGTACACTGTACCGTCGACTGAACGCAGTTAACGCGAAGGCGACGCTTGCGAAATTCCACAATCCATCTCAGTCGATACGGTCCCGCCGCGTTGGTGGGTTGATGTCTATTAGTTGGTAAACCACGGTTTGTACTTGTCTCTCTCGTTGCGCGCGTCAAGTATAAGCACGACAAATGACTTCCACAGTGGCTCGCGAGAGGCTGATCGTCGTAAGACCCCGGACCCGCACGGGGTTCCCGTTGGACAGGTACGGGTCCCCCGTGGCCCGTGTGAAAATCCGAGCACCGAATTCTGTACGGCCCAAAAAAAGGATATCTAAAGGTAACGCATTTATAGCTAGATCAATAGACACGGCGATGATGAGCGCAAATCCATTAAAAACAACGTTGAGGGGGGCTTCTATTTGTTTTTCCCCGTAAAGGCCTCCCATCCCATACCCCACTTAGGTTTTAACTCTTAAGGGAACGTCTCATCGATGATTTTCAATGGTAAAACTGATAAAAGTACCATTCAAAGTGATTTTATAACCATAATAAAAAAAGATATAGGACAAGATTTCCAAGGGAACCTCGTGTGCGTTTTTCAAAATATATATCGGGAAAAAAGTTTCTGTAAAAAAACAGGTTCCTTGTATGAAATCTTGTGCTCTATACGTTTTTATTACAGGCATTTTATTTGTAAAATTACTTAGGGGGTTACCATTTTCTGTTTTGCGTGGAAATAAAAACCGCTGTCAAGGATGCTGTGATAGTTGGAAAAATAAATTAACTATCAAAAAAAAGTTTTAATTACTAAACTAATAATTACACACCGCAGTTTAACCTTTAAATTAAGATTTTTCTAAAAATTGCCTATACCTAACTCCTTAACAAATAAGGGGTATGACGTTCTTTTAGCGAATTCATGGTTTAATGTTCAAACTTTATGTTAACAATAATACGCGGCATGCATTGCAAAATATGGTGTCTCTAAAAAATATTGTACTCGACCCATTCATGTTATATTTTAAAATAACATTCACTGAAACTACGATTTCGTTCTCCAAATTTGGTGAAAGGAAACAAATTTTTTTTTTAATTAAATAAAATTCTAAATATACCTATACTTTTTCTGCATTTATACTTAATTTCAAATAATCTACTAAAAAAAGTCGATTGTTTTGATAAATATTTCTCAATAGGTATATTAACAACAATTTAGAAATCCAAAGATCTAATAAGCAATATTCCCAAATTTTGTATAAAATAAAATACTAAATAACTAGCAAATCTGCGCATTATTCGAATAAAAAGTTATCTAAATAATCATCTAGGCAACTAATTGAAATTATTCCAATAACTTTCTATTATGTTTTTCAAATTACTTTAAGTGCTGTTATTAACCAATTTTTTTTAACACGATTTTGTATAAATATATTACATAATATAAAAACAATATGTTACTATAAAATTATTTTTTATGTGATAAAACTTATGAACAAATTATTTATTATTATCGATAAACGTTAACATACAAAAAAAATATCAAAACCCCTATCTCTAGAAGGGGTTGAACAATTTTCTTTATTTCGCTTTGTTAGGTGTAGTTTTAGAGCATAAGGCCTTAAAATTAGACTGAAGCTATAACGTATTCGATTTCCTTTTAAATTTTTAGTTACATTTTTTTTTTTTTTAAGAAAAACCAAAACAAAAGTGGAAAATTACACGTTGACCGCAGTTATATATCTAGGCTGCTATGTGAGAGTAAAATTAACAGTTAACAGGTATCTGAAAAATAGTTGCATTATGTTGTTAAGTTCGCCACTGGCTGAAGACATAAATTCAATAACTTACTTACATTGAAAGCTATAAGCAAATAAACATTTTCGCACTTTAAAAAAAAATTGTTCATATTCTCTATTCTATTGAGGAATGCTACACTAATTTATGATAGTAAATATTTATATTACCAAATCGCGTTTTTAATGTCCATTGTTGTTTCGAGTTGCTCAATATTTTGTAATATCCCCAGGCCTAATACATTTGTCAGTAAATAGAGTCGGTTTTGAATAGTTTAAAAAAATTTATATTAACATAATATAATGGCTTGTTTGTAATATAAAGTCGACGTTCCTCGTTTTTATCATTATTATTATTTAATATTATCTAGAAAATACTGAGCTATCATTCTTAACCTAGTTTATTGCCTCGATTCAAGTAAACAAACATTATGCTCATATTTATCTTCGGTGGGATGCTGAGTGGGTAGTAATATTTAACAATGATGTGTTTTTGTTCATAACTGAAGTCTGAAAATTGAAATCTCGGATGTACCTACTTATAAATAAATAAAAAAAAAAAAATTATACAATTTTTTTACATTTTTATTTTATTACTCACATCCAACACATGGCGCGTGTAGCGCATCTGACCTTGTGAGACCTATTTATGTACTTACAAGTTAAACATGTTTTTTAATATTTGTAATTATTGTTTTAATTAAACAATAATCTGACCAACCGTTGTTAACGGTTATTAATTAATTTCACTAACGATTACCGTTTTGAATTTTAACGTGAACAAACTTTCTTGGTACACATTCAAAGTTGATTTAACGGCAATATTCACATTATGAAAACAATTACGTCGATTAAAACATTAGTGTGCAATAATAATAATTTTTAGAAAAAAAATATCACATTTTTAGGTAAAATAATTATTTTATTTACAAACAATTATTAATGTCTTATAGGTAATATACAAAAAACAAGTTTTGTATTAAAATAAGCAATACGTCAAAAATCGTGTTGAATAATAAATTATTTAATTAATAAATATAAATTGAGTATTTATACATTATAATTACATTTTTAAATTTCAATAATCAAGTTAAACAATTAATAGTGGTGGCAACTTAGTGACTTAATTGAAAAGTTTTTTTCACTTTTATTCACTTATTTCATAACTAGTCAGTATTGTCACTCTTTGTTCCAATTTGGAATATTTTTTTTAAATATATGAGACGATTTTATGCCGATTGGTTTGAATTGGTAGGTATAGGAATTAAGTACACACTCATAACAATAGTATTATTTATGTACACCTTAAGAAATCCAATGAATATGAATAAAATGTTTCATCAAGATCAAGGTTTCTGAAATTGCGCTAAACCATGCCAAACTCTACAACTTTTTATCAGCAATAGAATGGCTCGAATATGTCTTTACTCTGTATTAAAATTACTGAAGGCTCTACAACCTGCTTGCATTCAAGAGTTTTTAAATATATTTTTTTTATGTGTCCAATTTGGGAAACGTTGCGATAATTTTCTTCTGTCGTAAAATTTAATTAAAACGAATACATTTTTCGCTTAATTCGTTTCCTAGATCGTTAAAAGTATTTATTGACCGTTTTATAAAGTTTGTCAACAAACTAAATAAGGCTTTTAGTTCAGACTAAAAGACTGTCAGCGTAAATAATTCTGACAATATACTTTTATATACTATGACAAAAAGTGATCTAATCTCTTATCAGCGGTCTCTTATTATTAGTCCCTTATCAGCTGAATGGGCTAGCCTAAAAAGTATATTAAGCCTATTAAAAACTAATTTTAATTGAAATATTTAACTTTATATTTTGGAAGTTATTGTTGTGTGAAAAATGGAGAAAAACTTAACACTTATTTTACCTATGAACAAATTATCTGTTATTTTCTTACCGGAAATCCGGCCTTTTAAAATGGATTTTCAACTGATAGGTATAATTTATATAAAACTCGAAAATAAGAAAAACCATACTACATGAAAAATTCCACCGAGGTGGCAGAAAAACGTTTTTTGTTACTTCTCTATTAATGAGAAGATAATAACTGAAATAATGAAACTGTGCGTTCGTGTTTGGAACAATAAAGTATATTTTATTATAATTGATAAACAAAAAATGTGAATATTTGTGTTGTTAATTTACAAATTATTCCGTTAAATGGGTATTAATAATTAATATTGTATGTTTTCATAGATCTGAACAAAGACAACAAGACTGAAACGGTACAAAGCCATTACGATTCGACAGACGTGAGTTACGAACAGCAGCAACAGCAATCACATGTTGTCGAACAGCCTAGCAGCTCGAAGCCTGAACGGCCTAATTCGCTAACCGGGCCCGGTGGTACGCTGACCAGACGTCTGTTCTGCTACCATTCGAACACCATAGCCAATCAATCTTTACTAGCGGCATCAAGCCAGTCGCCGACTAGGCCTCCCAATTCGCTTTTACCGTCAGGTATTTTTTTGATTTTGTCAAAAAACTTTAACTGTAAGTTTATCTATTCAAATCTTAATTTGCTCTTAATTTATTTCTTAGGTTGTGAATCCCCCAAACTTAATTGTGATAGAGCGTCGTCGATGATTATCACCGGACAAAATATGTCTCAGATGAGCGGCGGCGTGCGAACCGGCTACTATCATTCCAGTCCGAGAACGATGTACAATCATTCTGGACATCCATCGTCGTTAATGCTTTCCGAACTACCTGAACCACCTATTCCCGTGTCGGAAGTTGGTCCCATTCCCCCGCCGCCAATGTTTAGTTCACCAGCTCAACAATCGTATTTATATCAACGTAAGAAAAGCATAACACAATTAATATTAATTCCTCCCCTTCTTCTGAAAAATAAATAATTATTACACTCTTAATGTGTCATTAGAATTGTTTCCTTATATCTCATTTCTCTAACAGATAATAACGATCGTCAAAATCATCACCATCATTCTAATGATAAAAATGACGACGACGATATGGAGATGGTGACCAATGAGGAAGATTACGACGACGATGATTACGATGAAGAAGAAGAAGACGATGAGGACGACGAAGAAGAAGTCGATGACGAAGACGATTCAAACGGTTTCAGGACTCGCAATCGCCATAGCTACCCTAGCCGCGTTGAACAGATACCAGCCAAAGAGCCCGCGTTCAACGCACAACCGCTGAAATCAGCACTGAAAAAACCATCGACTCCCAACCAAAACCCACAAGAGTCATCGCAGACAAAGTAAGTACAAACAAATCTATTAAAAAAAAAATTAATGACAAAGTACAGATTTAAAAAAAAAATGAAAGCTAAAACTAAATTGCATAAGTTGAGGTTAGAGATAAAAAAAAAAAGAAATATAATTTGTTCAATTGCCAATTATTTGCCAATGACTTGGCTCTTGATTTCACTATTTATTTTTTCGATTTGTTTTTTACGGCTGCATAACAGAAGGGCTCCGCTTAAACCTAGGATACGTTTTTGGTAAATTTTTTCGTTTAGTCTGTTAAATTGTTGCTTATTTCATGTTTGCTTTGTTTTTTAGCGGGGCCAATCGCCCGGTAGTGTTTGGGATATCGCTACCTTGTTCTTTACAAGAGAACAAAGAAAACGCCAGGCCCAGCGAGTCTAGCGACGATGACAGTTCGGGTGACGGGCCTATATTATACCGGGACGACAATATAGGCAGCAGTAAGTTAAAATTAATAAGCTAACTTACTATTGATTGTTTTTGAGTGATTATTATGTTTATTAATCAATCCTCCACTTGTAAATAGATCGGTTGGCTGAAAAAATTGCGAGAAAAGATAGTTTAGCTATAAAGTTGGCCTTACGTCCTGATCGACAAGAGCTGATAAATCGGAATATTCTTCAAGTTCAAAGCGATAAAGAACGATTAGAAACTAAAGAAGTGATTGGTGCTCGCCTAACAAGGTACCAAAAATTAATGATTTAAACATTAATAAGATAAAAATAAAAATTTGTTTTCATATTTTTAATAATAAATTATTATTATCGTTTGTAGACGATTGAGCATGAGACCAACACAAGAAGAACTCGAAGAAAGAAACATATTGAAAAGTAAACAAATTTAATTTTTGTACATTTTTTTAAAAAGGAAAATTTTAACAAACTATTATCCAAATAATTTCAGAACAAACAGCAGCGGAGGAAAAAAAATTAAAAGAAGAAAAAAAACGAATGTTGTTGAGAAAACTGAGTTTTAGGCCTACGGTTGACGAGTTGAAAGAGAAAAAAGTAAATTACAAAAAAAATATTGAGGCTTTGCACCCAAATCGAGTTACGGTTATCAATACTCATGCCCTTAAAGTTTGATTGAGCATATAGTAGGTACTAATAAAGTATAGCCTGATGTGATGGCAAAGTGATAATTTAAAAAAAATTACAATCCTCAACTTAAATTTTTAAAAGCATTTCAAACAGTTGATGCTTTTGAACAAATAATATTTTATTGATAATTGTAATATTTTTAGAATACGAGTTATGGGTTATTGAATCGAGCTCAGGGTGTAACGGGTCTTGCAAAGCCTTGTTACTTTTAGAAGATTTCTTATATAGAATAATAATATTGTCATTATTAATTGAAATCAACTTGCAGATTATCAGATTCAACGATTATATAGAAGTGACGCAGGCGCACGACTACGACCGACGAGCAGACAAACCGTGGACGCGATTAACAACCAAAGACAAAGCAGCTATACGAAAAGAACTCAACGAATTCAAAAGTTCAGAAATGGAAGTTCATCAAGAAAGCAAACATCTCACGAGGTAAATAATTGCCGTTTTCCACTAATAAAAAACTAATTTAATCTTAATCGATTGAGAAATTAAGGTGCTTTTTTAATTAATCCGATAATAATATAACAAAAATTACCAATTACCGACCGACAAACAAACAAACGTTAACGGTATCATTTAATTTTTTTTTTCTTTATTCCTTTTGAAGCAATAATAATAGTAAAGCAATTAAGTATGAAGTTTAAAACAAAAACAAATAGGTATCCATAATATAATTTTTGTTTTTATATATTATAATATATACAACCTATTTACCTATTTCAAATTATTTCAATAATATTTTCATTTGATATTTTTCAGATTTCATCGGCCATAAATCATCATCGCATTGTTGTTTTTTTTTTACTTTATGTATACATATAATTACAAAAAATTTAGCGGACATACTCTTTGAATTTTTTTTTTTTTATAGAATAAAAATAGATGCAAGTTATGTAATTCCAAACGGGAAAACATACATTTAAACTTGAAATGGTAATTATTAAAAAAATTAATCCGCATAAAAACGATCAGACAACTTTTTTTACTTCGGCCAGACTAGTAAACATAATATAATTAACATTATAAATTACCATATATATATATATACATAAAAAAAAATTTAGGTTATCCGTATTTTGACATAAAGCTTGTGTCCGTCCACATATATTAGCTATTTGTGCAATATATATACATACATATATATATATATATATATATATATAATACGCAATAAATGTAATTAAAAAAATTCTATATTAAAATTATTACTTCTGCAGCTTTTACATTCCCCATTTATTTTGTCCTACCCCACCTTCTTTTTTTTTATATTATTTTTATTATGTAATCGTTTTATGTCCTTTTTTTTGTTAAATCATCGAGTTTAAAATGTGAAAAAGTAACTCGTTTATCGTCATAATTAATAATTATCTTATACCACATTTGAAAATAAAAGCTCATTGTTTTGTTTGTTTTTTTTTTAATCTTAACGAAAAATTACTTATATATATATTTAATATTATTATTTAATTGTATTTGTATTTAGATATATATAGATATTTATATAAATATTTAAAAAAAAACAAGTTTTATTTATTTTTTCCATTAGAATTTTTTTTTTATATATATTATTTTTACTTTGTATATAATAATCATAGGTCGTGTTTTCCACACATAGTAAAAAAAAACATATTTTCTTCCTATACCAATTATTATTTTGTAGTATACAATATTATTATTATTTACTTGTAATACATTTTTTTTTTTTTTTAATAACAATTATTATTTGTTTATTTATATTTTCTACTCTCACCCACACTCTAAAGATGCATTTTTGACGTAAACATAACAAAGCAAAATTTTTTTCCTACTATGCAATGTGTATTTTGCATCAATTAACTTTGTGTAAGTGTTACCAACTACATAATCATAAATTAATAGATTACTTAAATTATGTCAAAAACTATATATAACCCCTCTCCCTTCCCTTTAAAAAAAAAAAAAATTAAGTTATGCATAAACAATTATAACAAAAATGTTTTTTAAAGCATTTACTTATAGTATAAATTTTGAAAAAAATCATAGAATGTTGACAGCAGAACTATTTTCTCCCAATTCGAATAGAAACTATTTGTTTTAATTTCTTTTTTAGACGCACTTGTTGAAATTGGATATCATATAAAAGATAGCAGACAACTTTAAAAAAACACCAAACAAAAGTTATAGCGTACAAAAAAATATGTAGGTACATTATTACATATTAATAAGTAAAATAGAAAAAACAATTCCACGTACAACAAAAAAAAAGAATTTATTTATTATAGAATTTCCATACATTAACAACGGTAAACAATCCTATAAATATGTAAAAAAAAGACAACAACAAAATTAAAATACTGGCTTATTAGATATAATCTTTAGAAACTATCTTAATTGCACAATACTAATCACGTGTTAACGAGCGGAACATTGTTATTTTTAACCGAAAGACCAAATGCGATAAGAAAAAAATATAAATCCGCGACAAATTTTTTTTACCATTAAGTAGATATTCTTTATTGATTATCATTAAATAAAAATATATCACCAGCCAAATTCTCTGGGGGGCGTTAAAGGTAGGTTTTGACGATGCACGGCAACAAACGTCTGCGACACTCCGAGCACCGAATGATTATTGGCGCTGAAGTAAATTAAAATGTATTTGCCGGGATTGAGCACTGACGTTTCTGAAAATTTCAAACAGACACTTTTGGAACCATCTGGAAACACTTCCGGGAGGAACTGAACTCGGCATATGGGCGATATCGAATTAAAGTTGGTCGGATCGCTAATGGAGTCCTCTTCCGGATCGATGGTTTCCGACGGTAAATAAACGTAAGATAAATAATCGTTTAGACTAGTGAAATTTTCCTGTAAACGGTAATATTATAATTTCAACAAAATATTATTGTGTTAACCAGTAACAATAATAATACGATAATCGTATGGACACTTACGTTGTAAATACCGATCCAGTCGTTCACATTAGGAGTAAATCCTTTGACGCGAAGAGTGACTTCGTTTTCCGATTCCAAAAGCCATTCTTGAATTGGATGGAATACGACGGTCTGAATGTTGCTCTCCACACAATTTTTATTACTTATCTAAATTGTAGGGAAAAATAAAAAAAAAGTTAGAATTTTAAATAGCTTAGGCATATTTTCTCAAAAAGAATTTTATTCATAATTTAAATATTCTATTATAAAATTGTCTTTTAGAATACAGTTTTTTACACAAAAATAGGTATATAAAAAAATTTAAAACAAAACACTACCTGAACGCGAGATTCTCCATAAACTGGTTTATGATCGCTTAGAGTTATAGAATCTATATGATTATACGACATCACATCCAACAAGGATTTACCTTGTGACGAGGCATTAGTTTTGTACAATATACGATCCGTCCACGCGGGCCTTCTCCTATAGAAAAAAATGCACATATAATATATGAAACTTGTTGCCAGAAAATAAACTAGTAAATAAAAACAAAATCCAATACTTGAGATCGTATTGACTGTGGCCGACTAAAAATCGATAAGTCGGTGGAAACATTGGCAACGGTTCGATAAAGTTTTCGAAAGCTTTTCCGTTTTCCATGACTGTACGCAACTCGTCCTGCGTCCAAAGGTCAGTCAATGTGTTTGCTGATCGACGAGTCAGTTCTACGCTGCTAATAATCTGTGCTATTAGTTCGGACGAATAAGCTCTGCTGTCGTCCAAGCGAAAGTTCAAATCGCCAATCCAAAACACATAACTAAAACACAAAATATAATTAAGTAATACAATTTCACGAAATTCTACAATTGGACAAAAGTAGCGTCTTTTAAGAGTTTGACCAATGTCAATTTTATAACAAAAAAAAAATATAAGCTCAACGCCTAAAACATCTTTTGAAATAGTCGTTGTTAATATAAAATATACATCACTTACTCGTGACTTAAAATTGTTTTCCTGGACAAACCAAATAATTGACTATTGACGATAGTGCGATAATTATTCACTCTGTCGTTTAAGTATTCTTCGTGTGCCGCAAAATGACTGTTCACGATACATATCGTAGTATTGTATATTTTAAAACTGAAACTAACGGCTCCTTTATTTCCCTATAAAGAAATAAAAAAATGAATAATCAGAATCTTAAGAATTACAAGCATTTATAAAAAAAAACTACAAAATTGTAATTGTTTACCAAAAAATTGAGTGTCTTACACTAAATGGACCAACCGGGTGGCACAAAAGGAATGCATGTTTTTCAAGCAATTGAAACTTTATTGTTTTATTATTATTGTTACCAAGTAGAGTGATATCATTTGAATACTATTTTTTATTAAAATTAGATTTTTAAAAGAGTTTATTCATTATTTGATAGTTTTTTTTTTTTAAAAAGACATCAATATATTCTTTATTCATTACTTAAATAAATAGGAAAAAAATTGTGTTTTGTTTAAATTTTAAAGTAAGAATAATTTAATATTTAATCATTATAAATTTAGCACTAATTATAAATGTTATACATTTTTTTTATTGATTTCACATAATTTTTAAAATTTTCACATTGTCTTAAACTAAATTAAATCAAAATAAAATTATCAATACAAACATTATTGTTTAACTGATTAATCTTATTATTGCCAGTAACTTCTTTATTTTTCAAAAAAAAAAATAATAACATGAAAATTTGATTACTGATAAACCTAGTTTTTAACGGTATTCATTTAATATTATTCAATTATTTGCAAATAAAAATACACTAGGAATAATGAGAGTATAATAATTGTTTGAATGAATAATTATTTTTACCGATAACAACATATAGTTTTATGAAAAGTTACCGTACATTATAGTTTATTGAATTAATGAAATAGAAATATAATATTCAAAATTATGGCTGAATTTATAACGATTAAAGAGAATGAATTATTTTTACTTTAACAGTTAAACAGAAAAACAAATATTAATAAAGTCAGAACTTATTATTCTTATAGTTGTTAGTCAAAACAACTTCACTCGCAACAATATCAATTAAGTAAAAAATTTAATTTTATCAAATAAATATTGATATTAATAAAATTACCCATAGACCTAAAAGACCAGTCCGTGTTTCCGACGTTTCCATATGCGTCAAATGGGGAACGTGTTTTCGTCTGCAAAATACATTGAGTAACAGTCCAACCATTTTCACAGTACGTATTTTTACATAATCAAAGCCGTTCAATACGTCTCTAAAAAATGTACAATTTAAACATAAAACAATACCAGCTAAATAATGTAAAATGATAAGGTGATAAAAATGTTATTTGTTAAATACCTAATTGCCGTGGTCCAGGGATCATCGAATACAGAGTCTAACAATAAGTTTTGCGGTTGTGATTTGATTTCTTGGAAGCTATAACATAACATAAAATAAAAATGAATTTGTTGTAAAATTACAAGTTAAGGTCAAAACTACATAAAATATAATGATGACTTTCCGTTTCCCATAGTACAGAGGTAACAATAATTAAATATTAAATAGACGGTCCACACCGTATGTTGGCAATTAAAATGTACATATAAAACATATAACGACATAATAAAGAAGTTGCATAAAATATAATAAACAACAGTATTATAATTTATAAAGTAAAACTAAGTTTTGCGCAAATGCAAAAGTTATTTTTTATGCAACGTGTAGTAACTAAAACGTATATTAATTTCAGTGTTTGTTTTTTATTTAAACAATATGTCAATGACTAAAAATAAGTATTGGTACTTTGCAAATATAAAACAAATTTCCAAAAACCCAGACAATCGAAAACAAACGAGCCCTTGCCGCCAAAAATACGCCATCGAGTGCAATATTAGTTACTATATTAGTAGGATATTTGGTATTTGAAACGAGCCTTTAATAACTAGGACAAATAAATTATGCAGCTACACGTCAAAAGTATTTTTTTGTTAAACACCAAAATAGTATACAATATATACACGAACGTGCTGTTTAAAATTGTGCCTATAATTATGCATTTTAATTTATTATATTCAATATTTATTAAAACAAATGGTATACCTACATTAGAAAAATATTAAATTGTTCGACAAAAACTAAATACAGGACTGTACTTCAATTAAAAAGCAAATAAAGGAGAATTAATGTTAGAATAAATATGAAAATATAAATGTTTATAAGGCATAGGGAAATTTACTACACTTTTTTCGGCAAACGAAACATACGACTCTTGGCAACGGCCATCTCAATTAATGGAAACATATCAATCCAAGAAGCAACTAACCCGAATACACAAAAGTCTGGTAAATTTTTTTCGTCTTGGCTTTCCCATTGTAATAAATTAATCAACGATCGGTTCGGAGATTTCGAAGATACATTGTAAGTGACAACGTAAAACCTGAAAAATAAAAAAAGTCATTAAGTATTTAAATTTTTTTAACGTCTTGAAATACAAGTTATTTACTTACGTAAATTGATCCATATCCCTGCTTCCATGTGAAACGAGCGTGCTCTTCTGACCTTCAATTTTCATTATTTACAAGTCTTATGATTTAATGAAATCACCTTGAATATTGGAAGAAAAATTTAACTTTAACATACTGTTTGTTAATAACAAATACATATTCCTAAACTATAAATGTTTTGTACTATAAATTGGTTTCTAACTGCTTTAAAAAATGTTTTAACAGTTTTCAATAACAAGGCCAACAAAACGAATGATAAGACGGAATAACATGATGGAGAAAAAAAAATATTTTATACATACTAATAATGGTAGGGAGACATTGAATGAATCACTATGGAACTTTCTATTTCGTTAGGTATAACTGTATAAGCCTGCCACTTCCACAGCCTCCATTTTCAAACACGAATTAATACACAACAGGTGACGAGACAAATTTAAAAAAACGAATAAACCTGTTTTTGTCGAACAATGGCTAAACATTTAAAAATCAGTCATTGTACACCCGTTTTCCGAGTAGAAAAAGAGAAATAACTATTCTAATTGTTTTCATCACCAAATCGATGCGTTTAAAATTAAAAACTATTATGTTCAAGGAAAACCGTTATCATGATTATCATCGTCGCCCTTGATAACGACCTGACCTGCCATTGGGGTTTTATTATCAAAAAAAAAAAAAAATGTTCATGTCACGAACTAGAATTAAAAATTAAAATTAATTTTAGTCCGTGTTCTGTGTTGCTAATATATAATTATTGAAATAATAATGGATTAACTAAGTAATTTACTCGTAAAATAGATAAATTAGCTAGCATAGGCGCAACTAGACCTACATTTTAGGGGGTGCTAAAATTATGTATAGGTACCTGACTAAACATGATTCTTATCTTCAAACCGTTACAAAAATATTCTAAAATAAAAAATTTGTACACAGTATGTATGTACATTTTATCTGAATTTTACTCAAACATTGTATGTATAATAATTCAATGTCAAGCAATTACAGTGAAGCTAATATTATAATTAATTAATTTTTTTTTTTTTAATCGTACTACCGATAAACATTCCCACGGTCTTCCCGATTGAATAAAATTATATATATATATATATGTGTAATTATTAATTATCATTGTTTTGAATAAGTAATAATTATTTTCATTAGTATTGTTTTTAATTTCCAATAAACTCGGAGTAGCATTTGCAAGTGGCCTCCGAACAACAAAAATCGCTCATCATAGACAAACTCGTTTTGAAGTTTGCATTATAATACCTAATATACATTAATTATACCTGAATTACACACAGACATTTTATGTGAATTTAATAAAAACGACACCTGTTTATTTAACGCGACTATTTAGTATTTAGACTATGATAATTCAATGTCAAGCAATTACAGTGAAGCTAAATATTACCAAAATAATTTTGGTCAATCATACTACCAAAATACTTTCCCATGGTTTTCCCAAATTAATAAAATTACATATGTATTATATTATGTTTTTTCTTTTTATAATTATTATAGTTTTTAATAAGTATCTAGGTACTTAACGGTCGGTATTTGCTAATAGTGTTAAATGTTAACACTCCCATCACCCAAAACTTTGACTTTTCCCCTTTTTTTCTCAAACAGCGCAGAATTATTTGTGATAGTTGTTTTTTAGATTTTGTAAAAAAAATTGTCTATGCCTTAAACATGGATAATGGCGGTATTATGAATAGTATAAATATTTTAAATACATTTTCGCTTTTACAATGCTTTAATCTATATTTAATAGGTGTTTTCCTACCATTTGCAGATTCGCATCGAAATTTTTATCATTAAGTAATTTTATCACTTTCAGCATAATTTATTAATTCCTGCAGACCTGCGACCCACCCCGCCCCCACTATACTGGCTTTTAAAATTATCTTTAACGCATTCAAACGTTTAAAACCCTAAATTGGCTGCAGGAAGCATTTCTGTTGAAAAGTCTTCAAATGAAAAATGATCAGCCATCACTTTAGGCATTTTTCGCAAACAACAAAATGGCTACAATTATTAAAAAACTAACTTCGATTTCTTATATAATTAATACTACAAAAAATTCGTCACGATTCGAGTTCAAATACTGCCCATAACAAACAATATTATACTGGTTGTATTAAGGACATCGACTACACAGTCTGTACATTATATCGAGTTTTATTAACGACCGCACAATGAAGTAAACAGTGTAATAATTATATTATTCTTTATTGTGACAACTAACAAACCGAACGATTGCCGTACACGATCATTTATTCTAGTTTTTGTCTTATTCTCAACGGGTTTGTTTTGTTACCATAAGTGGGGGGAGGGGTATGAAACTAATCTGGTTGATTACTAAAATTTGTGTTTTCATGAAAAAAAAAAATGAAATTTATGTATTTTCACTTGTACACAACTGACTAACGTCTAGATAATTTTAAACAAATTAAATTGGGGGGTGGTGGAAATTACTAATTAAAAAAGTGAAGGAATGGCTTCCCGCCCTCTGCCTATACTTTGTACACAACTCGAGAAAATCGAAAACTACAGTAAACCGAATTTATATTATAAAAAATTAAAATTGTCAATTTTTTTAAATTCTAAAATTAATATTTTTTCACTTACCTTTTTCGCTTATAGCTGTTTATCCACGAGAATATAGGTATATAGTACCCCGACTATTCACACGGACATCGTATTGTATCGAATAATAAACTATTATAATTTATATATATTTTAACGTTCCACACAATATAAAAAAATTTGGCTAAATTTTTTTCTTGTAAAAATTTAATACCTACGATTTTCCGTTTATTACAAATATATGGAATTTTTTAATCGATTATTTATATTTAATAATTATACTCGATACTCCAATACGTTAAGGCTTTTTTTTTATAGCAAACGATAATAAATAGGCCGCGAAAACATATTATTTTAATATAATGTTCTGAATAGCATAATACAAACAACAAACAGAATAATATAATATGATGCACGCTCGTTTACTATTTCGATTAAAGTAACAACTACAAACTAAAACGTACTACGTACAGCTGTGAATAGCGTGTTGGCTTACAATGTACCTACATAAATATACATAAGTATATATTAACCTTGAGTGGATTTTAAGAACCCGTATACTGAACCTAACGCGATAATTAACAATTAACAGTTCATTAAACTGATTTTAAAAAAATGTGTTGTTTTTTTAAATATTATGCTACTTTTTATTATATTCGTTGGTTAACTCTGAAAAGGTATTATATAATATTTTAAAACGTGTGTGCTTTTTTTTATTTCAGCTTCTATGCGCAAATTTAAATTTTATTAATTTAAAATACAAATTTAATTAGAACTAATTATTTAATATATTGTTGTAATAATAATTTTTAATATTATGAGTTATAAATTATAATTATTATACTCAGTGGCGTATTTTTTTTGGGGGGAGGGTGTCTGGACATCCCCCTGGCTAAAAAAAATGTATTATACATGACAAATTTGTATTAAATAATATACAACAAATAATTACATTTTTTCTTATAATGAAACCACTTATTTAACAATACATAGACAAATCGTAGAGACCGACGATGTACTGCAAAAACTAAATTAAAAAAGATTTCTTCGTTCTATAATTTAATTAATTTAGTTTTTGTTATTAAAAAAAAAAACAAAAAATGAATATAACCAAATGTTCCGAGTAAAAATCTTTAATTTATAATTATACAAACTATTATAATATAAATATTTACTAACATAATTAAGTTTTTAGTGGTCAGTATCGAATGAGGGGGGGTTGCTTAGATTGAGAGTATAAATGAGAACAAAAAAAAAAAAATTGGACACTCCCCCCCCCAACATTTTTGTTCAAAAATACGCCCCTGATTATACTATTATTATTACCATATCATATATTATTATTATTTAGTATCATATCAAATTCAAAAAATGCATGCTTTTTTATTTATCTTCTTCCTTCGATTTATTAACCACCACATGGCACATAACAATAATGACATTATCGGACGATATATTTATGACTAAAATGAGCTGTATGTATTGTTAATTTGGTAGACAAAAAAAATATTTTGTTCTGTGTATTGAAATATGTTTCATGTGATTAATTAGATTAAACAAATTTCCCCTGTGTGTCCAAGACCCGCCTAAGACGCTGAACAGATTTTTTCGTGTAAATCTATGTTTTTGTTTGCTTGCAGTAACCATATTTATGAAGAGTCAATTTTTGACTACATCCAGAAGACCTTTGTTCATTTATTAGAAATAATTCTTTGGCATGTGGGCAAAATAAAAGGAAAAGTCAAAGTTGTGGGTTTCAATTGGATTTGTGATAAAAAAAATTAGTACTATAGTATTACTTGGTTAATAAATTTAATTTTGCTGAAGTATTCAGTAACACAATATTATTAAAAATATTCTAAAAGCAATTTTTCTTATTGTATAATATTCCAATTAAAACAGGTTAAATTTTTGACTGACAATAGAATTGTTACAAGTGTTATTATATTATTTAACGCCCAAAGGCATTAAGTATAGTTGGATAAGCAATTTTTTGAAGGACTGAGTAGTTTTAGTAATCATCTAGAACTATACAAAATAATAGCTTAGAATACTATTTAAATCAAAATTTGGCTGATGTTTGAAAAAAAAAGTAGAAAAAAATATTGGTAAAACTCAGTTTCCAAAAACGTTATTGAATATCACAATTGTACACATTTAGAAATAAGTCATGTTAATATTAAATGTTTAGAGATGTACTTTGAAGCTAAAAAACAGTTCACTTCCTCGCCCAAGAGATTGTTTTTGTTCAATAAAGTGCTAATTAATAATGTAATTAGAGTTGGACGTAAATATTTTTATCTTTGTTGTGTATAGATTGTAAATGCATTAACTAAGCAATATCACAATCTTATTCACTATATATTTTTAAGAGTACCTATTGACTGTCAAACAATAGAAATCCCATGTAAAATTGTAACACAAATGTTGCGCTAACAACAAACGTTAAAATACGTCAGATATTACTCATTTATACAATGAAGAACTATAAAATTCCATATCAAGTTATTACTGGCATTAACATAACTTAAAAAAAATAAAAATAATAGCTATGAATTTATTTTCAAACTGAATTGTTTCGAATATAAGGATTTCAGTTTTAAATAATCATTCCCAATTGAATTTAAAAAAATGCTCTACAAGTTACAACATAGCATTTCGTTAACAAATAATACTTCGAGGCATTGATTGATAAATAAAAAAAAAAAACACAATTAATGGTAAAAAAAAAAATGTACATATATTTTTTTTAAATGATGCATCCTAATATAATATTTTGTTTGTTTATCGTTAGTTGTTTAACTTATACAAACAAAAATCACATTTTATTTAAATATATATTTAGTATCTTTGTATCTTTTCTTACATAGGCTAAGTAATGATTTAACAAAATTTACATCTATATAGTTAGACATTTTTCTTACATAAATTTGGGTTCTGTAACAAATTTTTTTCTTTATTTTTTTAAATATTTATATATATAATATGTATGTATAGATGAAACCGATCACCTTGGTGAAAAAAAAACCTAATGTATAAATTATCATGAGAAGAACAAACGATAGATAATTTTTTTAAAAACAGCCGTCAAAAAGAATGAATAAAAAAAAATTGTCTAAACAGAACTAAAACTAAAGATAAAGAACAGTCTGGGAAAGTTAGTATTAAATTAATAATATAATAATAATAATTATGTTCTTTTCAAAAAATTAAAAATTAAATTTACTTAGGAATATGACTTAAGTTACCCGTTGAGTTTTAATGCAGATGCGGCCAAATACTTCCGCTATATCGGATACCATTCGTTAAAACATACCAATTTATACCTACTGATTTCATCACAAACCATGCACGCAACGGCATCAATTAAAATCTCAGGGTTTTAAAGTAAAGAAATGTAAACTATGTACAGGTAATTTTTCCATAGGAAAATTACATTTTTTTTTTAGTTTTTGTTTTTTTTGTTTTGTTTTTAAGATGTAAAGGAAATTTACAGCAACTTCAAATTTTGACAGAGCGACCATCAAGCTACTGTAAAAAAAAAAAAAATAAAGAATAAAAGACATGCAAATACTTTCAATCAATTGTTAAAAATTACTTAAAAAAAAAAAAATCATGATACAAATTCTTTAAAAAATAATGTTAAAACCAAGATATCAGTAGAGATTGCATAATTAAATAAATAAATTTTTAGTTTTGCCTGAAAACTACCAATTAAAAAAAAAAGTGAGTATATTTAATAAATTCTCAGGCAACATTAACCTAGTAGGAATAGAAATAATCATGAAATAACCTATCATCTATTCTGTGACTTATTTACAAATGGAGTGCGCTAGGAAAAAATTTGCATCCACAACTATTTATTCGATTACTATTCCCCATAAAAGAAATTTTTTAAAAAAAATTACTCCATAAATTTATTGAAAACAGGACAATAGATAGTATATGCGAGGTGAAAAGGGACCTCTTGCCGCAAAGCCTAAAATGGACATGTTATACGCTTGTTTATTTTTGTGTCATATAACATAGATTTATGATTGTTGTTTTAGATATTTAAAAATAAAAGAAGAAATTTAAAAAAATAGGTAGAGCATTATTTAATTAAAAAACAAAATTTAATTTTGAGCTGTCTCACTAAAGATGTGCAATTTTATCAGCCATATAGATCACAAGTAATAAAGAATAATTTAAGCATAAAAATAAAGTAAAATATCATGTATACATTTTATTTAAAGTCATATCAAGAAAAAATTATTAACAGTGAATGAAAAATGAAAACCGATAATTTTTCTCTTCTATGGGGAATAGTGGGACACGACTATGTAGGTAGGGAAGCGCAGTTCATTTGTTAATAGATCTAAAGAAATAATTTTGGTCCCTATAAAAACAACAAACCTGCAACTCGTTGAGGGGACACTGCATTTGTCTGACGTTGATCCTGTTTATTATTGGTTCTCGGTCGATAATTGTTGTAACCACGGTTACCAGGATTATTGCGCATGTTATTGTAACCATTGTTTGGACGGTAATTATAGTTCATTCCTTGGCGGTTGTTAACATAGTGGTTGCTGCCGCCGCCGTTGTAGTTGTTAGGATTTTGACGATAATTGGCATTGTTGTTATAGTATCCACCACGACCGCGGTATTGTCCACGTCTCGCCATAGCTACACCAAATGTCTCGGAGTTCAATTTTCGTTCCTGGCGCCAATCAGTTCTTTGATTATGTCTAAATTATAGAATATTATTATTAGATTACATGGGTATTAATTTAATTTACTTAAAAGTGAGTAAGTTGATTATACTCAATTTGTTTACCCTTTGCTCCTCTCGACTGCTTCACAGCTTATTTGGTCAAAGAATGATTTTGTTTTGTCATAAAATATTTTTTGATCATCATCACCATTTTCATTGTCAGTAACAGCATTTTCATTGTTACTTTCGACACGATTCAATTTTTTGGCAGCCGCTTGTTCACCATCGCTACCATGTAGAGCTGCATCCCCGTTAACGGAAGAGGCACCGCCATTCAAAACAGGAACATCTTCAGTTTGTTCTTCTGAACCGTCATCTACAAATCAAAATTGAATAGCTACACAATGGTCATATCATTGTTTGAGAAATTTCATTTTTCGTAACAGGTAGTACATCAACTTACGGCTATATTCATACTATTTACAAATTTAAAATATAAAAATTAATGAAAACAAGATTTAATAATTTAGAAGAATATTTTATTAATATATTAATTTACCGATTTCTGAGTTAAAAAAACCCTTTCAATATCAATTAGACGTAACATATTATTTTGAACTGTAACATTTCAGTAAATTTAATATTTATTTAAGAAATTGTCGCTTTAACCGTGACTTTACTTTGGACTTGGTATAATACTTACCAATTTTTGTTCTTGATAGCTTTTTGATGATTTCTTGGAATTCACTGTTGGCCTTATCGAAATCATAGTCTTCATCAAACTTGAGAGAATTTGTTCTGGGACCTTGTGCTTTACTAGGAGCAGGGAGACCAGTCGATCTGTTATTGTAAAACGAACGGCCGGTAGTATTGGGCACAACACCACCACCAGCACCACCTTGACGTCTCACTTGCTGTTGTTGATTTTGTTGGTTATTCCAATTGCGACCATTCATATTGCGATTACCACCTTGACGATTAACCTAATAAAGAAAAAAATTTAATTAAGAAAACAGGATTAACAACACACACATATATATATATATAATTTTGGTAATAAACATATTCATACATAATTATCCTGGTGTTGAAAATCGTTCCTTTGATAATGTTGATCATTTCTTTGATAATGCTGTTGATCGTTCCTTTGATAGTTTTGTCTTTTTGAGATAAATACATTATTATATTAGAACACATATGTAATAGTTTTTACATAACATTATTTTGCATATAGCATAACACTCACCCTTGTTGCCTATTCGGTTTTCGGGTATCAGAAGACGTTGACCTGTTCCGTTGATTTCTACCATTTCTGTTTCCTGGACTGGCTTGTTGGCCGGCTTGAATGTTTTGATCAAACGTTGGGCTATTACGTTGTCCGTTGAATGCGGGCTGAGCAGGTGTGGATGAACGAGAACCACCCGATATTAAATCTAATACATCTAAACCACAAAACAAATACACTTATTCACGAATGTTTTTTTTTTTTAGTAACCAATGCTTAAATGCTTTAAAAAATTATAACTAGCTTCTATGTCTAATATAAGTTATGAAATCGCATACTAACTACCTAGTAAAGAGCAAACAAAAGAATTTCACAACAACACTGTTTTATCGACTGCCTATTCTATTTTATGTAACTTAATTAACCAGGACATTATATTTTTGCCTTATTAACGTATTTTTTGACTATATTTTTACTTCTTCTTTTTTATCTCAACTATTTGGGATTGACCACCCTTATCTTGAACTTTCACTTACTACGATCTCCATGATCTTAAGTATTCTCATCACCTCTACAATCATTCTCTGTTCTATTTTTTTGTCTACCGTCCTAACACTCTAACATAGTCGATCTCACTACACTCTTGTAAGTCTCAATGGAAATTTCTTGTCGCATAAAACACCTGACACTTCTCCCCCCACTTGACCTAACCACACTTAATCCTGTGGTTCACATCCTTATCAAAGCCACAGTTCTTCTGTATAAAGGATTATAAATACTTAAAATAATCAACCTTACCCACTAACGTCATTGCTCGTCTTGTCCTGTCCACCTTTTGTCATCTTCCTTCATACTCGTACTCTGTATTATATCTTGTTTTACTTCTACTAATTCTTAGTCCTTTCCTCTCCATTCCTCAAGCCTACTGTTTACTTCTTCCAGATTTTCTTCTACCAAAACTGTGATATCTACAAATATCATGCATTATGGTACCTCAACCTTGTATTTCCTTCATAACTTCATCCATTAAAAAAAAAAATCAGTTAAGGCTCAAAAAAAAAAAAAAAAGCAGAATTATTCATTGCTCTAACCTACCACACTTCCTACTCTCACAACTAAACATACCACCAACACTCTCTAACGTTTCTCTTGGATACTTCTCATTCAAAAATTTCTCAAAATACCCCTTCCATTTTTTTCACATTAAGTTTCATTATGGATCATTTTGTTTTTTAAACGTTTGTTTCTATTTCTTATCCCCTTCTTTCCTTTTTAAAATTAAGCAATGCAATCGACTAAGAGTGTTTCACAATACAAAGTAAATGTAAAATATTTGATTTCTGATATATATATAAATAATAAAAACTGCCTCATCACCTGTGCTCACTTTAAAATTATTTAATTTTGATCCTAGTCAACAAGTTTTTTACAATAAAGAGTATTCACAACACCATCAGAATTATGCATCAATGCTCCTAACAGTGAAGAAGTATGTTGCTATTGTATGTAATATCATAAAAATAGCTTTTGGGGTGCAGCCGAAGCACTATAATTATCAAAATCAGTATAACGCAAAAAGCTGTTGCAGGGTCGTTAAGTAATTTAAAAGCATAAAAAATGTGCGAGAACCCCAATAGTCTAGCTAGATAAATAGCAATGCGAAAAATACAGAAGTAATTATATTCATACATTGTTGCTAATCACATCACTAATGCAAACTTTCATACATTGATAAAACCATTCTGTGGCTTGGAGCAAGGGCCAATGTCACTTTTTGCAACTTTCGGAAAATGAGCTTTGAAGTTTTTATTTTCCATTTGGCTCTATGTTAATTTTTTTATCAAACTCTTCATAAGTAATTAATTTTTTGGCCTCAGAGTGTGATTTTTACATATTATATAAAGAATGATTCAATTTTTGCAATTAGCGGACTAACTCGTTTATGCACGAAATTGGCATTGGCCCTTCTTGCTCCAAGCCACAACATTAAATAAAGAAACTGGACGGACTTGAAAATGTGATTCTTAAAATTATGTGTACGTATGTAAATAAAATAGTTAACTAAATCTGTCAATGACAATATTTTAAGAAGAATAAAAAAATAAATTAAATTGCATAGCAGATATGATTATTTATTGGTATCAGTTTGGTGGACGATAAATGACACATAATCCGATCAAAGTAAAAACTTTTTTAAACTACTTTAGTTACTAATTTACAAAATAAATAACGAGTGAAATAAGGCCACCAGTTGTGCTAATATGAGAAATGTTCTAGATTATTATTATTATTAGTGTACAATGATATTAATAGAATCGTTTGTTTGCAAAAGTATAAAATGTCTTTAATCAGAATCACCGTATAACGAGCTCAAAAAGAAAGCACCTATAAAAGAATAAATTCCATGCAATTTTTTAATTGAGTAATTAAATTAAAAAATAAATAAAAATGAAAGAAGAAAAAACATTCTTTAGAATAATAGATAGTATTTAAAGCATTCAGAATAGATTGAGCATTTAGTCACAAAGACTAATACCCAATAGCAATATGTACAAGCATGCCAAATAAGCCCAAGCATTTGGGTTTCTGTATGCGTGTACATACCAGATTGGGCAGGCCTCTGTTGTGTCTGCAGATTAACTTGTTGTTGGTCTAGGATTAGAGGAGATGACTCACTTGACTGTTTATGTGATGGTCCAGCGTTTAAGTTAACGCCAGACATTGGATTGTACGAGTTTCCCACCTGACCAGAAGAACCCATATCGTCCATAGAGGGCTGGTAGTTTGAGTTGAATCCACCCATGTTATTTGGGGGTACAGATAACTATAAAATAAGAAATGTATATATAATAAAGGTAGGAAATTTATCAGTACTTTCGATAATAATAACTTCAAAACTTACTTGAACAATAGCAGGATCATTTAAAGGTATTTGCGGTGTAATCACTTTAATGTCCTTAATATCAGAACCGCGAAATAATATATAATTGTAAATTTGACTCTGTGCGGGAACTTTAAATTCTGTCAAACGATCTTCTGTACCAAAAGATTGAACTGAAAAAAATAAAAAAATTATGACCATCTATATACATTTTTAAATTATGTTTAACGATCATTATCATTATTGTGATCGAGTGTGGACTTTTCTTTTCATAAAAGCATATTTCTAGATAAATCAAACGAAAAAATTATAATTAAATTTATCTCTCGAGTTTCTATGATGAAACTCGAGCTACTTTGTAGCATAGTAAATTGTTTATTAATATTACCTATAAATTATACAGCTTAAGTGATTGTGAGTTAGCACCTATTTAGTCTCTACCTAGGTAATTATATTTTTCAACTTTCCTTTCAGCTCCAACTTTTCTATCTAATTCTAAAAGTCGCAAGTGTATGCGTGGCTTTGCATATTAAATCACGGCTCTACACCTTGCTAAGTTTAGATTTGGTTTAGTTTAGTTATTATATTTAATGTTATTTAAAAATTAGCCAGGCAAACTGAAATTTCTTATCCAAACTCGCCATAGAGTTGCTTAAATTAATATTTCGAAAAATACAATTGACAAATCTATGGCACTAAATGATAATAAATGGTGATGGTCTAATTGAGTTGGCGACACTAATTAAGGCTCTCTGGTTAATTTAGTTAATATTTCATTTAAGATAATACCTGTAGATAATAGGAATAATAAAGTAAAAAGAGTCAGTTTCTACTTTTTTATGATTAAATATATAATGTAAAAAATACAAATTTAAATTAAGCATGAAAAATTTGTAACAAAAAATATAGAAAAAAATAAATCCGATTAAATACAGTTTAACACTAAGTTTTCCAATGGATGTTTCATTCTGTGTTGTATGTCATTAAAATTTGTATTTTTGTAACTTTATTTGTCTGTTTACAAATATCAGGTTCATATTTTTATAACATCCTATAATAAAATTGTATTATTAAATATCTAAATCTAAAATTAATATTAAACTAATGTGGTGGTAAAAAAAAATGTATTCAGTCATACATTTTTTAGTAATAAAAAAAATGAATTTAGTATTTAACAAATTTATGTAAATGCCTTAACTTCCAAGACTTCAGATAAAGTGGCCATTACGAGTTTTATAAAAACTAACAAAATATACTGCTACTGGTCCAAACAATTTTCTTAACATTTACAAGTATTGTATGTCAAACATTTTAATTATATTATGCAGAAAGTAAAAAAAAAAATCAATGTTTGACATAAAACACTAGTTGTATCAAAAATAGATCAATGCAAAAACTACTTGTATTCCAACCATCTAGAGATTGGCCATAAAATTACAGCAACTAGGTATATACCGCTTAAGTTGCTTATAAAGATAAATAATTCTATTGAAATGGGAAATTCACAGAAGATAAGGGAGTCTAAATATAGGAAATGGTCACAGTTAGAATTTTACACAGCTAAATATGAAAATAACTCGACTTTTACATTTTTCTTTTTAAATCAAAATCGACGAACAATAAATTAGTAATAATTAATACAGCAGTAATTTAGATATTTAAAATTACATCCCCAAAGAACAATAGTATTATAGGTTATGCTATTGCCGAATAAACCGATAGAAACACAATAATATATCATACGAAATACGTGAAAAACAGTAATCGGTTAAAAACGACGTAGAATATTTACCATGAGACAACGCAATAGTACATTCTTGAGGGTCGACCGTGAAAAGCTTCCCTTCATACCTAATGTCGGCCTTTGATATCAGGCTGATCTTACTTCCCAGCTCCGGCATACTCATCTTGGAGCGATTTTCAATATCTCTTTCTCGTTGTAACGCAAAATAATAAAAAAACAATTAATGTCGAGCAAGGTGCGCGTATATACGTATGTATATATACAATTTAAACGTAAAACAATGTATTCGAAATATAATAACGAAATAATGGCCAACTAGGAAATGACAGCAGACGTTACATCTCCGAGAGAAAAGTAAAATAATTCAGAACACACACGGGACGAGATACGTACAATAGAAGCAAAACGACGCAAATGACGTCAGGCACGGTCGTCGCCATTTTCACAGTAGGTGTAGCGCAGTGCTGCCAACACATTCCGTTTTCGATTCGACGGTACGTTAGTTTTTAGTTTTGCCGAGTGCAGCTTTTCTTGGTGTGATACGAACGTCCGGATGGGATGCGGGCCGGTGGAACGGTCGTGATAATATATACATATATATTACCAAACTCGTAATTAGAGTGCGCATGTGCACAGTACAACGTTTTAAGACAAACAGCGCTCTCTCGTCGGTTCGCTAGAACTACACACATGCTCCGTCGGTTAACCCCGTTTATAGATAAGACTATATTATCTGGAATCGTGGTGTTGACTGGTGAGCGATTCAAGATCTTCAAAAAGTCTTTACTCTATACGTATCGGTTTTTTGTAGTGATTCGTATAAGGAAAATCCGATATGTATCGATACTTTTAGTAAATTGGATGTTCAATGAGAGCGTTCCAATCATAGACCTATATTGTGACCGGTGGGAATTAATTTAGAGAAAAAAAAGGTACTTTCATTCTGATGTGTGGGTAATTTACTCAAAAAAATTGTAGAGAGCGTTGTGCTGTAACTGCAGATTCGTAATTTTGGGGGGCTTTACAAACTTTATTTTCAAAAAATAGGTATAATGCCTTTCTCTTCCCTTCTCCCCTTATTGATGCTATCGAAAAACACTCTACTATATGACGAGCTTATCACCTGAAACAGAATGAAACCAAAAACGTGAAAATCCGTCGATTAGAAGAAGTGGAGTTATTTCGATATTTGTATTGCAAATCGTGGAAAAAACTGATTATAGCGGGAAATGAGTTTCAAAGTTAGCATAATCAAGCTCCAAAAGTGTACAACTTACCTAAAAAGTGCAAAAACTCGTACTTACAACATCCAGAGATATTTCGACCTATCCACAAGCTCTACACATTTAAAAAGAAATTTCAAGTTTTTGGGTCGATTTCACTATCGCTCCAATTTATTTTTTGAAATACCACGGCATCCATGATAGCGAATTTAAATATTTTTTCATCTTAACATAGCTACGCAATGACACAATTTTACAAATTTTTCTTTTATTTAGACAGTACTATATAAATGTTTATAAATATGGAGATTCATTAGTATAAGCTATATACAATGTTGTTGTTGTTATTGTTTTCGTTGGCGGCTGATCACATCTGAAGTTCTTATTCTGATCCGAGTTTATTTAATAGGATGTATTATGAAATTCCATTATATATTTTATTAATTTCCATATAAGAGAATATAATAAAAATAATTTTAAATATTTGAGTTTTTTAAATTAAAAAAAATTAGGGGGATGGATAAATTAGATATAACTTAACTTTAATAAATGGGAATCCCTTTTATACACAACTTATCTAAAACGTTTTATCTTATCTGCAATCGTTTATCAAGTATACTTAAATAACTATAACAAACCAGTTTTTCTAAATAAAAGAAACTTTTTTTTCCTTAAAATATAATGATTTTTTTGGAAAAATTAGCATAATAGAAATCTTACCTTAAATGCTATAATTTTTCACTTATTCAAAAACTATAGAACAACCCTGTTTGGTTATTGTTTACCGTCTTGAGATACGTGAAGGGCGAGTTATCATAACTACATTTTTTTTACCATAGTAATAAATAAAATAGCGGGGTACCGCATAGCTTAAAAATATGGACCTACCTACATACGAGTATACAACAATCATCGAATAGCTCAATATAATAGGAATTACCATTTAGTAAAAAAATAAAAATAAAATAAAATCAATAAAATAATATATTTTTTATGAAAACATGAGATATTATGCCCACAAGTTAAAGCATGGTTAAGCCATTCAATATAATATTGTAATTATGTAAAAAAAAAACAAAATGACTGGTTAACAAACAATCCCAATGCTTGGTGTTGCTTCATAGTATTAAATCCTGAAAATAATATTTCACGACTATAATACATTTTGTTATCTAAATAATAGTTTAAACGTTTCAAAATACAATAATATTATCGCTTAATGTGACAACAAAACATAAACCATTTTAAGGACTTATGCAAGATATTAACAAAAAACTAAATAATAGTAGAAATATATATAAAAAATATAATATATAGAGCGTTAAATAGATAATTTTTATTTTAACAACGCGATTAGTACAAATAGTTGATTGCATTTACTATTTTTTTTAGCTAGCCGTATTTCTTTATTATTTTTGAAAATAGTTATTCAGTTAACACTTTTATTACGTGTTTAACACGACATTTAAGTATGAAGTTGTTTATCAATATACCACATTTATAATAAAAATAATAGAAAATACTAGTGTAGCAGAATTTTTTTACAAAATTTATGACGAGTAAATATAGAGACGTGTCTCTTTAACATTAATTGTAAGTCTTTATAATAAAAAACTTAAAAATATAAGTTAATTATTCTTAACTCACTGGCACTGATTTTGAGCAAATTTAAGTTTACAATGATATTCATTTCACAGTTTTTTCAAGAAATGTACGCAGCTGATCATGATCTCTTTTCAGCCACGCCGCGTTTAATCTAATGGTTTCGCAAGCTTGTTGGATTGTTCTTTCCGCGCCCATGCAACCATTTTCTTTAAAGAAATTCTCCACTTCTTCGGCTTTTTCTTCCGATGCAAAATTTTCAGTCGTATTTTTCACCAAACGTGTCAACAAGAAACCACCCTACGACAAACATTGTATGTTGGTTTATATTTCAATAATCATAATAACATCGAGTGAGTTTGAAAACTATGAAAACAATAGGAAGCAATACAAATAATAATTTTTTAATTTTTACCTGATATTGATTAAATAACTTGGTCCAATTATCTTGGATGAACTGCCAAGCTAAGTCTCTTCCAATTTTCGAAGCACCAACAGAAATTATTACAAAAACGGTATCTTGCGAACGAACTTCATCCTAAAAAAATTGTCACGTAAATTAGTTAATTCATTAGAAATAAACCAAAAACTAGTTTATTCCTAGTCGAATACACAAACGGCAGATCAAACTAACCGACATTGCAAAATCGAGAACTTTTTTCAGTATATCCTTGTTTTTAGAAGCTCCCATTGCTCTACATATTCTATCCTTTTCTTCGTGCAAATCTGTTCCTCTGTAAAGCTGAAATAAAAACGTTAAATACATCATTGTCGAATTATAACTGATATAAATAAATTATCAGTAAAGAAACAAGGTCAACATTTTTTTTTCAAAACGGGTTTTTATTTTTAAAAAAAACTTTTTATTTTAAGGTTTATATTGTGTTTTCCATGTTAGTTACTTTGTAATTTTTATAACAAAACATAAATAATTTTACTTGACACAAAGAATTTCAATGGTTTTTATGAAAAACCCTAACTAAATAATAATAATAATAACATTTATTAACAATGATTGGTCTACTGGTCTAGTAACAATTAATGTTATTAATTTTAAACACAACAGTTGATGTTTCTTCGGTATACAATTATAGTCTACCAGTAATGTAATGGTAAATACTAACATGGTAATTATTGAAAAAGTGAAATAGGCGAATTATTTTTTAAAACCAATTTTTAAAAAAGCCATCAATTATTAGGAGATCTGTAACAGTTGTTTAATTTATTTCAACAAAATATATTACCTGCAATAATTGATTAAAAGTGGTCTCGTCACCAGTCGATAAACAAGCTTTGTAAATAGGACTTCTCAAATCGGCGACAATAGTTTCTTTTCCACTAAGGTGATTGGTAAACTTAACTTTAGCCTCAGCTATGGTCTCTGGATCGGCACTGGACACCAGTCTTGCTATAACCAGACCTCTTAACATTGTTTCAAGATGACTTTCTTTCGGTTTTGGATTCCATCCTAACTTTTCTGCAATCTTTTTTAAAAGAATTCTGTTGTACTGTTTGAATAGTTGGTCGGTTTCTCCTTCTACATTGGATAATAATATAGCCAATTTTCCAAGCACATTGCTCATTGTTGACCAAACAGAGTAGTTATCTTCATCAGTCATAGCTAACATCAACTCCAATACTTCGTCAGTCCTAGAAAGACCGGCTTGCACAAGAGCAAACAGATCATCCAGAAGACCTAATCGATCGAGCGGAGGCAACGTTTTCGAAGATATGGACGGTACAAAATTTCTTAACAGTTGAGGCGTATAACGGGTTCTGTAATAACCAACAGTGCTGGGATTTACTTTGATCCATTCGCCGGGAGCAATTGTGCCAGCTGGTATTGTTATATTTTTTTTATTTTCAGACATTATGTCTTTATGGCATACAATGGCAGGATTTCTTGACGTGGTAAATGTTAGTGGAACCATCCACAAAGAAGAATCATCTAAAATTGTTAAAACAAAATTAAAATATTACTAAAAAAAAAAAAAAAAATAATAATAATTTACTATCAATTTGTCCGTTAGCTGTGAATTTCGTCTGAGATACCGTAAGTACACGGGAACCGTCAGGGTTTTCAATTTCTTTCTCCACCGTGATAACCGGGAATCCTTTTTGCAAAGTCCAAGTCGACATTACCGCCTTCACTGGTTTATTACTGGCTTCTTCCAACGCTGCCCAAAGATCTTCAGTAAACGTATTGCTGTACTGGTGTCTGTTCAAGTATATATTCATTCCTTTCCGAAAATCCTAAATCAACGAAAAATTAAAATAAAATATAAATATTAATAAAAAACTATATAGTGACAAGAGTAAAAATCGAACAAGGGCTTACTTCATCACCGATAAAATTGTGCAACATTCTTATAACTGAAGCGCCTTTATTATATGAAATATCATCAAAAATTTCATCAATTTCAGAAGGATGGCCCACCGGGATTTCAATAGGGTGACTGTTGTGTAGAGCGTCTAACTCCAAAGCCCTTATGTATGTGTCTGTCACAAATTGTGTCCAAATATCATACTCGGGAAACAGATGTTCAACACATAAAAACTCCACGAAGGATGCATACCCTTCGTTTAACCATAAATGTGTCCACCATTCCATTGTCACCAAGTTTCCGAACCATTGGTGAGCTAATTCGTGTCCGACGACCAAAGCAATCCACTGTTTGCGAACTGCAGAGGTGTTGGCCGGGTCAACCAAAAGACAAGATTCTCTGTAAGTTACTAGACCCCAATTTTCCATAGCACCTAAAAGATAAATAATAAAACAAATTAAACAAAATATACAGCACGTTACAAAATTCAACAGATTTAAACATTATTCTAAGTTTTGATATTTTATATTGTAATTAAAATGAAGGCTTCACACCCAAATGATTTATTGCGTGCTTAAAGGAAATAATATACAGTTGTTTTATGGTTTTATTTGTATTGAGAAATGCGTATTTTGTTTAGCAGATAATAAATTTATAAATGTACATAAGTTATGGTTTTTTTTTTTAAATTGAATGATATAAATTTTATTTTTCTGCGCTTATAGTGCCCAATTGAATTAAGCAGAGTATAAACCTGTATATTTTAATTTTCAAGTACTAATAAAGTAATAAATCTTATAGTATGTTTTCATAATAAAATACTATTAAATAAAATAAATTTAACTATTTAAAAAAATGCAATCGATAACTTATAAATTTTAAATGTAATTAAAATTTCTAATAGTTGGACCTTATGTTTTTGAATAAATATATTATTTCTTATGATTAAAACATTTTCTAAAATTGTCGGAGTTAGACAAGTGTAGATCTGACCCAATAAATTTCATGAAAGAAAATGCGAATTAACATATTATATAAATATATAGATAAAATTGTAATAATAAAAAAAAAAAAACGACCAGCACATTAAACGGAGGAGCATATTTGTTTAGTTTTTAAAACACACATTACATAAAACAACAAGTCATCGGTTAATATCATCTAATGAACAAAGTGTCCTCAATAAGGAAAAACTAAGTTCTTCTTGAAATATACAAATTAATTGAAATGCAACTAAAAAATGTTTTATTAGAATACAGCTTATGGGTTAAAACCGGTATTAATTCTAGTTAAAAGGGTTTTCGGTTTGGACAATTTATTTGGGTTTTGGTTATACGGGGGAAAAGCCTTGATTTAAAATTAAAGAGTTGAAAAACAAGTACCCGAGGAAAAGTCGGCTATAGCAATTAAATCCATTTTCGGAAGAGGATAAGCCACTTGAAAGTAATCTTTGTAGTACGGTAATGCGTTTTTAGCTACTTCCAAAGCAAATTTTCCTTGTTCGCTTTTACCAACCGGCGTGTATACTCTAACTAAAACACCGTCAGAATCTTTGTCTTCCACATAGTCAAATTCACCAACCACTACAGCTACCAAGTATGTCGACATAACTGGTGTTCTTTGGAATTTCAGCAAACGGTCACCATTATCTTCTACCACTTCCGAAATCACTGGCTAGAAAAAACAAAATGTATGTAACAATATAAATAATAAAAGTAATAAAATTATTGACAGTATGAAAAAAAAAAATGGTGTAAAATTACCATGTTGGAAAGAGCCGTCTTGGATTCGGGCACACATAAAATAATGTCAAATTCGGCCTTGATTGCCGGCTCATCCCAACAGGGAAAACACCTTCTCGCATCAGTTGCTTCAAACTGTGTAACAGCTGAGTATTTTTCTTCTCCACTTGGACTTTAACAAAAAAACACAAACAAAATTACTGAATTGTTCTTACCATATTAGTTAAAGCTCGGTGGGATGTGTAACACACGACTATAGATATATCGAACATAGCCTTCAAAGCAGGTTCATCCCAACAAGGGAACATTCTACGCGCATGTGTTGTACACAACATTGTGACCGCAGCAAAACAATTGACCAGTTGGCCGATATCAGTTTTTCTATAGAATTATATGTTTGAAAAAAACAATATATATATTTATAAATATATATATATATATAAATACAAAAAAAAAAAACAGAAGTCAATTGACTTGAAAATGTTCTTAACATTCACTCACTTAACATATTTGCTACGATAAAATCCTTTCATTTTGTCGTTTAGTTCACCAATAAATGTAAACTTTAACAACGCTTCACCAGTTTTTAGCTCATCTTTAAAGTTCAATGTAAGCGTCTCATCTTCAGAAGATAGACTAATAGACGGTTTGTAAATTGTTCCGTTACTGTCTACGAGTTGAGCATCATCGATTTTCAAGTCCAAAGCATGTAAAACAATTTCCTTTGTCGGTTCGACTACCTAAAATAAAAATAAAAGTATAAGTATAAACAAACATTTAAAAAATCTATTAAAATTATTTACACAGTATAAAATATTAAATCGTTTATTTAAATAGATATTTTTTTAATATTTGAAGATTATAAAAAAACGGTTTTGATGCTATTTCAGCTTCCAATACCTAAGTTAGCTTAAAAAAATTAAAACCTTCTTTTGCGAAGTGGTTGCTTTGATTTAAGAAACAGTGGTTAAATTTTATAATTTTATTTTACAAATTTCAGTTTAAAATAATGTTTTTTTTTTAAATAATAATAGTTTAATTTGTTTTTTTTTTATAATTAGTACATTTTTTTAAAAATATTTTATATAAAGCAATATTATTTTGTACAAAGTGATTATAGGAAACAAAAAAAGCAACATTTTATAAAATAAAATACTAAAACCTTTGACTACTTTTAAAACAAAACAAAAAAGTTTTTTGATTTAAAATTCTTATTTTTAAGTGTTTACATGTTTAGTTGTTTATAGTGCATCTAATGAATTTAATTAGTTTTAAAAAACTACACCCGTAGAGATAGTTATTAACTTTCATAAAAACCAGAAAATGACTTCTAGTAAAATAGTTATTTAATATAAACTTTTGCCAGAGAGCTCATAGTAACGTTTAAATACATTTTTAAAAAATGTAATACAAAAATAAACAATAATTTAATTAGTTACCATACATAAAATACCTGTTAGATCTATTTATGTAAAATATTGCGCGTCTTTTTCCTTTTATAAAAATAATTTTATATTATAGACTAGTAAATAAAACTAGTTTTTTTTAAGATGTTATAAAAAAAATATCTCGATGAGATAAAAAAAACAGATAAAAACTTATTTATGACTTTGCAATCTTTTAGACAAAGGGGGCTGTCTTTCTAGCAATTTTCGAGTTCTGTAATTTTAAAAAAGGTGATTGGACCAAGACATTTTTTTTGAAACATTAAAAATTTTCGGACATCTTCAAATCAAAATTTCGAATTTGCCCATAGGCCTACTATTAAGTATGTAAAAATGTTTGTTTTCAATTACTGTTCAAAAGCAACACGAAAATTGTTGATCTAGGAGCCATTTAAAAATAATTTGAAGGTGAATAAATATTCTTTTTTTCTAGTTATAAAACTTTTAAAGTTATTTTTCTTTCTAGTCAGTTTGATATAAAATGACTTTTGAAGAACGTAAGAGTTCTTTTTGGCTACTGGACGGACTTGATTTTTTTTTTATGTGAATCTTATAACTCTGTTTCGATGGGGGCTAAAAGGCCGATTGTTCATTTAGCTATTAGATAATCAGGTGGATGTATTAGAAAATCGATTAATAAGTAAAAATATAAACGCTTATAATACAATTCAAAATCGGCCTTTGAGTCACTTATAAAGATTTGAAATTTAGTTTTTTTTTTTTAATCGGTTTGGACCAAAACACAATTTTTTGTTTTGCGTTTTAGTGTAAATTTGGCTCGCTCCGTCTTAATATTTGATCAAAACCAGAAATATACCTGATTAATAAACCTTATTTTTTTTTTTAAGTTTATATTAAAATGTCATGGCAGGAAAGTTATCACAAAAGTTTGTGAGATCCCAAATAGAGGCAGCCAAGTTGTTAGTCTATAAAACGCAGCTATATAATTGCACATTTGTTTTGGAATAAAACCGCCTACTGTTGTACTACGTTTAAAACATAACTGTTCTCGGGGGGAGAGATACAGTTACGTTGCGTATAAAAGAAAACGAGCTACGTCACACACGAGACCTACATTATTAAGTTGGTACTTGGGATACAGTTATGTTATTGTGTTACGTTGTGTGTTGTATACGATGACGAACACCTGCGACCAAATACGATTTATCGTTATAAAAGACTCGAATTCTTAGTAGTTAATAACATTTTTTTTCCAAGACAGTACTCTCGTCGAACCATGTGTATAATCAGTTTTTTTTGTCCTTGACCTAAATATTGACATAAAGGATCCCTGAGAATAAAAGCGACGAAGACAGACGACGTTGGAAAAGACGTCCGATTGGGTATTTTATAAATTTACTCGTTGAACAATCGAAAAAGAGCACAATTTTTTTATTACCTGAAATTACGTTGCCTACAAGAGCGTACATTATATTTTTTATACTGGCATAGCCTAAAAGAGCACACTATGGTTATCATCAAATGATTATCCGTTTATCAAAACCGTACACAACGAGTATAATATAATATTCAAATATTGACAGATTGATTAATTAAGTATTAGATAGTGTATTGATTGTTAACACAACACGTATCGTATAGTTAAAATACAGTAAACAAAATAATAATTAGTTCATAAATAAAATAATTTATAAAATTGTATACAGAAAAGATAACCATTTATTTCCGAAAATGTTAAAACATCTATTTTTTTATAATCATATTCTTCACGAATTTAATTTATATGATCTTGCCTTTCTATGACGATTATACTATGTGGCGCTTTACTATCTGAATTATCAGTTGTATTGAAACTTGTATGGATCAAAATAGTTATTATTATTAATATTAATAGTTAATACCATATTGATAGTATATCCATAGTTCAATGACCGACGACACAAGTGCAATACGCTATCGATATTCATATGTGTACGTCATGTTCTATTTCTTTTTTGTATCTGTATGGTCTTTTAGCATTATCAGTTTGTGTTATTTTTGATATTACAAATTTGTGCTCTTTCGGGTTACGCCTAAACTTATAACTATACAGAAAACATTAACCTAGTACGCATAATTTCAAGAGAGATTAAATTTAGTACACGTCCAAGCATAACATTACAAAAAAAAATAGATGGAATTCTTTTTGTTTCGCAAAGATAATTTTGTCATAATAGATTCTGCCAAATTGTATTCCCCCAGTAACTACGCCGAACTAATCTAGATTATTTAATTTTAATATAATAATAATAAACTAATTAATATTACAAAAGATCCATGGTTTTTTTTATTATAGCACCAAGATGATTGTAAATTTAATTAGGTCTGGTTAAGTATTTAATAGAATTACAACCACCGAGAACGAAATAATTATAAAAAAAATTGATACATTTGTCTACGATAAAAATTGTCTAAAAATTAATTAAATAGCTAGTAATTTATCTGGAAATTTTTTTAATAAATTCAACTGTTACACATATAACGGAAAATTAACGATTTTAAACAAAAGCATCTATTGTTAACGTATCCTTTTTAAACATTTTTTTAGTATACATTTTCGCAAATAATACATATTTTAGAATAGAGATCAGTTAAATATAATTATACTATTTATGTATGCATTTATTTTTAATGAAAAACGAATGTGTTTGACTTATGAATCGGAAAAACTTCACTGTTACACACAAGAGAACATCAGTGTTATTAGATCAAAGAGCAACAAATTAACAGCGTAATAATGAGCTCTACTTAAGAGAGATAACAAACATAATATGGTGTGATCACACACTGTAATACTTATGGTTAATAGCGAAAATATTTCATACATCATAGTTAATAACATTTGTAATGGATTATTATGACGGTGCGCTGGTAAAAGGAAGCAAGTCAATTTCTAGAAAAATTACATTTACAGTTTAATATATAATACATAAAAATTGAAAAAAGTTTTTAAGAAATAAAAAATGTAACAGTGTAATAAAATGTACTACAGTTTCATCAAAAGTAATACCTTTAAATCTCATTTTCTAAAATTGCATCTTCTGACTTACTCCCTTTAAAATCATCTATATTTATGTATATAAAATTATTATTTATACTCCCAAAATTGTATAAAACAAAAAAAAGAAAGCCAGTAAAATTTGGTGTGAATAATATTAAAAATTACACCCTTACTGGTTTTATTTATTTACTATTAGATAATAATAAAAAACCATTACACTGGGTTTAGATCATAGTGGGGCAGGAGAGGTTACACGTCTACAGTAATTATTATAACTGAAAGTGATAAAATAACTTATAAATAAACGCTTCAATGTGAAAGCAATTGTTATTATTATTAGGGTTTACGATATTTTTGTAATTCGACAACGCTCATCGATGGTATTTTAACTTTAGAATATTCTATAGAAATTAAAGACCAATTCGACAAATTTTAATTCATAGAGCACCGCATTTGTGTTGAAAAATATGTAAATGGTTTTGGGCGTTTTTCTCGATTTTGAAAGGAGAAGGGTCAAGGGTTTAACCTTTTCAATTTTTGGGGTACAATAATGGGGGTAAGTACCCTTCAGGTACGTATTATAGACTTGGTTCTTAGAGAAACCAGTTCAATAGTTTAGATCTAACGTGGGTCCAGACACAAAAGAAGCATAAAAGCCTATTGTTAAAACAATACCTTCTCACAGATAGGTACGATATGTTGGACATCTTTGGTTTTGGGAATCGAACAGTCAAAATAGAGCTATTATCAGTAAGTAAACAGATTCTCATACAAAAAAAAATATTTTTAACGAAAATACACGTGTTAAAATCATCTACATTGTACCTATATAGATGATTTTAACGTATACTTTTGTTTTAACAATCCTTACAATCGGGAATTAGTTTCAAAAAAGACAAAATAAACAAAAGACGCATATAAGTATAACATTGTGATTGTCTATAAATAGACCTTTTGTTGTTGGCGCATAGACGTACGTCTTGTATAATATAATATACAAAACGATATATTATTTTATTTTCAGTTTAAAAGAATGAACAAGGGTTTGTCAAGTGCATTTAAACAATGAACAAATAGATTATTTTAGTAAAAACTTAAATATATGAAGACAGTCAGCGGCATTTGGTTCGAGACAAAAATAATCTAATAATTAGTACTCGAAACCCGAGTTTGAACAAGACGATATTATATTGAGATGTATTATACTGATTTGTTATGGTGATAACAAGATCACCACAAGCTCATTATTTTTTTTTTTACTAATTATCATTATAATATAAAAAATTATTTATCATTTTGAAGACGCCACACCACAGATTTTCTTTGTTACATGTCTCAGTGTCTCGCGTAATACACTTCCTAATAGGAACTAAGAAGTTTTAGCGTATAAATTCATTAATTTTTAAATTCAATTCCAGATTAAAATTTAGGGGAAAAAGTTTTAAAAAACAAGATTAATTCTTGTTTTTTTTAAATTTGTATTTTTACAATGTTCAGTTTCTGAAAAAGTTATCGCCCTAAAATATTATGCAATTGTGCTGAAACAGGAAAACAAATACATTTGTACGATTTGGATAAAAAATAATATGGATTTACTCTTTGCTATGTTAATAAAAATTAGTATGTTGTGAATTTAATGCACTAAAAAACAGTTAAAATGTACATGCATTTAGGCACTAAAAACGAACAAATGGTTTAATATTATATGGGCTAAAAAAAATTGTATGCAAATATATGATGTGAAAAAAGGCGAAGTACAAAATTTAGCTTTTAAAATTATTAATTCGTACTTGTTTAACTCTTTCATGCACAAGAGATTTCAAAATGTCTATACCCAAGATGCACGGATACTTAAATTTAAAATTTTTTATTTTTTTTATCGTTGATTTGTACTTACATATGCATTAAAAATAATATTAAAAAAAAAAAAAAATTAGTGGCAAAGTCTAGGACTTACAGTATGTGGGATTACGTATATCCCACCGCACATACTGTGCGCACAACATTCGCATCTCGTATTTTTTTTTCATATCAATATACTTTTATACCATTAATTATAAACATAACCTAATATGGAAACGAACAAAAAAAAAGAACATTCAAATCGGTTGATTATTTCCCTCACAAATAACAAAATAAGTTTTGAAAATTTTCTGGGAAAAAAAAATATGTGTATATGCTGATGCCTTTTGTTCAATACAGACAGGACAAATTGGCGTTACTTATTAATATTCAATAGACACAAGGTCGTATGAAAAATGCTAAAAATAAACGAAAAACAAAATAAATAAAATTTAGAAAAATAATATAATATGTGGTATATTATTTGTCCCACCATGCCACAAAGGTGAATTTTTATGTGGGACAACTGTAATCCCACCATGCCGGAAAGAGTTAAAATAAATACATTTTAATTGTAAAAATAAGGAATGGAATATATAATTTCATAATTATATTATTTAACATAGAAATTAGAAAAAAATTCTCAAAATAAATTATTTGATACAAATTATGCAATAGTATGCACTTAAGTTCAATTATGCAAAACAACATTTCGTTGATGCATTCATAGAGGAATAAAACAAATGACTTCTACAAAGTAGCAAAAAAAAACATGCGAATAAAAATACCGAAATAAAAATATATTCTCACAAACAAATGGTGAGGCGCCAACCAAATGAAACACTTACAAATATTATTTTAAATTTTAAAAATGTTTAAAATATGTTTTAATTTGGTAATTACAAAAGATAGATAATATGTAATATATAATATACATTTTGTAGGTTTATTTATGTTATATACAAAATGCAATAAAAATATAAATTGAAATAATAATTTATTTATTTTATGAAAAGTAGTGTTCTAAACTGTACATTTTTATTTAACGATAAAAACAAACAGTAGAAACTTTTACCTTTATTTTCACTTGTAAAAATAATAGGTTCTAATTAGGGCATTTGGAAGTTTATAGATGGTCTGAAATTGTATAGAGAATTCAGTAATTACAAGTTCTACTTATTTGGAATAAAGAGCCATCAAAATAATATCAAAAATATATGTAAATATTTATCCATATATGTAAGGGAGCACAAAGTGTGCTAATAATAAAAAAAAATTATTACATGTTTCCTTTCGCACAGAATTTAATTTTACTAATTCTGAAAGTAATTTTTTTGTAGATTTTACATTGATGAATAATATATTGAAAGATAACTTAAAAAATAGAGGTATACAATTTAGTATAAGAGGAAAAAAAAATCTAAGTACATAATTATAAGACATCCCAATTTACACAATTTTTTATTAGAAAAAATAATAAATTAAAGTTTCATTGCATAAATATAATAAAAAAGGTATTAAAACTGATTTTTATACCTTTATTTTTTTAAACAAAATATTTTGGTGTTTAATTTTAACTGATACGTCACTTTTTGAATTTGTCAGCATTTATAGAAGAAATACACGAGTAGATAGATAATAATAATATGTATATTTAAGTGTAGATATAGGTCATGATTAAAATGCACTCTGCCAAAATAAGGTATCTACAACACTTGGAGCAGTTTCCTTAATACTTATCATCAGAATATTAAAATATTATAGAACTATTTATCGTATTTGCTGACTATGTTGCGGTAGTGTTTTGAGACACACATTTAAATCTAACCTAAGACCTATACAAAGAGCGTTTTCAGCTAATAGCATTCAAACCACTAGGTACCTCTAAGTGTCTACATGTAAATATACTTCCTCATACATAATTTTACAAAATGCTGCGACTGTAACTTTTAAAAAAATAATTTTCATAGGGTACTGTAATAGAATTATAATCCGGGCTGGTTTAGTCACTTATTCAATCTGGTAATCTGGTTCCGAGATTCCTCGAATAAATGATGTATAAAAAATTAATACTTTTTAATAAAGTTGGTATATTTTGTACAATCAATACATATAAATAAAAATATATACATAAATACATAGGTATTGCTACTGAAGTTTGTTTTTTTAATGAAGAACCTCCACTATTTTGGCAGTCTTTTAGTCTGATATCTTCCGGATTACCAAGACCCAGAACAAGTACACACAGTTGTCTGTAATGTTCTTAGTCTGGGTTATAGTAATAACTAATAATTAGTTATTTCAGCTAGTTTAAACTTAAAAAAAACTAATCTTAGGATAGTAAAATAAAACAATAGCATTAAATTATTTACTCTACCATACCATGAATTATATACTATACAATATAAATATATTACATTGGATTACGCATGTTGTCTTTAACACAACCAGCAATACTCAAATAAAAAAAATAACAATTAGGTTTTTGTAATGGGCATAATTATTTTTTTTTATCTTGTTCATTTGTGAAGCTAATATTTGCTAAGAATATTTTTTTTAATCCTGGTCATGCCTGGGTTTAATAAATTGTTTGTCCTCAGCTAAAAAAATATTTGTTAACTTTGTCTGGGTTTTAAACCTAAATTTTGTTAAATATAAAATAATATTTAAAAGGTCATCCAGTTCAGATAAATATAACTTTTTTTTAAAAATTTGTCCAGTCTTATTTGATTAGGACCAGATAGATCTCTAGGCTAGGTAAATTATGTTTTTAAATTATAAATTATTAACAACGGAGTGAAAATTGTATTTACAAATTTAAAAAAAAAAGGTCCAGCAAGGTTAAGCATTTATACTTGCTCTATATTTAATCGACAACAAAAACAAAATTTTAAACACGCTTTTCTATAATTTTAAATTGTCAGTTAAATAAATGGTTGAATAAAAACTTACGTGAAGTGAAACAGTTTCTTTGCCTTCAAATGTGAATTTCTGCAAGTCTGGCTTTAACCACAAATCGTACAACACAGGCTTTACATTTTTGGGCAACCGCCTGAAACTTTTCTTATCGGCAGGCATGTTAAAATTGTGTAGATTTGTTTGAACGAAGGTTCTCAAAGATACCGTTTGACAAGACCTGTAAATAAAATAAAATATACACAGATAATAGAGTACTTATATAGACCCCTCGTTGTGTTGTCACTGCACAGTGCACACTCGCACGCACGCACACTACTATATTTGCCAATTACACATTAACACACTAACACAATTATTGCAGGTAGCTTCCTCCACTTCGAACCCCAACTGAACATAACGGGAAATCGCGTCGCGGTTTTTTATTTTATTTTATTGACCATATAATACTAAATATTATGTGTTTGAAACCGGTTTTTGCACAAAAGTACGCCTATATAAAGTACAACGATTCACGAATAAAATTCAAAACGTAAATAATCGCACGCTATCACAAGATTGTCCGGTGTTTATTAAAAAAAAAATTTGAAAATAATTAATCTGGACGACCACCGCGAATAATAATTTTGTACAACGGTTCTGATCTAAACACAAGCTGCTTATCACGGCCCACGGGGTGTATATAGTTGTCGGCTATATTATATATCATAATAACATGTTAATATTTTAATGGCATGCAACATTTTTTTTTTGAACAACCGCACGTTTTTCGATAGATAACATCAATATTATTACGCATGATATTATTAAAAGCATACTCACTGGATTTTTCACGTTTTCGGATTTGCGTACACAGTTTTCGGTCGACCACGGACAGGCAAAACGTAGTCGGTTCGGCGCAGGAACGTGTGTGCGTCGACTTTTGATGAGAACGATAGCAACGAAACCGAAACGATCGACGACGAAACGGCGATTACGGACCACGTAAAATGTTAATATCATAATGAATGTGGCGGCCGGTTCTAATCGCGGTTTGTGATTTTTTCATTGGTCGCCAGTGGAAATCAGTCGGGCCACGAAACGCGATCCCGCGGCCGGCCGGCAATTCGATAATGTGGCCACACTTCATGTTATTATTATTATATTTATTACCTACAATACCTAGCTGGTGTGTACTAAATTCCGCCGAAGAGCACCTCTATGGTAACCTCTATATTATAGTTATTACTCTACGATGGTAACCCAAGACTAAAATATATAACTAATAAATAAGTATTTTAGCACGAGTCGTTTGCGCGAAACTTGCATTATTTTTTATCAATCGCGTGCTATTGCGAGAACGGAATTTTAAGAATTAGAAAAGTTCAAAATATGCATAGAAGACCTATAAAGAAAACTCGATCTTTATATGTCTATAAAAATATGTGACAGAGAAAGGCAAAAGGGACTATCTCTTGTCGCCAAAATCCAAATTGCAGGAGTCATGAAAAAAATAATTATGCCATCTGCAGATCTGCTTAAGGGTATTTTATTTTAAGTTTTGGTTGTTTCGTTCTAAAAGTATGTAAAATACAGTTCAAAACAAGCGTTTTTTCTCAAAAACTAATTTTTCGAAGTATAAATACAAACAAATATAACTCAGTCGGTTTTCAAGATAAGATGACGATTCTGGTCTCAAAATGTTCAGAATTTTATATGTTATAACCAATAACACAAATTTTAATTTTAACGACAAAAGATACGTTTTTCCTTTCCGCCTACATAGCTAACAATATTTACTAATAAAATCTTAATATATTCTCTCAAGTAAACGTTCTACTACTCCCGTATTTTGATCATAAAACTGGGGACGAGGATTTTGGGTTGTACTCTTAGTAAGACTACAACATTTATACAATACACAGTGAAGAACTATGTCATAGGCGGTTTTACTTTTGATAACTTAAACACAACCCAAATTATTAATTTGGAAAGATTGTTTTTTTTAAATTGGTTTACTAAAAGTTTGAGTATCGATATAAACAAATAATAAAAACGCTACAGTCAGATAAAGTTATTTTCTATGTATTGTGAACATTTGGTAATTTTGAACTAATGTTTTTGATTTGTGATTTTTTTAGAATTAAACGAAATAAAAAATATTAATAGGTAACAAAAACCATTTTGAAATATTATTTTGACAACAAAATGTATAAAGTTGGCAGTTTGTACTTTGTGATAAGAAAATTATCGCAAAACATAAGCATAACAAAACACAAAAAAATAGTCGATTATTGATATTTTTGTGATAAACTTAAACATTTTGTACAGGACAAGACGCGATAATACGATTATCATTATTGTTTACATCACCGGGCACACAGGTCACAGAGTAGAATATTACTTACTTTGCTGATAAACATAATATATTTATGGTCAATGGTGAAAAATTGTGGGAAGGTATCGCTTGAAAAATATCTTGATATTTTTTCTTAAATTACCTATTATTGTTGTAGTATTGCATTGTTAATACCTACTCGAGCCTTCATAGTAATTTTTTTTAGTTTAGTCAACGGTTGTAGAATATAAAAGAAAACATGAATCGACCACGCAATCAAGTTGAACACGAGCTTAAAGCTAGGGCTCGTATATACGTTGCCAATATACCACAGTCCGGCATGTCGCGTAAAGAAGTCGTTTCTGTATTTCATAAATACGGTGAAATCGATAGTAAGTATGTTTATTACGGTTTTTACTAAAAATTGTCTAAAAGTCAAGTTATAATACATTGAATTTAATGCAACGTGAACTTAGTTACATGAATAATATTTATTTAAGTTACTAGATAGTAATATGTTATTATGTAGATAAATACAGTAAAATCTGTCTTAAGACGTAGTCTGAATAAACTGGTAAACTTAAATCGTATGTGCTCGCTTTGTGTTACCACATTTTGTATATTCTCACAATTTTAAATGTAAGTGTGAAATGTAGGTGCACATAAGGCTTTAATAAAGTTTAGAGACAACGTATATCGTTTCAACCTGTCATAAGTCAAATGGTTTCTGATCGCACTTGTGTGACCGTTATACATTTTTTATCTGAGGTACAGTGTGACGGATTCATTCTTACCTCGCATGACCAATGTCATGGTGACTGGTTTAACTTTAAATTAATTTAATGATAACGTTATTGTTAAAATAACTTTTCTAAGGTAAAAGTGTTTTTACATTTACTGTTCAAAATATTTTTCATCATGGATAATTTTTCCTATAAAACTATAGCAAACAAGTTAAATTTCATAACACGGCTGCTGATGTTATGTTGCACAAAATACACAGCAAGCCTACAACAATTTTGAGTATATCTCAACTTCTCTTGTAATCCTGTGTTAATATTTTCAGATGTTTCACTACAAACTAGACACGTATTTGTTCAATTTACTGAAGAATCATCGGCACTTAAAGCCCTTGCTCAAAATCCACCTGATTATATTATGAGTAAAAAACTTGGTTAGTATCTACTTATTCAGTAAAGATTGTTTGAAAATGTAATGTAAATAATTACTTGATAATAATAGAGATGATCAGATCTTATAAGTGATAAATTATTATGGAGTCATCCTTAGTAAATTAATCAATTAATTAAATTAAAGTATCTTTTGCATTTTAGATGTGAAACCCGTAAGACCATTTTTCTATAGAAATGGAGAACTTGTGAAAAATGATAGAGCAGTTAATTTCGATGCAAATGATAAAAGGTAAAATTTTTATTTTATACTCTTATGTTTTCAAATTATGTTAATTATTTATTAATAATTTTAGAAATGAAAATCGGAATCAGCCGAGAGACTAGTAAGTGAAAATAAAGCATTAAGCCGGAACAAGATGTGTGTGCACGCCTATGATATACATAATATTTTTTAAAAAAATATAGAACATTTTTTTTTTAAATGGATATGTTTTAACCTAGGTGTCAATCTGAAATTTGCTTAGACATTTTCGTTTTAAATCTAGTTATTATTATTGTATTTATTTAATTTGTGTTACTCGTTTACTCAATTTCATTCACTCGAGTGGTGGTATATAGTATTTCTGTTTTTCGCGATGGAAATAAACGTTAAGCTATAACTAAATATGAAGAATTTAACCATATAGGGTATCATATTGTATCATAATCATGATTAAAAATGTAATCGTATTGGTTATGTGGACCCGTTATGCTAAAAACATATCCATGAGAAAATGTTTTTCGGTAGTCGGAGAAAATAAATTTTTTTTTTGTTGCAGTCTTTTTTTTAAAAATGTACAGTCATGGATTTGCTACCATTATTATATCGAATGCATTGATAGTTTTTTTCATCGTCCACCAAATTACTTGGTATAATTACGGCGACAAAATTGTGACTTTACACTTTTGAAGACTGAATATGCAATCCAGTCATAAAGGTCAACGATGACTTTAAAATATATTGTGTATACATTTGAAAAAATATATTTATAAATAACTAATAATTTGTCGATTAGTGATGATTTCAGACAGACCAAACCGCTGATTAATCCAAGCGTAATGAATCCAAACTCTCCGAACGATTGTGAGATTGTCGTTACTAATAGTTCTTTAACGTAAGCAATAAAATTACTTATAAAAATGTCACACTTTAATAAATTATATTATATTTTAAAATATATTTGTTCCGTAGCGAGTATTCCGAGTTCTTAGAAGTAAACCTCAAAAAGCTCAACATGAAAGTCGATTTGTTGTTTCCGAAACCAGAAATACCTATTAATCGTGTACTTGGAACCTTAGCACAAAGAGGAACTTTTTATGTTTTAGTTGTTCGGGAAGAAAACAAATTGTACAGAAGTGTTACTGTTGATATACTTCATGGAGTACCTGAAGGTAAAACAAATTTGTTATTTTAAAATTATGCGTAACCTACTCTTATACATGTGTAGGTAATTTTGTAAATAAATGTTATAACCAATGTATCTAATCCTTATTATATGTATTATAATAAGTGACTTTGCAATAACAAAACTTGAATAATAATAAAACATAAAAATTAAAAAAAAATTACTAAGTACATAGTTTGTAAACAAATTTACTAATATAATTAATATTTCAATATTTGTATAGGTTAGTAATATCCAGACTAAACTAAATTGAATTGTTTATTTGTTATTTCTAACACTAACTGAATTAGTTGACTAACTTAACTAGTGTCTAAATAAATATAATTAAGATTGGAAATAATATATTATTTAAATTTCAAATATTTAATGAATAATTATTTCGACTGGCTCTTGAAAGTTAAATAGTGCTTGTTTGTTTAATATCTTTTAGCAAAATGAACATCGTGTAATGATAATAATGTAATAATAATTTGCAGAACATAGAAATATGCCGTACAAAGATGCTCTCACATTAATTGTTCATAGTTTTGACGCTTATATGAGAGGTGAAAAAATGGCGCCCATTCCTGGTGTATCTGGTATTCCTATATCTGAATGTGGTATACCATTAGGAGACAAACATCCAGAGGGAATTACTACATTATTAAATTTGTTACAAGATCAAAGAGACCTCACAGTACTTCAATACGATATGGTAAGAAAACTACAAACAATTATTTGATTAGAGTTGACCAGATACACAAAGCTCTTATGTTAAACTCAATATTTCGGTCTAAGGACAAATAATAATAATATGAAAAATCAGAGCTTTGAACCCGAATTATTTATTTGAGTTAGGGCTTTTCGGGCCATATTATGCAATATATTGGTTAGAGTTTCGTTCTTATTTAAAATTTTTGATATTCGGTTTAGGCTAACCTAAATAATTGGGTTAATATGGGTTATGATTTTATTATGAAACATTTAGTTTGGGTTTTTGGAGTGTATACAGATTGTATGGGTTAGATCTCATTTGGAGGGTTCAGAGCGAAAGTGAACCAAGTCTATCACAGCTGATTTCCAATAATTGGCTCCTAAATTGTTTTTTGCATAATCTACTCTGTGGTACAATGTTATCATTTTGCGGCAGTGAGATGAACTAAGGACTTGGTTCACTGTGGCACTGAAAGATATTACTTTTACACTTATTTTGTGCGATAAACCTCACCATGTGAAAAAAATGTACTTGGTTCCGTTTTTGCACTGAGCCCTCCATTTGTTTTCAAAGGCCCGATAAAAAATTACACATCATGTCTTTTTTACATTTAGTTAATTTTTTTTTTTAATTTTAGATGTTGCAATATTTAAAAGAAAAAAAAGAGGAACATATTAAAGAAGAAGTCGGTGTTGTTCCTAGTTTTAACAAACCAAGTAATAATGATTATACAGTAAAAGAATGTTTTTTAGAACGTGGACCAATAAAAATGACATTTTAGGATTTTTTTTTTTTGCTGGTAAATTACTTCTAAGAACTTGTAAAAGGCATCTTCTTGGGGTTAAACGCATTGTGTAGGTAACATTTCTAAAATTTAATATCACTATAGTTTAAAATAACCTCATTTAAAACTGATATCAGAATAAACATGATTTTTAGTTTTTCTGTGTAATATTATCAACATGTTCCATAATGGTTTTGGACTTAACAATAAGTTTCAATAACTTAATGAAACAGAACTATAAATTAAGTTATGTTCCATACGAGTTTGCAACATTGAATTAAGTTGTGGTGTATTGTGAAATTAAATTACTTTATATGAATTCCGTTGAATCAAATTAGAGCGTTAAAAAATTTTTTTTTTTAAATTAATTCAAGAACTTTACTATTTTTAAACTATTAATTTTAGGACATTTTTGGTACTTGAAAAAAAAAATTAATTTAAATCTTCAGGGAAGTAGAGAAAGTAAGGGAAGAAATACATCCATTTTAAAATATGTTGTATGAAAATTATTTTTAAAAAAAAATATCCTAAATTGACATTTTATTGGGTTTAAAATGCCTAAATAGCTAATAAAAATTAATTTTCTAACAAAAAGTAATATATTTAACATTTATTTCAGCCACCGATTTGCCAATCCTTCCAGCCGCCGCTGCTATACAAAATCCACAAGCCGCTCATCTACATAAGCGTATTTTGAGTATTCTCAATCATAAACCATTATCGTCTACTGAAGTAAGCCAGGCTGAAAAAGATTCCACTAGTATTCTTAAAGAACCAAAGATACAAAAAGCATTAGAAAGTTTATTTCAGGGAGGTACTTTATTAAGAAAGTAAATACAATTAAATGTATTAATTTAGTATTTTTTTTTTTTTGCTCATTGTAAATAAAATTATTTTATATTATTATTATGGTTTTTATATCTTGTGTGATTGTTATAACTTTTTAGTATTGACCTTTTCTTAAATATTTTCCTTTTTTTGTAATCTTGTAATGTTATTTGATCAATTCTCTTATGAAAAAACAGTGTACCTAATAACTAATAGTGTTATAATTGAAATAAATAATACTAGTATTTGTATGGTTTTCCGTTTTATAATAAAAATGATTTGTAATAAATTTACGTATGAAATAAAAACTGTAACTATAGTTACAGTCTATCGTTCAATTTTTAATTAGAATAACGATTATTTTTCAAAAAACAACTGTATTGTTATTTTATTAGTCGACATGCTGCCTTTTTCTCTCTCCACAAAACCATTTTGATATTTATAATAATATCAATCCATTTTTTTTAAATTTACAGCTTAGTTTAATTTGATGTTAAATTTAAAAGTTTTAAATTATTCCCAAAAGGAATGTCGGAATGATAGAACATTAGGTTAGAGACAAATTGTCTAATAACCGATTCAGGACTTCAGCAAAAAGTAATTAGAAATATATGCAGGTAGGTTACTTTATTTTTTAAATGATCATAACAAATGTATTTATATTAATGAGAAGTTCCTATTTACAACAATTTATTATTATTATATGTACATATTTTAACTTAAATCTTCTTTTTCACCTTTAACTTTTCTTGATCTTTTATTTTATCTTCTTTGTCCTCAATGAGATCTTTTTCATTTATTTGGATGTAACACACCGTTGATAATATATTCAGCATTAGTAAATTCTACTTTTGATCCAACTTCTATGCCGTCAACGGTCATGGGACGACGACCACCACCAAAGTCTGTGTGAGGACCCTTACGTGGAAAAATCCTTTCATCAACTATAAATATTAAAAAAATTCGAATTCGTTAAAATTGAGTATGGCGATAAACATTTTTGTCAAATATCTCAATTTTTTTCAATATATATTATGGAAACCCCCCACAAAAAAAAAGTAAAAACCGCTTTCACGTTGCATGTAATTTCTAAGTTGTTATGTCTGAATGCGAATCAAAAAATATCAGAAAAAGAGTCAAAAGATTATTATAGTCAGACGATTGACCCTAAAAAAATTTTGGAAAACACTTTTCACTTACAATAGTAGCGCCGTTACTACTACTATTTATTTATTTGTATAAACGCTATTTGGCTTTTACCACTATAAAATTACATGACATGGTAGTATTAGAAAAACAAAAAAATAAAATACTATTAAATTCAAAATCAACAATTGATGACTTCACTAAAAAATAGTTGCTCGAAAATCATTGGAAACCACCAATAGGCTACAATTTTCTTTATTCAAATCACACGAAAAATGGAACTCTCAGTAAACGATTTTTAAAACAAGAGCATTTAAATAAATATTTCTGGCTTGTTTTGTCACAAATAAACAGAATCAATAATCTCTTTTCCCTATCTTTCCCCGATAATCACTGTATCTATCTATCTAATTCTAGTTATTCAATAAAATTTGATCGAAAACAAAATTTTCGTAATTTTAGTTGTATACGCGACAGGATTGCAGTAGGTAGTGGCGTACTTACGGGGGGGGGGGGTCAAACCCCCCAAGAGCCAAAAAAAAAATTGTGAGTAAGTAATATATTTATTGTATAATTAAACTAAATAAAGAACTTTACGACTCTATTGCTAACTATTATTAAGGGGTTCGATATTGGTAATTATTATTTAAGTTAAAAATAAATGATAAAACAAATCCTAACAGACACTTGTTAGTGTTAATTATATTCATGAAATTTGTTCTGTCATACAGCAAAAAGCATTGTACCCCTTTTTTGGTCCGACTATGAGAACGAGACTTATACAAGAGGGTTAGGGGGCAACATTTATTTTGCATATCATTCCCTAGAAGAAAATTGTAATAGGTACTCTACTGGAATTTTTTTTTAAAATTTAATTTCAATAATTTAACTATAAATCGTCGGTGAAAAACTCTGAAAACCTAATACAAAATACACATATTATGCTAGTTTGCCTAACGAGTTGAGTATAAAGTAGAAAAGTAAGCACCACAGACTATATGAAATTTCATCTAGTCCGTGGTAAGCAGATTAAATAATATACTACTTTACTTGATATTTTAATTAATGGTAAGCGTGGTACCTATCATACAGAAAACATATGACGACAACAGTTATTATTATTGACAATACACTAGAGTTTACGGAACGATCAGCTGTCGGTGTGTTTATATTTTGTTTGCGTTCAGCAGTAGCCGGTTGTGCGCATGTGCAAAATAACATTTTATTATTGTGTGTGTTGATACTGCGCCGTTGTCAGCTCTCTTGTCACTCGCACAGCAATATAGTATGTAGGTAAATAGTAATCTCAAATCTGCAGTCTGTGCTCTAGTCTTTGTTCTTGTGTTGTGCCGTGGGGTCGTGTTGGATTGCAGTCCCCCCCGTAATACGTCTTGTGCTGACCGAAGAAAATACAATTATTTTTTTTTCTTGAACCACAGAGATCATATTAAGTAATTGTTGTCTTTAAAAAGCTAATAATGCCGTTTATATCAAAGGATTGGCGATCTCCGGGAGAAGTATGGGTTAAAACCGAAGAGGGCTGGGAAAAAAAGAAAATCCTGGAGTGCTGTAATTTTCTTCTCGGTCAACAGGAAAATATTTTGACCAGGTACCTATTTACTAATCTACGTTTAATCGAACCATCCAATGCTTATCTTTTTAATGCTTTATCTTTTATGCTTTGTGTTGAGATTTAAAAAAAAGGCACTTTATACCTCTTAAAATTACATAAAAAGTATAATAAATTATATTTTTTAATATCTATATAATATAGAATTATTAATATATTAAAATAAGTATTTATAAAGTTATAATAATGTAGTATATGTGTGTATTACTTTTTTTTATACAGATACTCGGATTCAGAAGACTCTGAAGATTGTGACGATAAAAAGCCAAATGACAATTGGTAAGCGTTTTTAAAATTTTACTTTTTCGGCAGGTACTATGTAAATTATTAACTATTAAAAGTGTATCTATCGTCTTTGAATTTAAATTCATAGCTCTATTTTAATTGGTATTCAATCTGTTGGATTAAAATTATTTTATATAGATTAAGATTTGATTATAAATTGTTAAAAACAAAAAATTACTACCATATTAGTATCCATTGTACTTGCTAATTATTTCTTGGGTATTACAGATTGTAATAAATTAATTAATTCTGCCTTATTTATTAGTTTAATTTGTGAATTTTAGATACATTTTTGTTTAAAACGTGTACATTGTGTACAAGGTATATTAATTAAATAAAAGGGTCTTTGTTTCACTACAATTTCCCATTTATCACTATTATCACTATCTTCTAGTTTTGTAGTTTAAGAAAACTATATAGTGTTTAAATCAAAAGGGCAAAAAAAAGAATTACTCGTGTTCGTTAACACCGTTACATCTTAATGAACCTAAAAGGACTGATTTTTATGTGATTATTCAACCAAATTGTTTAATCACACAGGCCAATATTTTTCTTTAGTCTGTCCTAATTTTTAATTATATATTCTTATATTTTAGTATCTAATATCATCATAGATTTTAATAACGCTACAAAAAAGTTAAATGCAATTGAATTAATTTATTGGCACCTTTTAAATTATTTCATAGGTTTTTTTGAATTCGCACAGTGTGCAGCAGTGCACGCTGCATTCCCTCTCGTTGCACACCGCATTATAGACTATGCTGTATTTTTTTTAGCAACTCATTTTACCAATGAACCTGAAACATGTATAGTTTATTACAGAGTGGAACCTAAAACGGTGCTGCCAAAAAAAACCTATATCTCTACTTTTAGTAAACAGTGGTACTTTCTAACTTATATGTGAACTGAAGCAACCTCTTCATACAATACTAGCGTTAGGGAAATTTTTTATAGAAAACAAGGTTGTTATGGTCATAAAGGTATTTATTACCTATTAATAAAAAGGTTAGGGGTTGGGTGGTTTTTTAATTTTGCTTTACTTAAAAGTATGAGACTAGGTCAAAAAAACTACTAACCCCTATGATAAATCTATTAGGACTAGGCTTCATCAATTTTTATGAGATTTGAACCTAAAATAATCTTAAGATATATCAATGTTCTTGGTTCAGGTCGACAAAATCTACTAAAAAAAACAGTAGCGTGTCAGAATTAAGACTAAAAATAAAAATACTGGTATCACAGCTAATTAAATTATTACTAAATTACTAGTCGCCAAATTTCAGCTAGTATTTTATAATCTTATTATTAAAAAATTATAGGGAATATAAAAAAATTATGATTTTACTTGCAAGACCAAGCTGATTCAAGGCCACTTATGAAGAAGTGCCACTATAGAGAAGACAAGTCTAATACACGGTAAAGTGTATTGTAGCTGAGTAATAAAATCAGTCTCATAAAATGTTTCAATGCGAATCTAGATTATAAAAAGTATTAAATACAGGCATTAAATATGTTAATATTAATAAATTATTATTTTGGGTTTCTTAAAAAAACATTTTTTTTTTAAATGAATTTAACTATATTTTGGAAAGTTATAGCATTGAGTATATTCAATGGTTATAGCGTGCCATAGTTTTTGAGTTAAAAAAAGATCATAATTTTTAGTGTGTCTTTCTTGATTTTAAAAGGAAAGGGATAAACTCTTCTATATATTTTAGCTGTTTTTTTATGCAACATTTTTTACATACATACATTCTTGTGTTTGAATTCTCTGAAATTGGTGAACCGATTTCTTTATGTTTATGTAGTATGATTTCTTCAAGTCTATAAATTAAAAATCGTACCTGAAAAGTAAAGTACTTTATTGGACATTCTAACATTTATTCTAACATTTTAGAAATTCACCCCTTCCCAACCAAATCGAGAAAAATACCCAAATATACTCTGCGCCACGAGAGAAGTAACCCGTTGCTCGACCGAAACGCGTCCAATTCCATATAGTTCACATATTTTTCAATTTAAATTTTAAGCGCTCTATTCATTTTTTAGAAACAGTCGATGAGTTAGCTCCAATTTTGTATGGAATATTTTTTAGTTATAGTACTATCAATAAACCGTCAAATCCATCTAGAAACCATCATTTCATTAGGCCTTTAAGCCCGTTAAGCTTAATGATGATTATCAATAAATGTCGACAACCAATAAAATATCAATAACCATTTCCTTTGAAAGAGTGGAACCTTTTTATTTATTTCACTTTTCTGATCATAGTTTTTGGACTTAAGGTTTGAAAAATTTGATTGAAGTTAGATCTAGAGTGCGGCTGTAACATGAACGATTTTCTCAAAGCTTTTTTCTTTACTAACGAAAAAATAATTAAAAAATGGGAGTAGTACATTTTCAGGTTGCTATTTGAAAACGGAATCAACAGTCAATAGGTACCTAAAATATATTTTCATTATATTGTTAATTGCAATATTATGTAATGAGTAACAACGGCATCAAATGATTAGGTATAGACTGACGATCAATCTCAATCGTGTCCACCATTCATAGTAAAATACAATTTTAAACATATTGTTGTCATTAAACTGCTTTTTTCGATATTTGTATTTCTATCATTAACGGTTCGCATGAATGCGTTTATTTTAAAGTGATAAGTAACTTTCTGTTGTTGCACTCCTATATGGCCTACTCGCTGTACTGGTTTTTTTTTTATAAATATAACAAAATAATTATACGATCGGTATGAAATGGGTTTAAATGAATTAAGTTTTAGAAATGTTTCTTTTAAAAGTGAAAACACATGAAAAGATTTTTTCCCCATCTGCAATCGACCATTTTCGCCGTAACAGCTGTGCAGATGTGACCGCGCCGTTAAGTCCCTTTCCGTTCCCATCATAGGACATAGTATAATGTAGTGTTGTGCGCGCTTTATCATCGGGTACTGTCGGTATCAAGTTCGGTAGTTTTCGGATCGTTTTACGTAAAGGTATAAGGTAAAGATATTAATTATTCAAAAACACGTATTTTTTTAAATCGATTACGGTTTTTCATTATTATCTTCCAACTTTTTTGTACAGATAAAATAATGCAGTCAAAATATTACCCGAGGCTTACGGTATACAAGTTGTTAGTGTTATAAAAATAACTGTATATAATTAGCCTCAATAGCACACTTTTAATGTTAATATTTAAACTGATATTTTTTGGTTGCGTTTTACCAGTTTTTGTATTTTTATTTGTCTAGTGAAAGGTGCTGTGTACAGGGCTGATGCATATTGAGATGTTATTCCAGTCTGGGAAAATATTATATAAGGGAGTAGATACTTTTTATCGGGTTTTTAATTTATAGTGCTTGTATGCAACAACACACTGAGGAAGTACGAACGACGATATACTACCATAAATATTATTTATTTTTGATATAAATGTATTTATGTTTCTGTTAATGTTGGAAATGCGTTATATTACATAGTTTGTGAGCACTATATTTTATTTGGACGGAAAAATAAGAGGTGTCTGGAATCGTTGTATTCGCTGTTAAGATTTCAGTGAAGGAAGGTCCTAATGCTCTAAACAGCTCCAGTGTAAAGAGACACGTTTTATTATTATCTAAAATTATAAATATATGCATTAGTAGTCCGTACTCCAGTACAAAATAAGTATTCTAAACTGTTGCCCGCGTTACAAATTGTGAGGTTCAACCAAACAGTTTTTTGGGGTCATTTAGAGTTGATACAAATACTTACGAGAGAAAACAAAATTGTAAAGTCGACCACCAAGTAAAAAAAATTCGCAATTATTGGTGTTATAATTTTTAATAACACAGTAAAACCAAGATTATTTTTAACACGCTTATATTTTGTATTTTTGAAACAAGGACCGAAATACTTCTAATTTTTTAGCTGAATTAGAATCTAGTTTTGGTTTTTCTTCTAGCACAAATAGATAAAAAAAACAAAAATTTTAAATCGCGTTCAAAGTTGTTCCAAATCAGTTGCAAAACATAATTCGTAATTCTCTAAAGTTTTTTTATTTGAAAAAAAATAGAAACTATAAAGATCACGCTGTAAGTAGGTACCACAAAACTGTGTTCTTTTTACAAACTTTGAAGATTAAAATGTTGATTAAAATTTACTATAACCGTTCAATTAGCAATATGATGTCAAATTTATGGGGTTTAATTAAATATTTTTATTTCCGGTCTTATTTAACTAAGTAGTATTAGTATGTTTAAATACTGTAACGAATACGTTACGTGTAATAAATTTCTGGTGCTTAAAAGGATGGTCTACTTTTTAAAATGATGGTGGTGTGAATATTCTCTATACGTAACGTTTTTATGTTATAACTAATTATAAGTAGGTATAATATTGAATATAATATGTTTTAAGTGCACGAGATGGTATTACTTTTGAATTCCACGTCGCAGAACATTATGTAGGCAGAGTTTGGTTTGTGTTTCTATTATGCAACATTCTACACGTTATACACGTTATGTATGTTGTGTATTTATATAATATAATATTGTAAACATTATATTTCTAACAAATTCGGTTTGTTTCTCGCTATATAGTTAAAACGCTGTAGAAAATTATATTTTAAACTATTTTTTGTTTTTAAACTCGGCCGATAGTATAAATCACAATTCGTTTAATCTACCATATTGTTATATTATGTTTAATATTAATAATTAAGGTACCTGTCGAGCAGTATTAAAAAGAAAATAATTATAATTATTGTAAGCAAACATATGTCAGAGGACTAGTACACAATCTCTAGGAATTGAACTTAAATGTGTTGTATCTTTGTACAGTCTGACAAAAATGTATAACAAGTTATTTTTATATTAAACAATTTCTTCCTTATGGGGTCTGGTACTGAGGCAGTTTTCGGGAACTTTCAGGGATCGTTTTTGATTACTTTTGTGTCTTAACGAACCAAAATTTTCTGATGGCTCGTTAGTAAGTAAGATAAAAATTCGATTTTGTTGTGCTTAACGCAAGAAACGCAATAGAAAAAGTATAAAAACATGCACGCTCCTTACATCGATTAAAAAAAACGAAAAATTATATAAAGTCTTCTTGCATACAGGGACACCAATATCTTTAAAAATTGTGGATATAATTTGAAATGGTTATATATATATATTTATAGGGTTATTCATTAAGGATAAAATACTTGGCACACGCTTAATAATGTATATTATACATAATACGGAATTGGTTTTATTTGTTTTAATAGTATATTAACTACCGGAGGTTAATGGCCATTGGCCGTTAGTTTGTCGCCGTTGCCGGTGCTTTCCTTATTTAAAAATAACTACCTATTCCAGTTGTATGTGTGCAGGTTATTTTTCGTATGGTTATACTTAAGACTATGTTTTTTTATTTGGCTTGAGTCCATTTGTCGAACTGCGGCGTTTTCGAAATGTAATGAAATTGTTGAACTACATCCAGATTTGGAACAAAGGCATGATTCGATATTATGAATCTATGCGAGGCTTTTTTTTGTTTAGGTACATTGTACGTATTTAAATATAGAACAATTTTAAAATCTGCGCATATAAATTTGTGTTTCTAAGAAGACGAATATAAAACACGTAAGAGTTATTTATTGCGTAGAGTTTTTATTAAAGTTTTTGTAAATAGTAATAATAATATGCTTAAAGAAGACAAAGAAAACGACATTCGTCATACTATTTGTGGGTTAATAAATATTCATAATATTTCTATTATTACTTTTTAATAAACGAGAACAGGTGTACAATACAATTAAATAAAAAAAATAACCGGAAATTCTAATTCCCATTTATTGCGTCCTAATTCTACGACTGAAAAAAATCATAAGTGTCATCATAAAAAAACGATTTAATGTAATACAATTGATTTACCTACTTTAATGTAGACGCATCAACTGTTTTTTTTTTTGGTTTGTTGGTCGACAAGATTTACTTTCTCCCACGTTGTTTTCCCACATCATTGACATAATTAGAATTTCGAATATACGCCGTAACGTGTAAAAAACTGTTTTTTTAATTATTTTACAGTATATTTTGTTAAAAAAATTGGACTGTAAAAATCTGTCAAGTTCACATCTAATGATATAATTGGTTGTATGATAGAAATCTAAATGCCACTGCAGCAGTGGGTAATACAATCGTTTAATAATGTTCATAATATTTATATTGCATCTATTAGAATATAGTAGATACAATGAATGATGATAATTAGATTATTCGACGGTATCTAGTAGAATAACTTGAAAAACAATCGTATTACACACTGCAAATATAGTGTGACACTATCGACTATCTATTATCTACAGTGAAAAAAACTATTTACTGTGGAGTTTAACACGCCAATAATTATAGGTCTTAATCATCGTTATCATCAAGCCGTACTTAAATAAAAATATGCGTAACGCAATTATTATGGAGAAAATGTTTTGTCTCTTTCTCTCGACCGTAAACATTTTTCTCTAGCTATCGATTTCTCTTCAACTCTCTTATTAAAGTGAATCAGAGCTTAGGAACATTTAATATTTTCCGTTGGCGTTCCAAATTCAAATAATAATATAGTATTGTACAAGGTTTTGGTAATATTGTCATGTCGGACAACAGAATTTAAACCATCGCTAGGGATCGTATTAAGTTTATTTGATTTTATACACATTTTAATTGCTCATAAAAAAAAATACATCGTTGAACGTTAAATTTGAAGTAGACATGCATAACAGTGCAGTGTACAGAGTACATACCAATTAAGAAGTACCGTATGTATGTACATCAACGGTACAATCATAATCTACTACATATCATATCATATTTACTTAGCAGTTTTATAAACTTATAGTTAGATTTAAATACAATATTCATACAATCGTATACTCTTTCTTTATCCAGAAAACATATTGTACATTGTGTATTCAAATAGTGTTAATTAGTATTGATGAAAAAAAAATACATACGATTCTGAAGTGTTTTTACAAGTACTTAAATACTTTCCAACGTATTATATATATTTTATAAACTGTTATAATATCCTACATAGTTATTTTTTTAAAAATATTTTTGTATCGTGATAACATTGATTTAAACATGTAAATGGTATATCTACTAAATTGATATTACTGAGTTATTTTGTTTATTCCTAGGAGCTTCTAGTTTTGACCCAAACACATGTGTTTTATTGGGTACTAAGCTAACTTAACTAGGTCAACTTCAATTAAAAAACAAAATCGCTGGTCTACCTAATACTTATTATTATAAATTACCCATTATTAACTAAATTCGTGTTTTATATATTATTACACATTTGACCAACAAACCACTAATCAATTACCGTAGAATTTCTGTTGTTACTCAAAATTTTCTATTTGTAAAATTATAAAATAGATAGCAATTGTTTTTATGAGGAAACTTATAAAAAACTATAGTTTATCATTAGACGTAAATTCTAGGTACCTATCAGTAATTGGCATACCTTAGTTTATGCACGGTATTAATTTTATTTAATATATGGTTTTTATAATAATTATATTTTATTTTTCGAATAATTATTTACGCAACATGTATGTTTTTCTTTTAAAGGGACGAAGAAAATGAAGATACTGGCAATAAAATTAAACACATCAGAATGAAATATCCCAGCGAAAGTCAATGTGAGTAATAAAAAAATAATTGTGAATGTGTCTAGTTCTAATGGTATAAATCTATTTTTCCAATATTTACGACTGTACCTATTAAAGGGAATCCCGCAAACATCAATTGATAACATAATAATATTAGGATATGATTATTATTTAAAAATAGTACAGAACATAATTTATTACCTCGCATTCAATTGGTTCCGAACAAAGCTTTTTAAGATAATGCACACACGTCTTATTATATGTTAACCATCTGTTTTACATGTTGTGCTAACACACAGAGTCATTAAGAAAATAGCCTAATTATCCTACAAACGTCCTTCCTTAGTAATTTTGATTTTGTATTGCTCAGACTTCTGTATAATTATATTTTCTTTTCATAAAAAAATTACCTTAATAGTATAATTATCGACTAAAAAAAAAAATTGCTATACAATTAATTGTGTATACTAAACATACCGATTTTTCAAGCAGATATCTGCTAATTAGTTTGTTAATTATGACCAAGCTAATATTATCTCCTACAACTCGATTATTGTTTTAACTTTGGTGGACTTTTTTTTTTTTGCGCCGAGATGAAAGATAACACCACTTTTGTTCTCTTTCAATCCTAAAAAATTTTTAGAGTATAGAAATATAATTAGATATTTATGTTTAGAGTTTAACTTCTAAAAAAATAGTCCAGTTATTTTCAAATTTGTATGGAATATATTATAGTATTATTGTTAAAATAATTACTGAAATCTATGACCTCCCCATCCCACTAAGCCCTGACCCTACTGTGTTCGCTTTTTTATTAAACTTTCTTGTATAGGTAAGTAAACAAAATTAAGTACAAAAGTGGCTATTTGAAAATTAGAAGTCAATGGAAATATAATTCATTTAAAAGGGGAATAATTCTGTATAAATTATTAAAAAATGGATTTATCTCAAAAAATAAATAATTAATAAATAATAATTAAATTATTTGATATAATATATTGTATTTATATACGTGTCGTTTTTCAGATGATGGTGTCATTCAACCACATTGTCATATCACAATTAAGTGTACCAAAGAGGTAAATTTGTTTTGTCCATAATATTATATGCCTTTAGATTTAATTTAATTTATTTACTACTGTTATTAAAAATATATAATAATTTAAATCTGGTATTTTTTAATTTTATTTTCCTTATTTTTTTTTAATACCTTTATCATAGTTTTGTTTTAGAATCTTATAAATCCTAGGATTATAACATTATCAAATATCCTAAAAATCTCTTTATTTCACACTTTTTTTTTACTTAGTTACTACCGCTTAAAGAAACCATAAGCATTAACTAGGTTCATTTCACTCACACAGGGAGTATATATATCTTAATTATATTTTCTGATATATTATTAATGCATACTAAATATCACATAATTTTAGTTTTACTACAAACCAGTGTGATGTTCTTTTTATTGTAACAATAATATGTTATTATATTTTCAAATGTTTCAGATTGCTGGTTTTAATGGTTTAAGCGAAGCGCTTAAACGTTTAGACTTCCGCTCTGCAGTGCACGATATTCGTCGTTTTCACTATATTATAAAACTGCTTGATTTACTCGTTTCGCACAGACTGAATGCGTTATCTGGTTGTGCTCAAAGAGTGCTTTTCAATATAATCGAAGAAGTGGCACGACAAGGTAAGCAAATAAAAAACTCTACCTCTAAAAAAAAAATTTTTTTTTAATATTATCTATTGGAAAATTTTATTTTATTACTATTGAATTTTATTGAACTTGGTTTAAAAAGAAAAATTATTTTTATTATTTAGTTTCGGAGAGTCAACAGAACAAACACATGTTGGATCGTCTACTGAGTCAACTTCGGGAAGTTGTGGAGTGTGCTTGTTGGGGCAGACCTTTAGGCTCGACTATCTTATGGGAACAGCATATGAATAGAATAAACCGTATACACGAAATAGCTGATCGTATTGAGATCAATCAGGTAATTATTATTTGTTATAATATCTTATTGTAAATGTTGGAGGAACCTATAAAATAACAAATTATGTTACGTAGTAAATTATCTTTTATACCTAAGGCAGTCGCAAAATTAGCGGGTAAGATGGAAAATCTTACCCTACTTGATTTGAGCTTGGTAGATTTTTCTGAAATTCTTTACACAAGATATTTTTTGATTTTTTCAATTTCTATTTCTATTGAACCATTTCATATACATCATGAAAATCACAATTTAGTTCTTAAAAACTGAAAAACATGTGGAAAAATAATTTTTTAATTTTTAACAAAATTACACACTATAAATAACATTTTTATCTTCACATGTTTTTTCGGTAAATTATGCACAGTTAATAAAAATTCTAAAATAAAATTGTCATTGACTTTTAAAAGATTAGAATAAAAGGAGCATTAAAAAAAGTAATCTTCTATCTGATTCTACTTTTTTTTTTCATTAAGCAAATAAAGCCACGACAATTAAATCTATAGCGTTAGGTCAGCAACTAGCTTACACCCTGATTAAAAAAAGGTACATATTCTTTTTTTTTTTAAAAAAGATACATATTATACATTGTTTTAATTCGTTTTAGCCTGGCGACAATGATGAACCTAAGTTTCAGCAGTTACCAGAGGAGTGTGTGCGCGAGGTGTTGCTACGGTTGGCAGATCATAGAGATTTAGAACGATCGGCACACGCTTGGGACGTGATGGCTCATTTAGTAGACGAGTTACGCATATGGCGCGAGTTGTGTCAATTTCACTTTAGCCCGCGCCAAATACAATCTGTGATCGACAGTTCACCTACTACCAGCCAAGATTGGCAATCTGTATACCATAAGTTAAGAAAGTGAGTAAAATTTGTGACATTTTTGTTTCGGGATTCGTTACAAATCATTGTCGTTTTATCAGGTGTTATGGATTACGTGAAGAATACGCAGAAATGATCCAATTGTGTCGAAATTGCCGTTGTTTGTTTTGGCACAGTATTGGACATCCTTGTTTCGCTGATTCAGATCCAAACTTTATGGAAAAACTCGAGGACGTAGATAAAAACTCGTTGTATGTACCGATACCGCCACAAGCTTTTCTTAAGTTTTTCTCACTTTAAATATAGTTTCTTGTATTTGACCAAACAAACTTTTCTTTGCAACCGATTGTGTAATTAGCAAGTTCGCAATAATATTAAAATTATAAAATCAAAACAAAAATCTTAAAAGATGTGGAAGGCCAGCTTATAATGTAAGCCTGTATACGTTTTACTCTTTATCTAGCATAAAATATATAATTTAAAAAAAGTCATGTCCATAAATCTCATTTTCTTATTTAATAATGATTTTCGACAATCTACATTGCTCATTTAAGGAAAACATTTCTTATTCTTTATTGTAATTAGCAGTTAAACTTTGAGCAAAAATAATAAAATTTAACTTTTTTGAGTTTCCTAATAATTTTTTATTTCTAGTCACCTCTAATGTGAGTTTATTTTTAATTTTATTAGTTGTACTATTTTAAATTGACCGGGTATTGCAATTTATTATTTTAATTTTTTATGTATGCTGAATAGTTTGTATATTATATCTGTTTTTAATGATGAGATGCATTATTTTGTTTTCAACATTTTGAAATTCAGATTCAACAAAAATACATAATATAATAATAATTAATCATTTCTTGCCATTTACAATTTTTTTTTCTACCAACATTGACGTTGGGCTTATGACAAATTTGAAATTAATAATTTTCAAAAATGTCTGTCGACATAAATATATATTTATACATATGTGTTATATTTGTGAATGAAATGTGATAAGTTTAAAATGACAAAAGAAAAAAAACAATCTTTTTAATATGAGCATACAATATATAATTAAAATAAAGTTTCTTAATTTAAAATATATTTTATGTAATAATTAATAGATTGTTAACATTGTGTATTGATATAATGGTTAAAAATTAAAAAAATTATAAGTATTTGTTTAATACTTTATATTGTGACTGGATTTTATTCGACGAATCAATATAAATAAAAAACAGTAATCTATTTTTGTAGATTAAAATGTAAATTTCTAAGAAATTGTATGTTATCAGATTATATTCTGTGGAAAAGTTCTACATTAAGTTAAGAAAATGCTAGTATTTTACTATAAATAAGTATAATTTGGTTTTCTTTGAATAAAACTTTTACGAACTATACAAAATAAAACAAAATATTATTCTTCAAAAAACTAGTTCATAGTCGTAACATAATTTTTTTATTAAAATTAACTACCAAGTATGTTAAGATATATTATAAATTGTATACCATTGCACATTTATGTCATGTGTAAAATAATAGTGTTCTATAATCATTACCTAAAACTCGTGACACTATGATTAAACATTAAATTAGTTTCCTAATAACACTACTTTTAAGTTGAACAGTTCTTAGGGAAAACTTATTTTCTAAACTAGTTTTAAGTAGATTTCAACGTGTAATAACGTAATAATATGATATATAAAGCAACTAAATATTTTTAGAAGCATAAAAATATATATGTGTTGAATCATAAATGTGCACTTAAATGTAAAAACAAAAAAAAATGTCTTGTTATTAATTTTAGAGTTTATGTTATTTGGGTACCGTTTTTTTTTAATTATTATTTGTTAAGTAATACACTAAAAGTGTTAGATTTTTTTATTTAACTTTACTATTGTGGTCTAAAATCAATTTTATTTTGTGAGTTACGCATTTGGTACCTATGTGATTTTATTTATAATTATTTACATTAACTTTTTTACTTATATCATTTATGTAAAACTGTTTGTTATCAGATATTGTTTTAAAACCATGCATTTTATTATTTGATTTGGTTCTTTTCTTAAAATCTATTAAATTTCTCTTTATTCGTGACTACTTCTGTGTAATTTTTATTCTACAAAAACTATATTATTATTATTAAATTGTTTGAGGATTTGAACGACTCAAATGAACTCATTGAAGGACGTGAAGTATTATACTTAACTAAGTCTTGGGAATGCTCCTTTTTAAAAAGACAACTTGTTCAAACGACAAACGTAAATACTTTATCACCACTCGAAAGAGCAACAAAACTCACTAAAACTGAACGTTTTGACTGGTCAGTTGGGAAATTTATACTTGGTAAAATTAACAAAAATTTAAAAAAAAAGTTTTGTGTTAAAGGGATTACCCTTTGTATGTGAATAGTTTGTTAAATATCAACAAAAATTGCAATGAGTAAAATATTTATTGACAGGTAATTGTGTAAAATTTTATTAGAATTATTTGTTCAGAATAGTATTTTTTAAGAAACTTTTCAAAAATAAAATTAATTTAAAAATAAAAAAATTAACTAATTTCACTAGTGATTTGAAATAATACATCTCTTGAAGAAAAGACGTGATGAACTATAAACAATATGTGCTCTATACCCCCCACCCTCCCTACACATTTGTCACTACCCCAACCGCATTCCTTTTTCTTATTTCTCTTTACCATTTTTTTCCCCTGTGCAACAAATAAGCGTCACCCAAAATGTTCGACAAATCCCCAGCTATATCTAAGTTTTGTCAAAAATTGTACGTGTAAAATATATTTTTTAAAATTACTTATACTTCTATAGTTAATAGTTCGCTTAATTTATGTATTTCACAAAAATATATCACCATCCCTTATGTGTTTTAACTTTATGAACTTAAGGTTTAAACATATTTTATAAACTTTTTAAATTAAGACCAATTTGGTTCCTAAAACATTTTTACTAGTCGATAATTTGTTTTTAATAATGACATTTAAAGTATAATTATTCAAAATTGGTTATCGACCAGGCAAAATTGTCTGCAAATTAATTAAGTTTATAAAGTTTAGATAATAATAGGCATACACGACACCGTTTAAAAATCTTAAGTTCATAGGATTTTTACTCGTAAGGGATGGGGTTATGTGTTTAAAAAATATAATATATTGAGTTCTGGCTGACTCAAGTTTATGAAAAAGTTTAATATATTTTAAGATATTGATACTGGGTCGTAGTTAACCAATCATTCTGTATATAGCCGTTAGGGTAAAATACACGACAAAATATTATTTCATATGTAATTAGCGATTTTGCTCTCAATTCTCAACAATCGCCGATAGTGTGCATACATTTTAGATTCGATCATTGTAAGTACGCAACATTATTAAATTAGTCATCGACATGTATTGAGGTCAGGTAATCCTATATAATATATACATACATAAAATATGAATGCATAATATAAATGCGGTATATGCACCAAAATTGCATATTCCTTTAGGTTGCAAGTTCATGCATTAGTATTAGTTTGTTCCATATAAGATAATCCATAATATATAACCATATCTATTCACAAGACTAGTTAAACGCAATAATAGATTCCTCTCGTATGTCATTTTTTATTTAGCTGTAATATTTATAACGACCTATATATTTTGTACGGTGCGATTAAAATTGAAAACTGGAAATTAATTATTAATATTTTATCGTTGCATTTATCAGTCGCAAATAAACGGTCAAACGTATGTACAGAATGTTATACGTAGTGAATTTTTCTTCGAAAATACAAAATTATGTTATTTCTGAAAATTAACAGTTATACTTAACTTAATATATATATTTTTTTCAACGAGTGAATTTACTGCAAAAACAAAAGACCGCGATTAATATAGTTTTATAATACGGTAAAATCATTCTACAAGTTTTAAATAAATTAACTGTATAACGACTGTGGCTAGGTCATCTCTTCTGTGCTGATTTTGTACAGAAAAAGTGGAATCGCTGGAAACTGTTATTTAAACCACTTTATTTCCGAGAATTTCATACAGAATTTGGCCATTTTTAATTAAACGATTATTATAATATATTGATTATTGATGGAACACCGGGTGTATAACATATTTTAATAGTGGCCTTGATAAGCACATGCACACCGTCGATACTTTGAATATTTTTTGAATGCGATTTGCATGAATTAAAATCAAGGCTGACTATTTTTGTAGAGTAGACCTATTATAAGTATTACGCGAACAGCTACTAGAGACAACTAGTTTTTTTCTGTTTTTTTCAATTCTTTGTTATCGCATCTGATCGTCATCATCTATATATACATAATATAGTATAGTAGTTGTTATAAGAGTCGTATACGTCCGCGTGTGATGCGTATCATGGTAAGATATTATATTTTGTGTCGTTGCTCTGTTTAATATTCTGTAGGTCTAATATTATTTAAATTATATTACATTAAAACGATGTTATTTACATTTTTTGAAATTTCGCGTACTTTTCGTTTTACGTTCCATGAAATTCGCCAGCATTTCTATGGATTCGTATAACCACAAAAGTTCGGCAGTCCCAGTTCGAAAATCAACACAATTATATTCCATCACAACCGAATCGATCGTTTTCCGAGTGATCTTAATTAGTTGTTTTATTGCAAGTCTTTCAGCTGTGAGTCTGTCTAAAATGTCCATTAACCCGGTGGTAATACCCACTTCCGTCAAGCAGACCGCTACCGTAAGTATTTTATCAACGTTTTTAATTATTGTTCATAATATCGCATCTACTTACCCGCGGTTGTAATTACTCGTAATAATTTATTAAGTCAGTCCGACTTGTCATAGTTTAATTTTTGCCGTTAAAGACGTATTAGAGTAAAACGTTAGATCAAAAATTTTACTGACCCGGATTCTACAAAAGCAATTAAACTCATTTTACAATTGTTATACTAATGGCTGGCCTATCACTACAAACTTGATACAAAATTCTGATCAAATTTACTTTACCACAAGTCCGCGCAGTCTTCTGCGACATTGATTTTGAAAGTACAACCGATTGACATGGCCTCGTCCGAACCCCCAACTGCAACACTAAATTGTTACAGTTAAATGTCACAGCTAATTCATAGGTTTGTCAAAATTCCATAATTAAATGGTTTGCTGTGCAAGTTTGCGACATTTTGCTGCAACACTACATTTGTATGTAAATTTGTATTAATTTTTTTAATTAAACCTGAGAATCCACAAGAGCGTTATAAAAAAAAAGGGCGATTTAATGAGAACTTTGACTACACAGTAACAATGGGTTGTAGCGGGTAATTAAGACGTCGCACGAATGGTATCTCTCGTGACTATGATTGCTTATGTAATGTTCAAGTAGCTATAACTTCTTCTAGACCAGTGGGGTTTGCAGATTTCTGATTTTAGATTTTTAATCAAGCTAAAAAACTATACATTGGTAAAAAAAGTGTGCATAAAAATAAATTTACACCACAAACGCGTGATGATGTTACTTGTTTTGAACAATATTCTACAGTTGAATTAAAAAACAAATGCCTTGTTAAATTATATTACAGCCAAATAATGTTAATGTTTGTTTATTTTTCAGGTCATATTTCTTCATGGTTTAGGCGATTCAGGGTCAGTATACTTAATTACAAAATTTTAATTCATTAATATACTTCTAAATAGAAATAAATAAATAAATATATACTGGTAAACCTATTTTACCTCTTTATATATAAATTGTGTCCATTTTATGAAACGTCTGAAAAGAGTTGCATGTAACGTAAAATTGTAGTGGACAGGGCAATTTGATAAGCTTTGCTAACTCAATATTGATTGTAGCCTAAGAAAATGTGTTAGTTCTTTTACAAAAAAATGTCCAATTATTTTATTAGCACCCAAGTCAAATCTGCTGAAATTTAAAGTTTAAACAAATATATTTGCATAAATAACATTTAGATAGGGTTGGGCTTACGGTTGGCTGCCTTCGTAAAGCTGACCTATTTTACTTTAGTTCACAGATTGTTTTGTTAACTTTTTTCTATATTTATCTACAATTTTTTGTTTGTTTGTTTTCATTAGCCTTTATTAGACAATGTTAAGGCTCATCAGCTGTAATCTTAAAATAATAAGGTTTTTTTAGTTGGAACCAACTTAAATTAATAAACCTAACTTGTTAATTTTTAATTTTAGAAATGGCTGGGCCGAAGCAATGACACAAATACGTCAGCCATACATGAAAGTGATATGCCCTTCAGCGTAAGAAAATATTTATAGTCATTTTATATATATATATGTATATTATGCTATACAACAGTTATTGACATTTTTAATTTAGGAGCCCGATGCCAGTATCACTTAACCAAGGATTTCGTATGCCATCGTGGTTTGATTTGTTCACGTTGGACGAGTCAGGTCCAGAAGACGAGAGTGGCATTAAAGAAGCGGCTAAAGTAGTGCACAAAATGATTGATCGTGAGATTGAAACTTCTAATGTTCCGTCATCTCGTATTGCTTTGGGTGGATTTTCCCAAGGCGGAGCTCTCGCTCTGTACTCTGCATTCACATACCCGAAACCGTTAGCTGGCATTATGGCCCTATCGTGTTGGGTACCACTTCATAAAACATTCCCAGCAGTAAGATTCGATTATTATTACATTTTAAAATGCCTGAATAAGTTTAATGATATTGAATTATTTTAAAGGCAGCTATAGGTAACAAAGACGTGCCGATTATTCAGTGTCACGGAGACTGTGATCCTATCGTGCCTCTAAAGTGGGGTCAACTGTCAGCGTCTATTCTCAAGTCGTTTGCGAAAAATATTGAGCTAAAAACGTACAGAGGGTTAATGCATAGTTCATCTGATACGGTATGAATGGAATTCATTTACTATATCTTTAAATTGTGTGTAGCTAAAAAAATGCTTAATTTTTTACTATATTAAACTGGTAATGGTAATAGATAGCAATCGATTAACCTTGCTCTATTCTTAAGTTAGCCACTTAATTTTTAAGTTATAGGATTGAACATCTAACACTTTGTATGTTTTTCAGATACTGTAAATTTCTCTGTGTATTATGTTGACATACTTAAAAAGAAGTTTTCACAGTATTTCTCATATTTCCATTAAAAAATATTACTTTTTTTCTACACTTCATTTCTTTGGCAAGATATGTGAATAGAAAAAAAATATGTGAATAAACCTTTATGTAACTTTTTATTCAGTCTTGTTGACTTTTACTGATAGTATAGAAAATTGAATAAATGTGTGAATAAATCAGCATATAATAGGTGTATGCTAATATTTCCATTATATTGTTAGTTATTATTATAACGGCTACAAATTATTATAGAAAACCCTAATCGTACCCACCCTAATACTTAAAACACAATTTTAAACACTTGTCGTTACAATGATTTTATCAATATTTTTTTATAAATCTACCGTGTACAGATTTGCATCAAAGCGTTTATTCAAAAGCCATTTGATCACTTTCAGTTAGGTATAATAATTCCTGTGAACCTCCCCAATATTGTGACCCCAACATGCTCTGTTCCCGTTCCCACTTTGCTGGCTTTTTATTTTTATATTTTGATTATTGGTTTATTAATAACTTGTTTTTGATATTTTTGCAGGAAATGAAGGACCTAAAGAAGTTCTTGGAAAAAGTGCTCCCTTTAATATGATTTTATCGAGAATAAATGTGGTTTGCTTTTAATGCACATAGCATTAGAGTCGTTTGTGTTATTTTTCTTTGTAGAATTACTGTTTTGTCTTGTTTTTATTTTATTTTTATTTTTAAGTGTAAATAATTATTGTAAAATCATGACTTATAGTGTTTGGAGATGCAAAATTTTTGTTTTATCTGCATACTAGAAACAATGGAAGTGTTAGATGTAATAGAAATATACAATATCATATATTATGAATACAATATTCGACTACTCGTCTGTAAATTATTATTTGATTAAAAAAAACCTATTATATTAATCTTAAGATTATAAATATTTTATTATGGAGTTGTAGTAAATATACAATTAAGTATACAAGTATACAAGTATACTTAATTTTGTTTTATTTTTGACTATAGATAGTAGACTAAGGAGAAATTTAGGGACGAGTAATTTTTTAACACAACATATATTAATATTTAGGGAGTATTAACTAGGTATATTATTATTACTTTAATCTATATGGTCAATATAAAAAATACTTAAATGATTTGCAAATCATAAATAATAGTTATAGAAAAAAAACCAATAAAAATTAGTATTGAATAAATCTGATTTATTTTTATTCGTTATGTAATATAATAATCTTTATATATATATATATAAAGGAATAAAAAATCGATGACTTGTTATATAATATATTTTTTAAACATCGTTGTGACTAATTGATGATGCTGTCATTAGTGAAAAATACACTAGCCCATTCGTTTGCAATCTGTGAAACAATAAAATGGCGCCTACAGATGTATACTACATACGCACTCCAAATGCACCCTTGCCAGTAGTTGGAACAATGAGGTAAATTATAAAACAAAGAGGTTTTTTTATTTGTTCATCAAAAAAATATATTTAATAAAGTATTATTCAAAGTAATTGTTTTTAAATATAAGGATTAGACAATTAACTAATTGCCTAAGCTAGAAAAACTTGGTTAAACCTGCAATACATTGAACTATTTTATCAGTTTTTTTTTTAAGTTAAGCATAATACATGTTGATTGTTAATTGACTTTCATTTACTACGGTCAAATTGAATTTTCCATTTTGACTATGGCCCGACCTCGCTGTGCTGTCTTTTTTTGTCATTTTACTTTAAAAAATGTTGTTTTTGAATTTTTTTCAAAGCCAAGCCGTTGCAGTAGGGGACAAAGTTTTCGTTTCTGGCGTGCTAGGCTTTACTCCGGGGTCGCTGGTGTTGATTTCTGACGATTTAAGAGAACAAACCGTGCAAACTTTTCAAAACGTCATTGCTATACTAGAAGCTGCTGGATCATCTTCAAAAAATGGTTAATATCTTGTGTCAAAAATGTCCATAGTAATATTATTGAATACGTTTGTGTCTAATTGTGTATAATACTATTTCTATATGCGGTTTATTGCAGTGGTTCAAGCAACGATATTCCTCACGGATATTAACGATTTGGAAATAGTAGACGACATATACAACCAAAGTATGTTTTCTCAATAAAATAATTAACTTAGTGTGTTTTGACTATTGTTCAGGGCGATTGGTTAACTGTGACCCAGTCGATATTGTATCTGATTTTCTATTTAGATATAAGTAAATAGTATTTACTTATAGCTAAATAGTATTTAGTAAATACTATAAGTTGTATAATTTACAGTGTTCGGTCCTAGAGTTGGAGCAAAAACTTACTTGCAGTCTACAAACACATACACGGTAATTATATACTTATAATAGGCACTTCTAAGTTCTATATTAAATAGCTTACTGTTTAAACAAGTAAATCGAGTGACACGACTGTTTTAAATGGAACGGTAACATATTTAAAATTACCATTACCTATTGTCAAAATTTAAAAATTATAATGAACAACAGTAAACATTGGAATGGACAAAATTAAATAAATTTAAAAAAAGAAATCAAACACATCCTGTTAAAAGTTAAATCTCATATTATATCTCAATACCATCAAGGATAAAACAATCATTTTGTCTTAAAATAATTACAATTTTGTAGCTTTTCTCTTTTTGAAAACATTTTTGTTTATGGTGATTTACAATATTGTAAAATAACTAAATATTTACAAACCACAATCAAATTAACCAAAATAATAGACTATAGCGGTACCTTTACACTAAGTGATGTACGTTTAAATGAATAATTCCTATGTACTCGTTTATACAGGGTTCGAAAATACATATGGAAACTGTGGCGATCACTGGTAATGTAGAAATAAAATATGTCGAATAAAATATGATGTTTATAATTTAAAATGATATTATAATAATAATAATAATATATTTTACGGTTGTTAGTATTTTATAATAACTCAGAGTTCGGTTAATATAAAAAATACTATGTAGTTTACCTTTTATGTGTTTTGTGAAATATATTTTTGTGCGTTTACATAATGTTTTTTTAAATAAAGACATTAATTAAAATAACGGTTCGATTATGTAAATTTATAAAATTGTTTGTAGGTTAACGTGAAACATTTGAAAAATATGCAAATTAATTCGATTTATGATAATAATAAGAATAATATATGTACTCCTCAATATCCTATAATAGGGTTTTTTTTGTAATTAAACGATTGGTTATACATAAATGTACTTTGATTTTAATTTGATTCGGGGTCAAATTTTTTGGCGTTTAGCCTTGACTCTTATTTTGGCTCCCGGTAGTCAAAACTCATATGTACACAGTACATAATATATGTATACAATTCAAATTTGAAAATATAAACAGTATTTAAATATTAAAGCACCTAAGTAAGTACTAGGAATTCAACAACGGCACAACATGACCTTCTTGATGTGATTCCCTGATCGATCGACTGGCAAAAGGTATAGGCAATATTTGATAAAATTAAGACATTTTGAATATGCCGACTAATTTGAAGGTAAATAAGTATTAAGTTTTACTAGTTACAAAAGCGTGTTAAAAGTTATTTTTTCTCCGGATAGGACTAAAGTGTCTACATTTATTAGATATATTGTGTTGTATAGTAGACCTAACCGCGCAAAAACCAAATGACACGCACTCATTATTTGCTTAAGACATATTATGTTAATATCAAAAGTCATTAATACGTCAAATTTTGAGAACGCCACGAATTTAATGTACCTACACTCAGGGATGGGCAAAATACAGTATCTTTTCGACTAAATACAAAATACAAGTATCTTAAACTAAAAGATACTAGATACAAAATACTTTTTCAAAATACAAAATCTGTAATAATTAATTTCCTAATTAATAATAATAAATAATTAAATTTAATAATTAATAATAACAAATAATTAATAACAAATAGTTAATATAATTAATTTTTTTTTTGTTATAAAACATTTTTATATTTGACCAACTTACATTACATGTTATAGTAGTACTTCGCATACTTGACACCAAGTAGGCTTATTCTTAAAAAAATATTGTAGTCTTAATATTTAATATAAAGTCAGTAATACAAATACAAATCTCCAACAAAGTAATAGCAATTAACAATAAAAAAATGATTTCCCACGTTTAGCGGTATAAAAAAATAGTGAAATATGTATTTTAGATACTTGTATCTTAGATACTGCCCATTCTTGCCTACACTTAACAATGTTTATGAGTAAATTTGTTATTAAGCTAAATATTAATATAAAAAAACACCCCAACCTCGATGGTGTTAAGCACAGTGAGATAAAGCATATATGAATAAGGTAGATTTCTTTGATTTTACGCATTTAATAAATATTGACTTTAAAAAAAGAACCAAAATTAAAATAAAAGCACATCGAAGCAAAATCAATACCTTAACAGTTTTATATCTAAGCCAAGATTTTTTTTTTTTGAGTACTATATACAGGGTGATCCACTTATATTTTGATGCTTGAAAAATATGCTTTTTAATATTGATAAAATTTTCAAATTTGATTTATTCAATTGGAAAAAAATTTTCAAATGAAAATCAATTTTTTACATAGTGTGTTTTTGCAATTGTGTGGGTTTTCTTTTTGGGGACACTATAGTCGACATGTTCAGTAGATTATTCTTAATCTTAAAAGTGAATAAAGTGAATGAAATGCATCGGTAACCGTTTCAAAAGTTGATAGAGTCGTGGAAAATAACTAAAAAAAGGAAATATTTAATAATTTCATAATATTGTAAAATAACATAAATAATATAATTTTCAAAAAGAAAAACTAAAAAACTGTTATCCCAGTAAATGAATGTAATACTATGGTATCCTTTAAATAAAAAATTAAAAAAATGCGTTAAACACATTCCGTAAGTGTAAAAATAACTGCGAACGTTTTATTGTCTTCGTAGTTCAATAAGTCACGTTTACAATAATAATTTATGTACTACATCAAATAATTTTTTTAGTCTCGGCTATTTTTTTTTGTGTAATATAAATTCGTCGTCTACGTCCTTCGAAATCACAAAAATCTATACATATCATATACGTACAGCTCGAATTACTACACTATTATTATAGTTGTATTTAAATTCAATTTCGAGAAGTTATTATCGCTTGTTTTGATTGGTATTTATTCTTATGGCTTTTTTTCATCTGTTTGTTCTTTATTTTCATTGTCTTTTTCCTCGACGGGAGAGTTCTCCAATGATTCTCCGCGGTCTTCAACTCTGATGTCTTCCATTTCCAACGGTTTCTTCCCTTCGTCGTCATCCGCCGTAGACCTCGGTATTATTATTGTTTCTTCGGTTATTAATATAAACCCGCCTATAGCAGGTGGTATGCTATACACAAGAAAAAAAATGAATTTGTCATTTATTAAAAAAAAAGTTATGTAATTAAGACAATGAAAGTTCAATCGAAAAAAAATTATATAATTTCAGGTCGTAAATTCATTTAGACTCGAGTACGTTTAAATTGTATGTACATCTAAGAAATCAGACACTTGTTTATAATTATAATTTAAAAAAATGAATATTGCGCTTACTCTGATCGCCTTGCAAATTTCGAAACGACACAGCGCTGTTTGGATTATTTTGTGAGATTCAATTATGATCTTATGTCGGACTCTACGAATGTCCATTGAAGGTTTAGCGAATTTTTAATTATTTTTATCGTTGTAGCGATCGGTTGAAAACACAGAAAATTAAGTCATTTCAATTTGAAAGTATGTAAAATTCCAAGAAAAACGGTATAGGCTACACGTTGCTACTCACATTGTTCATTATAATATGAGGAATTGAAAAAACAATCTTAATATCTCCCTAAAATAATAATGTTTTTTTTCTAGTAAGAATTTTTTAAAAGTAAAATGCGATTTGAGCAAAATTAAATGTAAAATGAAAAAAACTATTATTTTAGTACATGTTAAGACATTTAGAATTTAACATACTTCCAAGTTCCAAACTTAAATAACAGTTATTTAACTTATTTTTTGGGTTTTGAACTTCTTTATTAACGGACCGTTAACTTAATTTTATTTTTTATTTAAACGAGTAACTGAATTGAGTAAATGAGTAAACAAGAAACAATAAAATCACCGAAATGAGTGAACAATTTCAGTAAACGAGTAAATAAATCTAGTTAATGAATGGAATAACCGAGTAAATAATCTGACTACTACATCTGTAATAACTGTGAATAAGTGTGTAAGTCAAAATTTGGTAAACATTGACTAAGTACGCTAGGATGTAGTCCGAGGCATCTAGCACACCTTGAATAAATGTCTAACTCGTTGGACTTATTGACTAAGTTGCGATTTATGGCAGCTGTTCAAAGTGTAGAAACGCTCCCCTGTAAAATCACTAAAATCGACTTACACACTTATTCACAGTTGTTACAGAAATACAGTGATGCTAATAATGATGATTGCTAATATTTATTGGATATTTAACGATCGTTTACTCGATTCGCTTACTCGTTTCAATAATAATATCCTACATAAATCCGATTATCAAATGTTGTGTTTCTTTTACATTTTTACTCAAAGATTTATGTACTCAATTTGTTAACATAACAGCTATTTATGATTCATATGTTTCTCATCGAAGAGCAATTTTTTGTTGTTGTATTTTTGTACATTAAACTTATTATAGCCAACAGTATGTTATCAGAAGGTGTTTTAAGTGTATTATTTTATTCATTTTTTCTTTTGTGTGAAATCCGTAACGTCGCTTCAGTATTCTCATAACTATAAATATAATTTAATAATCATTTAAATTTTCTTATTTCGGTATGATGCTATTGCCTACTTAAATAATTCAAATCCCTAACACTGCGGTTAATGTGAAACAGAAATTGGCATGTAACCCTTTGCGGCTTTGAACTAGCGAGCTATTATATTATGTTTTTACATAATATGCTATTTTCAGAGTCCTTTTTATAGCTATTATTTCCCATTTTAACAGCCAAAATTATATAATTATTACACTAATCTAATTATAAATTTTCATTACAAAACTAATTATAATTTATAACAACATTTATACTAATTTTCAAATAATTTTAACATATACATTTACATTTATGTATACAAGAATACTAATATAGGCACGGTTAAATTTATAGGGAAAAAAACGACAACAAAACATAACTTTGTTTAATATTACCATAAGTTATTACGAAATATATATAATATATTTATATATATATTATATATAGATGTCTATCTTTTATGAATTACACAAAATACAAGCAGCGTTTATACATATTGTATTCAAAATAATAACTACACGGTTTTTAAATAATAATAATTTACACAAACGGAGTGTATATTAAATACAGATAAATTACTATACATCAAACTAAATAATTTATACATATTGTTATTATATTATTACATATACCGACGTGTACGTCTTTAGGTCATGCTATAAAAAAATACTGTTACAAACGTTATGTTTTATAAATTATATGTTATTAATTGAACATTTTGTGTATGCGTTAAGACTTTAGGAAAACAAAATACAGTTTTGCGTTATAGTTGATCCACACAACGTAGGGTATTATCCAGAATAATCAATCCAATTAATTTCTTTGTGGATATATGCATATATATATATATATATATAAATATATAATATATAAATTAGGTAATCTATACCTAATCATATATTACACCTTATAGGTATAAGGTATTGCCACTTACTCGGGCATAGGTGTCGAGACATGACCGTTCTCTTCGAATTCTTGTTCCAATTGCTCGACTTGTTCGTCTGCTTTGTCTACGGATTTACCAAAAAACGAACCTATTTTTCCTTGAGTCTCTTCCATTAGATTTTCCACGCTTCTAGTCACATCTGAAAATGTAAACATTCGTCTGTTAATTGTACAGTATCGTTCTATTATAATATATATATATATATATATAACATATGTATAAATATATGTATAATTTATCGTATAATATAATATTACAGTGGTAGGCATATTATACATAATAATAATAAAAATGCAGTGAATTATTCCAAATGATATTCCCAAGAAATTTCTAGTTAATTTTCAAGCTGCTGTTTACTAGATTAACAGCTACGACCCAGCCAATATTGTAGAACAAAATTGGACTTTCTAAAGTGTAATTTTTTTTTTATACTTTTGTATAACATATAAGGGATGAGGTTATATAGTTGTTGATTGCACCCTGTTCTATACGGTATTGTATTGTAATGTATTCGAGAACTTTCTCTTTCCATCTCTTTGTATTTGGCTTTGGCAAAAGGGCTCATCGATCATAAATCAAGTGAACTAAACGCCAAAGCTATTGTGTCTGTCCTCTTTGGCCCCACTTGTTTCTACAGCTCATTCGCTCCGGTTGTCGATGCAGCGATTGACCTACTTGACTGTTTTTAACAATATGTAAATATAATACCCTCCTCGTTTTCAGCGTGGCTACCGAGAGGGGTGGTAGGGCTAGCGGGGGTGGAGAGGGCGCCGGAGGGATGACGTGCGCGCTTGTGTCAATAGATTTCCGTTACGGAAAAACACCCTCATACAGTGACGGCTTGTTAAATAGCCGGCTCACACGGGAAAAGCATTATAAGGATATTTTATCGATTCCTATCGTGCCACAGCCATAACGTAATACGTAGTACTATATTATACACATAACTGTCCCAATATAATATGATAATGCTAATCGTTGACATTCGTTGTGTACACAGTACATATCTATTAGACGGGAGGAACCGGTCACTATTTTTTTTCGTGTCGTGTCACTGGGACAAACGAGTTGAATGAATATTAATCGTTAATTGTTATTAAACGGCGTACAATAGGGTTCTGTAGTATTTGTGTCGGCTATTATTCAGCACTTAACCCGCGTGGCACCAAGGTCGATCGTTTTTTTAATTGCGTATTGCGAATATTATATCACATGAGTGACTTTGGGTTAGTCGTGCAAACGGAGATGCTTCCCGAAAGTCCCTCCTTCCCCCACCCCCGCCTGCTCCGGATACTTGAGTGATTACCCGGGAAAACGCTAACAATTTTTATAGGTTTTAAAGGACTTTACTGGATCAAAAAGGGAAAACAATTTAACACTTTTCCCTTTTAAATTGAGAAAAAAATAAAAAAAAGTCTGCAAGTTTTTCGACTTACAAATACTGCAGAGCTCTAAAACTTAAAAAAAAAAAAAAAAAATAGTTTAATTAGTTACAAATTACAAAGACAAAATAAAAAAAAACCCTTATTTTTCAGTCAACAGGTATCTGAAAAATATAAAAACATTACATTCAAATTACCTAGTACTCTGTTTAGCGTTTCTCAAAGCGTCAGTGTTTTTTAAACTATTATTATTCCATTAGCGGAATAGGTTTTTGTTTGGCTTGCAAATGAGCCAATATGATTTTATTTTTTTTGTCAAAACTTTAATGTAAAGTAACTTGTTATTTAGCTTAGTGCAATAGAACGTTTTAAAAATAGGCTGACGGTTGTTAAGCTATTTGTTATATTTTGTAATTGAAAAAGAGAAAATCGCATGTCGTACAACTATTTGAACAATTGTTATTGTGTACATAACGTTATGTGGCAATGTAAAATAGGTTTTTGATTTGTATACAAAGTGATCTACTTTGGAAACTTAAACGGGAACGTACATTTTATTTTATTGAATTTTTAAAATGAGAAAACCAGTTTTGAATTTAAAAAAAAAACAATAAATGAGGATAACATTTTTGAGACAATGGCACGAAAAAAGGTTTTTACTATGTTAAGAAATTAAAAAATGCCCGTTTTCAACATAAAATATTAGGCTAAATAATTAGTACATTGTAAAAAGGATGTGTAATTTTCTCCTAAACGTTATCATCCTTCGGGCTTTGGAAAATAGTGAATAAATTTCCAAGAAAATCAGTGTGTTACTTTAAATGGATCATCCGGTACAACTGCGTATAAGTGTAACCTACATATTAAATTTGCACAGAGCACTCTGCACTAACTACCATATTGTATATTACTATACAAGCTATTGATTTTTGGATTAAATACATTCGTTTTTAATAATGCCACTGTATCGAGCAGTAATTAAAACTGTGTCACGATGATTATCGTAGGGGGTATGTGTTGGGTATTATATTATGTTTTTGAATGTTATTCAAATGTGATTTGAAGCTTTCTGTCGAATTGCAGATTTCGTGGGAGTGTTTTGCAATTACTAGAAAACCTAATAGGTAAAATAAATAAAAAATTAATAGGAACTTTAAGAGAGCACCGGCTGACTTTTGATTAACAATTTAAAAATGTCTTGTATTCTGTATATTTGTTTAAAAGTTATATTACAAACTATATAGAATATTTATCAGATTGCACTGATAAAATTTAAATTACCTAATCGTTGGAATTGGGGTGAGCTAGTTATTATAGTTTGGAATCCTTACCTGAACTAAAAGTCAAAATGCTTAGGCTAACATCTTATAGTTTAACAAGGCTGGAATTTGCTAGGCGCTGTTGAACACATCGTTTTTTTCAAGAGGTTATGTGACTACAGTTAAGGAATAGGAAAGAAGAATTCTGTATGTCCTTTACAAATATTTTTTTTCTGATAAAATATTATAGTAAGAATGCATAATATGTCCTGTGTGCTTTTAGATTAGATTTATATGATATAGAGAGGTATATGAATCCCCTGCGGATACGAAAATGGCTGATACCACTACCGAGAAAAAAATATCTCATAATAATTATTGGACTGAACTAAATTATTATACCGGTGATCCATTTAACGTAATTGTTATCTTTTAAAACAATTACAATTTTGAAGTTTTTCTTTTTAGAGACATATTTATCTATTGTCATCTACAGTACAATTAGGTAGGTATAATAAATACTGTTCACAATATTGCAATTTCTATCTATTATTAGGAAATTCTAGAGTTCTGCTGACTCTTGAAACTTTAATGGGCACGTTAGTATATATTTTATTAAATTTTTAAGTTAGGAATAATTTGCTAGTTTATTATTTAATTAAGTTTAAAGTTCAAGACGGAAGTTGGAGTGCGGAAGAGTAAAGTGCACAGTAAAAACAATACATATTACACTGCACACTTCTTCCCGTTTTACATTTTAAACTTTAATAACTTTAAAAATAATTATCCAAAACGGAATTTAATTTTCAACAAGTTAAAATTTAAAATTATTTTGATACTTAAGTTAACATTTATGTTTTAAAAGTTGTTAGGGCTCTTCTGGACTTAAGGCACATTCGAAATTCAATTGTTTATAATTTAATCTTAGTTTTAGGGGTTTGAATATGTTCCCTTCTCATCCCTACCCCTAAAAAAAAGGCCAATGTTAAACTTAAATATATACCTTGCCAGTTTTTCATCATTCCGTCCACGTCGGTCACTCTGTCGACGATCGAACGCGCCTTGCCCGAGCTTTCGTCGACAATACCGTCCGACATGCCACTCACTATCGGTTCTTCTCTGTTGGTCTGGCCGTTGGCCATGTCGGCCGACGACGGTACGGGTGTACTGCCGGAACATCCCATGGTCGGTCGACTCGGTGTTGTGCGTACAGGTGTGAGCTCGCCGCGTTCAGACCGCCAAGTCCGTCTGGTATAGCCGGAAAGAGTCCCACGGATATATATAATATGTATGTGGCATACAAATGCTCGCTTCAAAGGTAGCACGTCATGGACGGGCGCCGTGACAACCAAAATGTATTCTACCAAAACACAGCCCGTATACAGGGTGGTCAATCTGATGTAAGACACTCAGTTTCTTGGAAATATTTTGAAAATTACTTTTTGTCCTATACTCGTAGATACTACATTATTATTATGTATTTCACTACATTTCTCAATACTTTGAAAACTTCCATCTTCATCCCAAACAAGTATAGACCTTGAATTGGAATATGTGTTTTTAATTTCATAAATATGTAAACGGCGAAAAAAAACCGTTAACGTTTGACTTTTTTTGAATTTTCATTAATCGGTTCGTTGGTTAAGACTTTGTATAATTGTCATATTAGGTTTTCTAAATACCAATCTTGTAAATTTCATATTTTCGTTCGCATTTATGAAATAAAAAATATATGTTCTCATTTGAAGTCCATACTTGTTAGGAATGAAGATAGAAATGTTTTAAGTATTGACAAAATATAGTAATATATGTACATACGAGTATGAGACGAAATTATTTAACAAAATATTCATATTTTCTAAGAAAATGAGTATCTTACATCAGATTGATCACATTTTGTACAGATTTACATAATTTTTTAAACATTTTGAGCCTATTGATAGATATATCAAACGATGAAATCTGAATTTCACAAAAAAACATTATAACCTAATATATATATAGAAACAAGGTGATGATTTTATCGTGAACTCAGTGGTTCACAATATCTCAATTGGGATTATTTCACAATATTTCAATTAATAATTGAATGTTTTTTTCGTAGAGTTTTTATATAATGTGATTTTAATTTTCCACAAATTTGTATGCTCCTACCAAACTAATTATTTTTATATAAATTTTTGAAACTTAAATGGTGACGCATTCATTTCATTAAATTTTTAAATTGAGAATAATTTACTAAAAAAGTTTACTGATCGATAGCCAGTTTTGGATAGCTATTTTTGAAGTTTCAAGTTTAGGGCAGGAGGACCTTAATATGGTCTATGAGATGGTTCACGATAAAATGATAACCCTGTATGTATACTAAATTGTAAATAATATATTATGGTGGCACACGAGCTATTGCACGTAGGTGTTGGTTCTCATTGGCGAAGTGTCTGCCCAATAAATAACCTATTATTGTTATTTAAGTTGCAAATTTAACCGTTGAGAAAGTTAACCTTGCAAAGGCGGTACACGAGAAACAAACTCGTGCGAAAGTACTTGCCTTTGACGGTATGGTACGTGCAAAATCTAAATAATTTTTTAAATTAATATAAATCCAAATAAGTCCAAATAAAACTCCTTAAAAAGTCGGGATAGAATACAGTGCAATAGATCACTGTTATATATTAGGTTATTAGCCTACTATAATCTTATGTAGGTATTAAATTTGTTTTCATAATTTCAAAATTGTTTTATTTAGGTCAATTTTAGTGAGAATAATGTAATTTGTATGATTTTAAAGTTAAACGTTAAAATTAAGCAATTCGCTGTTCACTATAATAATTATAAATTATAGAATGTATTTTTACATTTTTTAAAATACTAAAAAAAAAAAGAATGCAACGTTATTTTATAAATTCTGTATAGTAAAAATAAACTAGCTAAGAATAAAGTAGACAATTAGAGATCAGTGAAAACTAGCACAGTTTAAACCAAAACAATATGGTTCAATGCATCTAGAACTAGTTCAGCATAAACAGGCAAAGTAGATATCAGTACAGTATAAAGTAAGGTTAGAAGGGTAAAGACAATTATTAAATTTCCATCAAATTAAATTTTTTTGTCGTGGTAGTGCGTCCTTGTGTAAATTTAAAAAAATATTAAATTTCATAAAAGACAACAACGTTACACATTACATGAAAGGTACGCATAATCGATTTCTGTTTACTGTACACGGGATATCATTAAAAGTTTAATATATTTTTTTTTTTGTCATCAAATAATTATTAATACTGCTATATCAAACGATATAGCAGTATTAAGCGTCATATTAACACATCTGTGTACATAAATCTTAAACAAATTATGTCTGATTCGAGAATACTGCCAACTTATGTTACATTACTAGTATATTCTTCGATTTTCTAAGCTTTTATATCAAATACTTTCACAAATACAAAAATAAACCAACTAATGTTACAAATTTAAATTGATTTAAAAACAGTAAATTAAAAAAGTAACAAATGTACAATCACCTAATAATGAATAAAAAAAAAAACCATAGTTGGTTCGGCTAATAACAATAATTAGTAGTTTTTTTTATTTGTCGATGAACAGCCATAATTCTTGCGAAAAATGGCCATTTCAATTTTTTAAAGTTTATAAAAATTATATTTATTATACAAATTTACCAATAAACAAAAAAAAGTTTAAAACGCGTTCCTTTTCCCAAAACATAATAATATTAAGGAAAATGATAACTTACAATGGTAATAGGTATATTTCCTATTTTTTATTTAGTCAATGCAGAATATTTTTAATTGAAAAATCATACCTATCGGTCATTTTTATATTTCACAATAACAAAATATTATCATAATAATTAAAAATTGTTCTAATTAACAGACACGACTGACAAATCGGGTTTTCTTTACATCAAAAGTCGTAAAATAATAAATAACTGACTAACATGTACAACTTTGTAGCTATTTCAATGTAATGTAATATATTATAAAATATGTAACTATTAACATAACGATATCATTTAACATGAGATAAAATTTCTTTCCAAAATAAGATAGCCAACGCTTTTTAATTAATTTTTGTTTAATAAATCTAAACCGAAGAGGTTATCTGATTGAATCAGTTCCACAAAGATACTTTATTTACTATATTAAAATTTAAGAGATGGGATTTTAAATGGACGAATTGTACATAACATCATCGTCAATTCTGAACCGAAAAATATTTCTACCTTTAAGCATTTACCGCTAGGTTTGAGTTTGTGATTTGAAAAAACCATTTTAAATACACTGCTTGTTATAAAATACTTGAAGATTACAATAGCGATAATAAGTGTTACAATATATATATATACTATATATACTGTATTGAACTTTCTTGTGTCAACAAAGATGCGGAAGTAAACCGGAAATCACCACTTCAAAATTCAACGTTACATCCTTCTCCAGAACACAACTCTGTTGTTGTATCCACCAAACGGTTTAAAAATATATATAACTTATGAATATTCGTCTACTTGTCACACTTATCTTTGTGTAGATAGAAGGAAATTCGTCAGCCGAAAAGTTTGTTTGAACGGAAATATAATTTATTTAATGCACATTAATCTTGTGATACAAAGTGTACTATTTAACTACAATTTTGTTCCATTCCATTAATTCGTAAATTTGAACCATACATATTAAATAAATTATAATATGAAAAAAAGTAGAATTTATTATAATATTATGTAACATTTGACGCATAGAGTACATTTTTTTGTAACTCAACCTAACAAGCTCCGTTTAATACATACAATTAATAGAAAATCATTATGACATGTACTAATGTAGTCATTAGTATACATCATTCTAGAAAATTGTATATTTTATAGTTGTATCTTTCCTTTGGCCAAATTTTCACACCTAAATCCCTAAAACTTTGCTTGAAAGAGTGAAATAAAGAAAAAATGTACAACCCTTCTAGGGGAAAGGGTTTATATAATCGTGTTGATAGCAAAAACAACACCTTTTCAGCTTATCACGCATAGAAGTTAAATAGTAAGTGTTGCTATTTGAAAATCAAAAGTTGCTATCAAATAAACTAATTTGGAAGTGGGGTAGGAACATAAAAATGCGTGGAAAATTAATATCACATTATATAAAAACACTATGTGAAAAAACAAAATTAAATTTAGTAAACCAAGTGAGATATTGAGTGGCTCGCCATAAAAAACATCCTGTATAATAATTGTTTTATATATATATATATATTATGGATATATATAATGACATAGACAATAATACAGTTCGTAACAATTCTTTAGTGTAAAATATTAGAAGACAATAGTCTGAATTTCACGCCAGTGTAATACAATTTTGTTATCATGTAAAAGAAGCCAGCTGCGCAAATAAATTGAAATAGGCACACTGCAAAACATATTTCGCTATTAGTTTTTCTGTAGAAATACAATAGTTCATAATCAAGACCCAAGAAAGTCACTTGAAAACAGTAAATAAACTTAACGAACTGATCTTTTTTTTATAAATTGTACGAATTCAATAATTTAGTATAGTAAGTTAAAAATGTTTAATTTATTAAGCTTAAAAATGTATAAGTACGCTTTTAATCAGATATCATAAATGAAAACTTTAAAACAAACTTATTTTAAATGTGTATTTATAATAGATTTTTAAAAGAAATAACACTTTTATAAAGCTACAAGGTATAAGAAATTACTTAGCCCTTCTAAAAACCCTTAAAAAAAATGAATACTGATTGTTAGTACACACAATTTTAAGTTGTTAATAAAACAAACTTATTTTTAATAAACCATTACACTTTTTTTTGTGTCTTGAAGAAACATTAAGTCTGTGTTATTTTAGATTTTTAAAAATTAGATTAGCCAAAAATAAAAGAATACTTAGGTATTTATAATTGATTTAAAAAAAAAATTGTAATAACACAGCATTAGTATAATCTACTGAGGTAAGCCTAATAAACTAACCTAAATAAGCCTAAACAGCCTAATAAAAACAAAACATTCTCAGCTCTGCACTGGTGGCAACTAATATAATTTTTTTTTCTATGTTTACAGGTAATAATGAAACTTTTTGGTTTTTTAATATCATTTTTCATTGTGAATGTTTCGACAAAACTAGGTAATTATTTTATTTTCACAATTACTTTTTTATGGTAGTAAAAAATTAAAAAAAAATCAATGTTTCACTTTTTACAGCCTTTTATAAGAAGATGGTTTTAGTTACAAGTCAGTAATCTTTTAGTTTAAGAAAAAAAAGAAATGTTTTTTATTTTTTAATTTTCATTGTTTTTAAATAAGAATTTTTGTACTATGTATTACAGACGAACACATAAAACTTGCTTCTGATAAGAACAATTTTACCATAGGACAGCAAAGGGTTGCAAGTAAGTATTATTCAAAATAAATATGCTATTATATGAATGTTTTGTTGTTTGTCTGACTGTCGATTATTTTTAAATTAAAAAAATATAATTTTCATAAACTGTTCAGAAAGGTGAATTTAGAACAGTGCTTTAAATTATTTTACTTACCATGATCCAGAAGGATTTTTTGACCTTATAAAAATGCATATTATATATATTAAATTGAAAGAAACTTAGGAAGTTTTTAAACATTTTTAAAGATATTTCGAATAAAACTAGAGTAGTAGATAAGATTAGACAATCGAAGCGCATAGACCAAAACAGCTAAACCATAAAAAGAAAAAGAAAATTCCGTTTTAGCATGATGATATGATATTTCAAAACTAATATGGCTCAACCGTCTCAAACAATTTACCTGTAGATGGCAGCACTTAATTTGTTTCGGCATTGATACTTAAATAATTGTATTTAATAGTGATGGGAAAATCCGGATATTGCGAAGTTCAAAAAACCGGAGTTTTAAACTTCGAAATTCGAAATCCGGAGTTGTAGTATTCGAACTTCGAAATCCGGATTTCGAAGATTTCGTTATAAATCCGAATTTCGAAGTTCTCGTTATAAATCCGGATTTCGAAGTTTTCATTATAAATCCGGATTTTGGAGTTTTCATTATAAATCCGTAGATTGGATTTCAATTTTTTTACAATAATAAATTAATTATATTAGTTAATTATTTAATATTATGTTTAACGTGTTTATGTACACAAAAATATTTAATTATTTAATTGGTAAATTAGGTATCTGTTTTTATAGTTATAAGAACATTATGTATAAACACGATTTACAAGTCTCAATGACACTTTTATAATAGATTAGAACAATAAGTTGTAATAATATGAAAAATACACAACACAGTAATACAACACAATATATATAATATATATTATTATTATATATATATATATTAATGAGGAAAAATAAAAAAATACAGCATACTTACTTTGTATTTAAACTAGATTACATATATGAAACTTAAAATTCATTAGAAACATATAACTTAGGGTAATTTAGTTGAAGGGGTCCGATAATAGCATTTCATAGAGGATTAAAAGTCAACTAGTTTGAACAATTTAGTCATCTTGTACTGCTGAATTAGTAATTACAAAATGGCTTTATGAATTTTTAAATTGGTAATTTGGCTTTTTATTTAAACCCAGGTTACGGTTTCTGAAATTCAAATTTTGAAATCTGGATTTGTCATTAACCCCGGATTCTTCGTGAAATCCGGATTCTTCGTAAAATCCGGATTTTTTTCATTGAACTTCGAAAACCGGATTTTACGGATTTTAAGAAAATCCGGATTTATTTCCCATCATTAGTATTTAATGACACAGTGTAGCTTAAGTTGGTTAATGTTTTACAGATGGTTTGAAAGTCACGGATTTATACATATTAAGAGGCATTTATTATTTTTTAGATTTAATAAAAATAAAAAAATGTTGCAAAATAGTAAAAACTTAATTGGCCGCCCTGAATAAATACACTTTTTGGGATTAAGTTGTTTTGGTTCTACATATATGCGCCTCAATCAAGAATAATGTTCATTGACTGCTCTTTTAAATATTTTCTTAGATATTTTATAAGTGTAAGCAAGTGTCACTGTACAGTATGGCTTTCTCCTGTACAGTCTAATAAATAAATATTAACCTAATCTAAAACACAAAAACTCTAATTAAAATAACGTTTGCATTTGAAAGTAATGATATCTGATATGATTTATAATTTTAAACCAATATGTATTTCTAGATGGTTTGGAACATGTAATTTTACAACTTGTCGATACCATAGATCCGAAAAATACGCATCGTGATTCAGGTAGTAATAATTTTAGGAAAATAAAATAAAAATTAACATAACCGTAACAAAGATATTAAAAAATTATTTACAAATTCCTGCTCTGTCAATCACGCCTAACTAATACATTTTTTTCTAATTGCCACATCATATTAATTTCAGCCATTTAAATTTGTATAAAGTTTCCAATTTACTTAACACAATCGAACCTATTTCTTCTGAGTTACTACTTACTAATGATAATATTACTTTTTGTACCTTGATCTTCATCGTCCAGTTTCTAGTAGAAAATTAAATACAATACCATTAATTTCATGTAATGTTAATAATTTCAGTTATTTTCATTTTGAACAACATGTTCGCTGTGCTGGGTAAAAATTGTCATTGCATATTATAGAAATATTTCCATACAGTATTGTTTAATATTCATTAAGTATCTAATATTGTTATTTTGATTTCAGTATGGGACTTCAAAGAAGATCTAGGCGGTAACAACATATTTATATTTCATAATTAAATAATAAAGGCTCTATTATAGGTTTTCACATAGGTATTATAAATTATATTTTAACAGCTTGCGTACATACGAGTCCGCAACACCACGGGATACATTTTTATGTATCTGATAGCTAGTAAACATATCAAGTCTCTGGCTAATATTTTAGTGTTTTCATAATATTTGGCCTAAAACAATTCATAGAGAATTTGGCCCCTTAAATTATTGAATTTATTATTCATTTCTATTTTGAACGTTGTGAATACAACATATATGCCTCAACCCCCATTGCCAACCATAACCCCAACACCATCCCTCATCTCTAATCTCCTATATACTATCACATAAATGTAACATCCCCATCCCCATTCCCACCCCCTTCCCAGTCCACTCCATCACCATTTCCATTCCCATTCTTATCCTTAAAAGAAGGACCGATAAAGATATAAGGATAAATTTTCGGTGTCGATTTTTTGTGTGTGGCAAAGCAAAGACATAAAAAAGTCAATAGTTTGAATTTGATCGGTTAATATTTAGAGATGACTCAATTCTATTTCGTCCATTTAGTTAACAAATGTGAAGTTGATATCTATTTTTTTTTTACTATACCTTTTTTAGTTTTGAAGCTAAAATATTCGAAGTCAGCTCGTTGGAAATTTTATGAAAAAAACGTCAAAAGACTATATGAGAAAAATATTTGATTTATTATTGGTTTGTTGATTAACTTGTTTAATAGTAGTGCTTATGTAGTAGTACTACCATACTACTACAAAATAATTCATTTAAAACCGAAAATTATGTTTTTTTGTGGTAATAAAGATTTTGGTCAACAAATCAATAATAAATCAGCTCATTTCAAATATTGTAGCTTTAAAATTAAAAAAATACAGTTAAAAATTAATCAAACGGACAAAATTTCTTTGAGTCACTTTCTTAATATTTTCCGATCAAGTTCACATTTTGTCATTTTTCTTCTTTAACCGAAAACTAAAGATTTTTCGTGTAAATAAACAACTTACAAATACTTTACACTTATTTATTATTTTTACATATATTGAGAATAACCATATGAATTTTTACATATTGGTTTCAGTCATAAGAAATAAGTACATTAAAATGTGTTTTGTTTTAATTTTCAGTACTTGCAGAACACCAACAAAGTATTCAATACAAAATAGAAAATTACTTAAGTAAGTTTAAAAACCTTAACAGTATTAAGCGAGCAATTTTCAAATTCATTAATTCCTTAGTTCTGGAGAAAAACGATAACAAAAAAATAGAATTTCAAAGTTCTAACGCTATATATTTTTTTTTTTGGCTTAAGTATTTCATGACCATTTAAAATATAACTCAAAGCGTAATTTCAAACGTTGCTATTAGAAATAATATTTATACAATATTTTCTATTAATTAATTGGTATAAGTTATCTCAGTTTCAGAGTGTCTGTTATGGATATAATAATAAAACTTGATTTTGTGGACAATATAATGATTTGATATTTGATATATTTGTTACAGAGATTGATATTCCTAAAGTTACAAACCAAGGTAATAACATACATAGATCATATATAAAGATACATTCTTTGAGTTTCAATACCCAAAGAATGACAAAATTGGTTATATTACAGTTTTTTTTTTGAAAAGTAGTGTAACCAATTACATTATGTACATTTCCATTATTTGTTATCAACACGGTTATTTAAACATGTTTCGCAGATTTTTACACATTAGATTTGGAGCAACTTGGAGAAGAGAGAAGAAGTTATACGAGAATAGCTTTAAACAATATTTTGAACCGGTTAATAGGTAAATATTAACAAAGAGTCAATATGATCCGTTCTCACTATATCCCAGCCTCAATGTAACGGCTCTGTTTATTATTATTATTTGTTATAGATTCTGAAAAAATTGCTAGTAATTTGACTAGTCGTATTGAAGAGAGAACAGTTAACCCTACAAAAGTAAAACAAAAACAAATCGCCCAGATAGTTGGTAAGTATTTACATAAAAATTGTAATGGCTTTTTAACCATTATATTATATAAAATATATTATATATATTCAATATATAATATTATTTGGACGGCCCTTAAATAAGACATTGGTTCTTTTCCTAACATTTATTGGAAACATTGTGATTAGAATTATTTGTCTTCGCTTAAATTATACAATAGACCCCATCCATATTATATTATTGTTTTTTGACTTTAATTTATAAGTAAGGTAGTTGTGTCTTTCGCTAAATTTTCTAGATTAAAAAAAATAATTTGTTTAATTTTTCAGATTCTAAACGGAAAGTACCTTTATTACTAATATGTCGTTTATTGGCAGTGTTCATCAGTACCAAATTCCCAAAATTACCTATAACAGTAGTTCACGACCAACCGGGTATTCAAGCTTGTTACCTATATGATAAATTTAAAACTTGCCAAGCATACAGGGATATTAATCGTGTATGGTGGATAGTCAATTGTGAGAACTTTAACGTCACAATTCGACCACTTAACTTAGAGCTGTTATGATAATTTAAATCATAAATAAATGGTATAACTCTTTTAAAATTATTTAGTACTTAAATTAATTAAGTATACTTTTGAAATTTGTAGTACTATTGCATTTAAATAATATTTGCATTTTGCACTTCAAGTTGTTAACTATTTAATGTATTTCATAATAAATCGTTTTACCAACTACTATAATAACATTTCTTTTTCTTATCTGTTGATTTTTTCCCCAGTTAGTCAAAGAGAGTTGGCTACTCAATGTTAGGTAATTATATAGGGTAAATATAAATGAAATAGTATACACGGATAATATCATAAAAACAAAACAGTAAAAGAAAACATTTAAATAGCAATAATTTTTGACAATATCAACTAAAGTGTTCTTGATGAGTATGTGGCAAAACTATTTTTTTTCTTCAAACTTTTAAGTATCTAATAATTGAAAAGCAAATTCAAAATTTTAGAAATTCTATCAAGTTTGTATACCAATCTTAAGGTCAAAAATTAATTTTTTTTTCTGACATGCGTGAATTTTTTTAATTTTATGAAAAATTAGGAATGATTAATATTATAATAAAAATATATATATATGCCGTTGTTATGCACTCAACTGATAAAAATCGTTTTGAAATTTGATAGTTCACTTATTTTTCTGATAGATGTAACAAAATAAATATTAACCATAATCAATAAATGATATCAATATAAATAACCTAATGCACATATGCACTTACACGCAGTGAAGGGTTCTTTAAGCTAATTTTTTTTTTTAAATTGGAAAGATTGTTTCGTTAAAAACTAAATTTATGCGATGTTTTAATTGACTTTTGAGGTGTTCAAAATAATCACTTATTGATTACGACATTATTTAATACCTAATGTTATGCAACTTGTATCCTATAATTCAAATTATCTATTTTATTATTGACACAAATATCGCTATGAGTTATACAAAACCGAAAACTGAATCAACTTTACTTAGTGTGTATGAAATATTCTCTGGACTACTGATAAACGTTGACAAACCACAAAATATCATAAATCATTTCCCCTTATTAGCTGGGGTGGCAACTTTTGCTTTACTTCACTTTTTTTAGTTAAGTTTTAAGGCATAAGATCTGAAAATTAGATTCACTATATTGGCTTTTCTTGTTTTAAAACATTTTTCAAAACGCATTATACCGTCAAGTGGATAACATATTACCTTTATGTATAATCACAAAATATGCTTTTAGTCATTAAACCAACATTAATTTCTAAGACAACGTGTACAAATTACACACATTGTACACGTCATGATTGTCTGTATTGAGCAAATCCTAAAATAGTGGGTCTGATTCGAGAATATTGTCAACTTATGATTTATTATGACCCTTAAGTGGTTCAACATACTAAGCTATATTAATATAGGGAGGTAACAGGTCTACAGGATTATTGATTATAAATGGAAGTGATAAAATAATATTTGTAAAAACGCTTCGATGCGAATCTGTAACTATTAGGTTCGAACCAGTACAGTCCAAACCAAACACAGTATAAACCATGCACAATAAGTAAATATTATACATAAGTGAGTAGTAGTAATAAGTAGTAGTATTAGTGGTATCTAGTAGTGACAAGTGAATAAGTAAGGCAGGTCCAGTCTTCAACTAATGGTGCTTGATTAGGGTTGATCGTCTGTCTAGAAATATGTATTGCCATCGTCACCCATGTATCCTAGTTGACAATAAAATGTAAATATTTTCATAACCTGTTGACTGTTGATTCACTCACACTAAGCAACCTGGAAATTGACTACGTCAAAGTGTAACTTTCTACTTTTTTTGGGTTTATGCTCAATAAAAACAAAGTTTGACTACGATTTTTTAAAAAAATTACATGTTATAGTTCCATTGTAGGGTTACCTTCGCTCTAATTTTCATACCTAAATCACTGAAACTTTGCTTGGGAAAGTGAAATCAAGAAAACATGTCTATCCCCTCTAGAGCAAACGGTTTATGATATTTTTTTGTTGTGTCAATGTTTATTGGTAGTACTGTGTTATGATATTCGGTACAGTCGCATAAAAAAAAAAAACATTATTGTAATAATAATTCATTCTCAGCTACGCGTCGAAGCTAAAAACATCTGTGCAAATAAATTAAATTCAGCGCTATGCAAAATGTTTGACTGCTTCGGTCGAAATATTAGTCCACCGATAAGACACAAGAGAGTCACTTCAAACCTGCAAGTTAAACAGGCTAATCAAACCGATTTTTTTCTTACAAATTGTATCAATCAAAAATGTAAGTAATACTATTAAGATTTTAATGGTTAAGTACATTTTTAAACAGATAATATAGAAAAACTTTAAAATAATTGTATATCAAATGCGCATATAAGATAAAAAATTGTATTTTATATTATGTGTCTTAAATACATATTAAGTCCATGTTATTTTATATTTTTAATAACAAATTGAGTAAAAATAAAATAATAGATAGATATTCATAATAGATTTTAAAATAAAAAACATTTTTATAAAGCTATAAGGTATAAGTAATTAGGTAAAAGCACTTCTAAATAACCTTAAGCTATTGTGTAAAAAAAAAAAATATCTATTGCTTGTAAGTACACACAATTTTAAGTTGTTAACAGAGACCAATTATTCTGGATTTTTGTCTATCTTTATTAGGATAGAAAAATTATATAATAATTTGGCTGACTAAATTACTTTTCAAGTTAAATTTCTACCTTATGATACATAAAAAAATTAATTTAGCGGCCTGAGAAAAATCATGGGTCTACTAATAAAAATAAATATTTATCAAATAAAAAAAACCAAAACAAACTCATATCTGCACCGGAGGCAGCTTAAACTAATATATAACTTGTTTTTTTATTAACAGATAAAAATGAAACTTTTCTGTTTTTTTATATCATTTGTCATTGTTAATGTATCGACACAACTAAGTAATTATTTAATTTTAACAATTACTTTTTGAGGGTGGTTGAATTATAAAAAAAAAAAATCAATTTTACACTTTTTTCAGCGAAGTATACAATGGAGGTTTTAATAACAAGTCAGTAACATTTTAATTTTCAAAAAAATTATATAAAAGGTTTTAAGTTTTACTGTTTTAATATGTTATATTGTTTGAATTATGTATTGCAGACGAACACATAAAACTTGCTTATAATAAGAAAAATATTACTGTTGAAAATATAATCTTCTCAAGTAAGACATATTTAAAATAAATATATTAGCATATAAATTTGTATGTTTGTCTGACTGTCAAGTTATGTATATAAATGAAAAAGCCAGTACAGTGGGGACGGGGCATAGTGGGGACGGGAAGATCACAGGTTTACAGGAATTTTTAAATCTGAAAGTGATAAAATCACTTTCGAAAAAACGCTTCAATGCAAATCGGTAGTTAGTATTTTCAAGCCAGTACAGTCCAAACCAATCACAGTATAAACCAGCAAAGTTAGGAAGTATTAAGTTGAGATTCTGTATTTACAAATAAGCATCAAAGCGTTAATTTGAAAGTGATTTTATACAAGAGGACTAGTACAGTAGAGTATAGGCATAATGGAATCAAAGCAACGAGGAGACGTAGAGGTCACAGGTCTACAGGAATTATTATAAATAAAAGTGATAAAATTCAATAAAATCACTTAAAATAAAAATAAAAATTGAATTTGTGTAAACTTAAAATCAAAAGTGGTACTTGAGCACAAAACTTAACAGTATCATTCTGCATAGATCTACATAAAGTTGTTTTAATGATTTGATAATTTTTTTTTTAAGATTTTGGGTGTTTTTGTTAAAATATACGCAATCTACGAAAACACAGTTTTCCAGCAATTAAAAAAACTGTTGTACCGAATTTAATTTCCTTGTAATATGTTATGTATACATATGAGTTCTAACTACTGACAAATTTTCAACTTAAAGGTCTTAAAATTACGGCTAAAAAACTAAAAAAACTAAATAACTTGAACCCCCTCTAGGGGGGTAGGAAATGGGTTTAATTTAAATTTGATACAGCTGACGTATGCGAGCATACCAAATAAATATTTCTTATAAATTTCAACTCGATCCGATTTTTTTTCTCGAAATTATAGCCAGTAAAAGTTCTAATTTAAAAACTCATACGGTTTTTTTTTTGTTTTTTCAAATTTCGTCTGTGAAGAAGTAAACTTTTTCAACTTTTACCCCCCAAAAGTACCAACTAGATGAAATTTGTGATTTATAGAGCTACTCGAAGGAATTGGTCCAGTATTAAAAAAGTTACAGTGTAACAGATAATACACACATCAGAGTAAAACCTATACCTTCTCGCTTTGCATTGAAGCTAAAATAATGTTTCTATAAATAGTTCAGAAAAGTGCACTAGGTATATAGAACTAATGTGCTGAACACAATTTTTAAATTAATATTTAAAGTAGCGGTTTTTATTTGAAGCATTTTTTTAGCTTAAACATTTATTTGTTTATTCTAGATGGATTCGAGTATGTAGTTTCAAATTTTGTTGATGATGAATTTGATCCTTATTTAGGTAGGTAAAATAAAATAATGATAATCACAAAAAATATATTTAAAAATCGTATAGAAATTCCATCACAAATTTATCATTATGCAATTTATTAGTGTTATAAATATGATTATTTTTTAAATTTAAATGTAATAATTATGAAAAAAGTGATGCTAGCTCTGTCAACCTCCTCTAATCATTGTATTTTATTCTTATTGCCTATTCTTATCTTCCGTGCCACCAATACACATTGCTTTTCTTCCTGTTTTTTAAAAAAAATGAAATATAATATCATTAATTTACGTAATGTTAATTTCAGGAATTTGGTATTATAACAATATCATCGCTGTTCCGGGTAATAATTTTTATTGCACATGATGGAATTATTTCCACACAGTTGTTTGATATTTATTAAGTACACAATGTTGTTTTTTTAATTTCAGAATTTTATACATTTAAATACCCTTATGACCTAGATGGTAACTATATATTTATACTTTATATTTACAAATGCTTTACACTTATTTATTATTTTTACATATTTGTGTCAATCATAAGAAAGATTGAAAAATGTGTATTCTTTTAATTTTCAGAATATGTACAATTCCAAAAAAATATGCAAGACAAAATAACAACTCTATTAGGTAAATACTTATATGTAAAAGCAATCAAATATGCCAACCGAAAATAAGGAAGTAATGTTCCTCGGTCCTGGTGATAACGAAAAACAATACCCCACCCAAGCCCTAATAACTTTTTATTATTGATAGATATTTTGCAATAATTAATTCGTCTAACAATAAGTGCTATATCAGTTTTATAGTGACTGTTAAATGATTTAATATTTGATATATTTGTTACAGAAATTCCTGTTCCAGCAATTACAGAACAAAGTAATTATGAATTTTCCCAAAGTTATAAATAGCCATTAAGATTGGTTTTAGAGTTGTAATTTTAACAAATATTTTATGTCAAACAATTATTTTAGTTAAATATTTAAACATTTAGTTGGAGAGAGAGAGGGAGTGCGTCCCCTTTACCCATTTACGGTTATATTTTTAATGTGGCTTAATAAACAATTTTTTTTTCATTCGAGAAGAGAATAAAAATAAAAATTTAACAAATTTTTAATTAATAAATGTACATAAATAAAGTCAAGGCGGTATTTTAATTGATGCTCTGTTTCATTATAAGCTATTCAACGGTGTTATTGACTGTCCAGAGTGGCTAATTAGTGCTGGGTTATGGACTCCCCTCGTATAATACATTCTGAATCTTTGGTCTTCTCATCAGCTTTAAGATGACTACAATGTTAATGTGTGTTAAGCATTTGAGTTTTAAGTATATTAAAAATACATTCTTTGAGTTTCAATACTAATTACTGGTTGTACATAATGGGAGTTAAATTAAAGTTATTCAAAATGTAATGCAACTAATTCATTTTGTATTTCTTTTTTTTGTTATCAATTCGGTTATTCTATAACTTTTGCAGGATTTAGTGATCCAGATACTTGGTTGAGACGACTTGGAGAAGAGAGAAGACGTTACACTGCTGAAGTTTTAAAAAGTATTATGAACCCGTACCTAGGTAAATATTAGCAAAAAGTTGTAATAGCTTTCAACCATATATATTTGAATAAAGTAAGAATACTTTCTTCGAGCTCCAATAGCAATGACAGGTTGTTGCAACTAAATCAGTGCTACGACAGTACTTTGGGATGTAATGCAGCTATATTTGTCATGAAAAACTAATTTATTATTTGTTTTTAAAAATTGTTTTGTTGCCAACACGGTATTTTATACATTTTTGCAGATTCAAAACATTTGACAGAACTTATTTTAGAGAGAGAAATTCATCCCACAAATGCTTTGAACAATAGAATCGCCCGTTTAGAATGTAAGTACTATTATGGAGTTCTCTTTTTAACCATGATTTATACATACACATCTATACATCATATACATCTAGACCATTACAACTCTGAAACTACTTTTCGTGTATGTGTTGAGTGAAAAACAGCAAAATTTAGAGTTGTGGCAAATCAAATGTAATACCATTTCATAGCTTGAACTCAATACTGCCATATTTCAGTATATAGTGGTCTTAACCCTTTGTAAGGTGACATTGGTCAGACGGTTCTAGACCAGTCGCACTTAGGTAAGAATTGTACACCAGTCACACTTTAGTTACAAAAGTAGTCATCGTAAAGGCAAATTATAGTGAAAACAGTCTTGCTTGTACTACATTAAAAAAATGTTGGTCACATGTACCTATTGCTGAATTAGCGTTAATAATGTTTAATTTATATTCTTATGACTATATTCTATTACATACTACAAAAGAAAATAAGTAACTAAATTTAATTTTTCAGATAAAGTCCCTATATTACGGATGTGTCGTTTAATAGCATTGGTCTTGGCTGTAAATATACCACCAGATTTCATGAGAACACTTCATAGAAATGACGAGGATAGACTTTGTATCCTAAGTAATTACAAATCACCAGACAAATTTGCATTCAGACAAATGGATGGCATATGGTGGCAAGTAGAATTCAAAAAACTTGATAATAAAATCCTAAAACTTAAGGAACACGTGTCGTTAATGAAATCAATGGTATAACTCGTCTTAAGTTATATACTACTATTGTCATTATATTTAAATACTATTTACATTTTTCACTTATATCCAAATTGTCAATTGATTCAATGTATTTTATAAGAACCCTTGATTATAATTACATTTGTTTGCTTTTTTTTAATACTATTTACCAATAAAATGATATAAAATAATTCGCATAGATAAATATACTGTTATCTACTTATTTTTAGTATTATAATATACATTTACTGCAATCGAACACAACCGACAAACGTGGATTAAATTAAACCACCCCAACAGTTTGTTATAGTAGGATCGTTGTACTTCGATAAAGTGAACAATAAATACAACGTTTTCGTTTCATTTAGTAAATAATATTATTATAACGGAAAAATACGTTACTAAAATTATTACAATTTTCAATAGGTTCACAACAACGAAAACTCCACGTCAGTAAAATGTGTATACCTGATCATATTAAAAGAACCAGGTTTTGTAAATAAATTAAAATTGGCACAGTGCAATAAACGAATATATTAAAAGACAACTTGTACAAAATACATACGTGGTGCACATAATCATTGTCTGTCCTTTTATTACACGTTTGACTAAAAATGTAATATATTTTGTCGGATGAATATTTTAAATAATACCTCTACCTCTAGTCACTGTGAACAAATCCTAAAATTGTGTGTCTGATTTGAGAATATTGTCCACTAATGATTTATTATAACCTTCAACATACTAAGTGCGCACACACTAAACCAAAAAAAAAAATAAAATTTGTGTTCTATGATTTTAAACATAGAAAAAACTAAAAATACACTTATTTCAAATAAGCAACGGACATTTGTAAATTATTTATTTATTTGATTAACTGAGGTAAAATACCTAATGATAAGTTTAAAAAGCCAACTCAGTGTAAACGAAGAAATGGCGCAAACTATTTAAAAAAAAATGTTTGTTAATATTTTTAATTTATATACATTATCATAGTTAACTGATAATGTAGCGAATCGGATGGTTATTTAATCACATTAATTGTCTAAAAGAATCAAATACATCATAATATTACGACCATTTATTATAATAATAAAATGTGACGATAAAATTGTAAAAAAAAATCGCTCACATAGTACATCACACACAGCACTCTAAAAATTGAATACGGTTAAAGTTAAATTTTCCCCATTTTTTGGATTTTCCTTAATAAGAAATTAAGTTTGATTACAGATTTTTGAGAAAATTGTCCATATTATAGTTCCACTCTAGATTTACTTAGGTTTAATTTTCAGACCTAAATCACTTAAACTTTACTTGAAGAAGTAAAATCAGAAAACATGTCTATCCATTCTAGAGGAAAGGGTTTATGATATTTTTTTGTTGTGTCAGTATTTTGTCTACACTTATTTATACATATATTGAGAATAGCCATATGAATTTGTTTATATTGGTTTCAATCATAAGTAACATGTAAATTAAAAAGTGTATTGTTTTTATTTTCCAGAATATGTAAAATTCCAAAAAAGTATGCAAAACAGAATAACAATTCAATTCTATTAGATAAATATATATATATCATGTATGTAAAAGCAATAAAACATGCCAACAGAAGAGGAAGTAATGCTCCTCGGACCTGACGATTTAGTAAACATTCTTGGCTTAAGCTTTTGATGATCATATGAATTATAATGTAAACCGTCAATTCAAACGTTGCTCTTAGTAATGATATGTAATGTTAACTCTATTTAAAGCAGTTACTCTCACTTAAATAGATTGACTGGACTGCCAACGTTTCAGAATACGTCTTAGACTACATGAAACCACAGTGCAAGCAACATTAAATGATATATTGATATATTTGTTACAGAAATTCGTGTTCCCACAATTACAGAACAAAGTAATTATGAATTTGTCGACAGTCATAAATAGCCTTTAAGACTGGTTTTAGAGTTGTAATATTTATAAATATTTTATGTCAAACAATTATTTTAATTAAATATTTAAATATTTAGTTGGAGAGAGAGAGAAAGAGAGAGAGAGAGTGTGTCTGAATTGCCCATTTACTGTTATATTTTTAACGTGGCTACTTAGTGTTGGGTTATGGACTCCCCTGGTAAATACACACTGAATCTTTGGCCTTCTCATTAACTTTAAGATGACTGCTATGTTAATGTGTGTTAAACTCTTTGAGTTTCAGTACTAATGGCTGGTTGTACATAATATTAGTTATATTGCAGTTCTTCATAATGTAATGCAACTAATTATTTTTTTAATTTTTATTCTTTGTTATCAATAACTTTCGCAGGATTTTATGACCCAGAGATTTGTTTGCCACAACTTGGAGTAGAGAGAAGACGTTTTACTGTAGAAGTTTTAAAATATAGTTTAAAAAAACTAAAAAACACGCTTAAATAGTAAAATAAACTAAAAAGTAGAAAATAATTTTCAATATAGAAATCAATTAATAAAAAATAAATAGTATTATTGTGAAAAAAGCGTGGGGTGCTACATATATCAGTTCTTGAAAAGCGCCCCACACTTTTTTCACAATAATACTATTTATTTTTTATTAATTGATTTCTTTATTGAAAATTATTTTCTACTTTTTAGTTTATTTTACTATTTAAGCGTGTTTTTTTAAACTATATTTATTTTCCACTTTTTAGTTCGATGTGCTTTAAAATCGTGTTTTTTTAATTCTAGTACATACGTGTCTCTATTACTTGAAAACTTCAGGTAAACAACAATGAATACACGCATGTACGTTCGATTGCCTATCTCTTTTAGTTACATAGTTACATACAAACAAACATACATACAAGTGAAGCTAATAAAGCGTCTTAAAAAAAAAAATAATGACCCGTACGTAGGTAAATATTAACAAAAAGTTTTAATAGCTTTTACTCACATTATATATTTGAATAAAGTAAGAATACTTCCCTCGAGCTTTAATACTAATGACAGATTATGAAAAAAAAATCATTATTATGATAGTACTTTGGGATGTAATGTAGCTATAATTATCATGAACAACTAATCTATTTTTTTTTTTAAAACTCTTTTTTGATGTCAACATGGTAAATGTCAACATTTATACATTTTTGCAGACTTTGAAAATTTGACCGATCTTGTTGAAGCGAGAAGAATTCATCCCAGAGCTTCGAATAATATAATCGCTCGTTCAGCAAGTAAGTATTAATATAGAGTTGTCCTTTTAAGCATGTTATATACAGGTGATTTTTTTTTATCGTGAGCCAGTCAGTATATCAATGGTTTTAATTAATGTTTACATTTTTTTCGTATAGTGTTTTTGTATAATGTGATCTGATTTTTCTAACAAATTTATATGCTCCTACCCCCTCCCAAAATAATGCTTAATTAATTTGCTTATGTTTTATTCCACTACATACTACAAAAAAAAATATGTAATCAGTATGCTAAATTTGTCAAATAAAAAAATAATAATATCATGTTTCAGAAAAAGTCCCTTTATTACGGATGTGTCGTTTAATAGCATTGTTATTGGCTACACCATTCCCACTATTATTTATGAGAATTCTTCATATAAAAGACGAGGATAGAATTTGTTTGCTAAATAATTAAATTTCTCCAACCTACACGTACAGAGAAATTAAAGACATATGGTGGCAAGTAAACTCTAAACACCTTGATGTTACAATACAACAACTTAAGGAACAGCTGTTGGTAATTTAGACTGGAAATGGTATAACTCGTCTAAAGTTTTAAATTACTATTGTTATTATATTTAAATAATGTTTGAATTTGTTCACTGACATTCAATTGTATTGTTTTTAATGCATATAACGAGTATCGTAATTAAAAACAAAAATTGTTTAAACCTTTAAATGTTTTACTTGGCAAAACAGCCATGACCTGCTTAGTCTATAGCTAAAACTATTATGTCTATAATATTAGATATGTGTGGTGTAGTAGACGACAATTCTCCATGCACAAACAAACCGACACGCACTCATTATTTGCTTAAGACATGTGTTAATATCAATCGTTACTAAAACGTCAATAGTTTTATACCAATTAAATGTAATAAAATAATAAAATACGAATTGTTGAAAAAAATTACAACCTTTTTTATGCAGACGCTTTATAACGTTAGATAAAGGAAAAAATAAAGTATGGTGCTAGGCTGAGAAGAAAATTATTTCTGGTGAAGCTTATGGCTGTTTATCTAAACAACAAAAAAAACCAACGACATGTGATAGTCAAAAAAAAATTAACACCAAAAAAAAAATCATAATTACTGAACTAATAATTACCTAACTCTTTAATAAATAGGAGTATGATGTCCCCTTAATGTGTCTATGTCACATGTGCGTTCATTGGTTAAGTTAAATATTAATTTCAGTTGATTGCTAGTATAGTATACTATATATTATTATAGTGCACTCGAGATCTAGTATTATGATATACATTGGCTGTTTTAAAGGACGACATAATAAGAGTATATTTAAATTATTATATGTTCTCCAATATTAAAATACACAATTAAATCAATTCATCAACGTACTAAGCAAAGAAGACAAAGCCAACAAGGCAAAAGGCCGTTCAGGTCATTTCTGAACCAATTAAAGGTACGTGCAGTTTAGACTACACTAGAGTAATTATACAATTATGAGAAAACAAGACACTACCAGTTACCATGGAGAATAAACCATATTCAATTACAACAACCCTATTCCCTACCCACAGATAATCTGTGTAATATTATCATCTCGACGCATCCTATTTTCGTGAATAAAGAAATAAAATACTATAGTTAAAACTATTTAGTTTAAAATTTTAAAAGCAAATAGTCTGAACTCCACGTATATTACAGTGTAATATAAATATGTGATCATATAAAAACCAGCTATTTAAATAAAATAAAATATGCACTCTGCAAAATATATGTTTTTTTTATTATTTACAGATTAAATTGAATCATTCTTGGATTTTAAGATCGTTTGTCTTTGTACACGTATCGCAAAATCAACTAAGTAATTATTTTCTTTTCATACTTACTTATTCAAAGCAGCTGATCATTTATGATTTATGAATAAAATAATATAGTTAAAATTATTTTATTTATAATATTTAATGCAAATAGTCTGAACTCCACGTGAGTGTTTTTTTTAAATATGTGATCATAATATAAAAACCAGCCATGTAAATAAATTAAAATAAGCATTCTGCAAAACTTACTTCGACTTTATTGATTCGATCGAAATAGAAATCAATAGACGAGACGCGATAAAGCCACTTCCAAGCAGTTGGTTAATCAAGTATAATCGAGCTGATTATTTTCTTAAAAATTGTATCAATTCAAACATTTAAGTAAGTATCACTATAAGACTTAAAAATGTTTCAATACGCTTTTAATCAGACGATAAAACAATAAAATTCATTTATTTTCAATAAACATTTAAATGTTCATTTTATTTTGTTTTAAGTCTAAGTTATTTTATATGATTACAGATTAATAGTTATTAATAGTTTTGGTAAAAATACAACTATAGATAGAAATATTTATAATAAATTTTAAAAATAAATATAATTTTTAAAATTTCTTGTTATATTACACAAGGTTTTTTAAATAGTTAACTATTTTGCCAATTTTTGATTTTTATCCATCTTCATTAGAGTGGACTAACTACTTGTGTTGTCCAAAAAATGCCTTTCCAGTTCGATTTCTATCTTACTGTATAAAAGAAATATATTAGCTGTCTAGGAATTATCGTGAGTCTTTAAATGATCTTTAAATGATTCAAATAAAAAACAGCTTTGTAAAACCAAAACCATCTTGTGTTCACATCGGAGGTAACTGTGTCCAATAAAAATTGTTTTATGTTTATTACTATTTACAGATAAAAATGAAACTTTTTTGTTTTTTAATATTATTTTTCTTTGTACACGTTTCGACAAATCGACTAAGTAATTATTTTATTTTCACTCTTACTTATTAATTAAAGTGGATGAAAATTAAAAAAAAAATCACTTTTTTTATAGCGGATTATAAAAGAGAAATTTGCATTACAAGTCAGTGACGTTTTTATTAAAATAAAAAATACTTTTTAAAGTTAAACATCTAATAGTATTATACTTATATATTTTAATTATATATTACAGACGCACAAATCAAGCTTGCTGGTGATATGGATATTAAAGTTGGTGATACAATTGCTGGATGTAAGACATATTTCAAATAGTCACAAATTTCATAGTCTCAAATTTAATTTATACCTATTAGCATCCCCAATCGCACCGTTTAGTTAAAAATTCGCCAGGATTCAGAACTTATATGTATCCATAATATATTAAACTAAGAAAAAATTCAGTTTTCTTTAAATATCGGAATACTGTGTTTTTCGCAGATTTTATATATTTTTACCTAAACACGTTAAATCTTAAAAAAAAATCATGACAATATTTTTATGGACATCTATGTATAGGGTGATCTCAGTAAGTTTTGAGTCCCAGTTTTAGGTTTTAATTAAATTATGTTTTTTTTTTTGGCTGAGTAAAACTGATATCAATTTGATATAAGCGACCCCAAAAAACATCTAAAAACTATTATCTTTAAATCACGCCCAAATCAGTATATTTATATGTGCAACATATTATTCTGATGATTAATCAGAAAGAAAATATATCTATTTTGATTTTACATGAAACGTTTTTTAAATTTCAACCCTTTATTTTTTCTAGATGGAGTGGAAAAAGTAATTAAAGAAATCGTTAATGTTGAAGATCATGTCATGCTTCGTGATTTAGATTTACAGCTTGCAGATTTTGCATTAATGAATATTATGATCGCTGTACCGGGTAATAATATGTTCATTAGATATTATGAAAATATTTCAACGAAGTTGTTTAATATTCATTAAGTACACAATATTGTTGTTTTAATTTCAGAATACTATGCATACTTTTACGACTTAGACGGTAAACGTACTTATACTTAATTAGCTGTGTGTAATATATTGAAATATAATCATATATATATATATATACTGACATATTGGATTTATTCAGAGAAAAATGTACATTAACATGTATTTCATTTTAATTTTCAGAAGCGATACATATCCAAAGAGCTATGCAAGATGAAATAAGTAGTAAATTAGGTAAATATATAAAAATTATCATTTTTAAGCGAATAGGTAAGTTTCCTCATTTTTTAATTCTTAGTTCTAATGAAAAACGATCACATTTCAATTGCACTTCAAAATTATAAATGTTTTTTTTATGCTTTTGATGATCAATCTAATTATCATTTAAAACGTTCATTCAAATATTGATATTAGAAATAACGTTTAATATTTTTCATTAATTATTGGTCTTTGTAATCTCTGTTTTAGAGTGACTGTTATACATAAAATCTTAAAATCTGGTTTTGATGACTATATAACGATTTGATATTTAATGTATTTCTTACAGGGATTGCTGTTCCTGAAGTTCCTGACCAAAGTAATTTTGATTTTTTTGATAATATTAAATAGCCTTTAAAACCAGTATTAGAGCTGTATATTTTAAAAATGTTTAGCAATAATACATTTTAACAAATACAATATTTTTTTTATGTCGGATGCTCTAATTTAAAGGTCACGCTCTAATTCATTTGGCTACTAAAGTTGACTGAAATGTTAATACATAATAGGCTCTTTGATTTTCAATATTAATGACTGGTTGTAAATAAAAATATTTCTATTACAGTTCTTTGAAAATGAATACTACTAATTTACTTTATCTTTTCGTTATTTGTTATCAACACGGTCGTTTAATTATTTTTGCAGATTTTGGAGAGTTAGTTTTGACACAACTTGGAGAAGAAAGAAGACGTTTTACTAAAAGAGCTTTACAATTATTGATTATAGATGCATTAGGTAAATATCAATAAAATGTTCTACTGGTCTTTAACAATATATATATTTGAATAAATTAAAAACACTTTCTTGGAGCTCAAATTAAAAAAGGAATTATTTTGATTTTTCAGGGAAAGTACAGGAGTTCTCAGTATTAGTGATGTGTCGTTTAATAGCATTGTTCATGAGTACAAAATTCCCGACATCATTTATAAAAAATATTAAGATTGGCAAAAAAAATACATGTTTCATACAGGATGATATTTCAGCATATAAAATATACAGAGACATTAACGGCAAATGGTGGCAAGTAAACGTCAACGACATTGAGAATAAACTAAATTCACTTGAGGGACAGCTAGTTACTCTTAGTTAACTCATTCAAAACGATATAGTACTATTATTATTATATTACAATAGTATTAGCATTTTGAACTAATATTTATTAATTATTTCAATGTATTTCATTAAACAGTTTTACTCAAGATTATATTCACATTTGTTCGCTTATTAAATTGGAAGCAGTTTTAAAAATAATAAATCACTTATCCTTTGAAACTATCTCCATCTGTCATTATTACTTATTTCTAGTAAGTTCTATGGGTCATTCAGCACTCCAGTTCATCTTACCACTTTTTGGACTGATGTGGGTTTTTTTTGTGCTTGTATTAACTGCAACTTTTTTAATACTGTACCAATTGCTTTGAGTAGCAACTACAAAAATTACAAATTTTATCTTATTGGTACTTTAGGGGGGGGGGGAGGAGGAAAAGTTGAAGAAGTTCACTCTTTCACCCTTAAAATTTGGAAAAAAATAACTATAACGAGTTTTAAATTTTCAACTTTTACTAGCTATAATTTCGAAAAAAGGGTTAAAGAAAACACTTATTTTTAATTGCCGGGAAAACTGTGTTTTTGGTAGATTTTTTATATTGTACACAAACACATTAAACTATTAAAACTTTTTTTATCAAATCATGACAACATTTTCAGAGTGATCCTATTAAGTTTTGAGTACTAAAATACCAGTTTTTGGTATTAATTTAATTTTTTTTCTTTATTTACGGTGCACCAGACGTGAGAAATGAAATCAATCTTTATTATTTTTTCAAGTCCCCCAAAAATCAATTTGTCACCATTTTGAAATTAATTAATTTAAGACAATTGGTAGACCATTGTTCATCACATTTTATCATTATATCACGTCCGCAAATTAGGTCATTTTTATTCCAGTTGTTTTACTGGGTAAAACTTATTTATATTTCTGTTAGTTAAAAAGATTATATTGTTGTTATAATAAGTATTGACGTCAATAAAACAAAGAAACTTAAGTGATAAATATTAGTAAGATCTAGTAAACAAGTTGTGTAAATAATTAGTAATCACTAAATATAAACCTCCACGTGCCACGATCATTACAGTACATAATTAGTAAACTAATACAATGCAGTGTGCTTTGTAATTGAACATATTGTAGTACTGGCAAAAAATTGAATAATTTAGGCAATTGTTTACAAGCCTGACTTCTCAAAAATCTTATATTGTTAAAATTATGATTAATCTTTTCATACAACGCTTTTACAATATTTCTAGATAGTGCTCAATTATAAAATTGAGATTAAATGTAACACCCTTAGATTTCTGCTATTTATCAACAGATTTCATTGTCTATTTAATTATACAAAAATAGGATAGTAATCTAGTGTCAGTTTCTTATAGCGAAATTCTAATCTTGATAGAAAAATATGATATATAATAACACATTTAGTAACCATAGCGTATAGGGTATAGTTCTTAGATCCCTTACTTACTGTAAAAAGTATCGATAACAGCCTACTCACAGTGTAATTGTTAGTCTAAAACATAAAAAAAAACAGACAGCTTTCAATTCCCAAAGGCTTTTAGCTCCCTACCCATATAAGATACAAGATATAATACATATATTAAACCAACCATTAATTATTAGTAGTAGATTAGGTTGTGTACAGATCAAAAATCGCTGCCAAATCAATGGCAAATCATTTTCTTAAGAGTCAAACCATAAACAAATATTATCAAAAAATTTAAGGTTTGACTGTTAGCAGCAAAAATAGTCATAACTTATAGAGTTATTGAGCTAGTGAGCTGACATTTCTTACATTTATGTCCAGTTCAGTCAAAAACATAAACAGTTACACGAATACAGAGGGAATCATTAATAATAAGACACTCAAGTTTTCTTAAAATACCTAATTGCAATTTTTTTTTTTTTGAGACACTTGTTTATGATATTTTAGAATACTAGACAGTATTAAATTGTTTATCTTTTTTAGTATATTTTAGTTCTATAAGCTTTTGAAACTTAAATGGTAATTTATATAATAAATTAAAAATGTGTAAATTAAAAATAATCTGCTGAAATTGTTGAACAGTCGACTACTAAAACTCCAGACCCAAGCACTTGATCTAAGCACTCCTAACTTAAATACATTTCCAAAACAGGTTATCGATGAGTCAACATTTTCAACACATTATTGTTAATTTTGAGTTAAATAAATATATAAGAGTTAGGTATGGTAATAATTTAAAAAGTTGAAAAACCATTGGATAATACTATAAAAGGTAAATATTAGGTAATTTTATAACATTGTACAATAAAATAAATACAAATGATTTCAAAAAGAAAAACTATAAAATTGTAATTATTTTTTGAGTATCATCCTGTATTTTATATTAATGTAGTATATTTTATAGCGTGAGCTTGATTTTTGTATGTATATCTGTAAAAATAATTACATTAAAAAACAAAATTATAATTTATAAAATATTACAATATTACTCAAATTCAGTAATATATTTGTTAAATAAATTACCGATTTTAACTATCACTCTACGGATGAGAGGATAAAAATTCCAAACGATTATTTACCAGCAATGTGATATGTTAATAATTATAAAGTTATTTATTATTTTTTGTACGAAACAAACCCGGTTAGGTTTCACAGCATAACGCGGAACGACCAAAGCGATTTCAACCACACTAACTTGGTACACATATACTGTTAAAATTAGATACCAAAATCTGGTTATCACGTTTAGCATATTATTTTCAATTTAAAAAGTTTTAAAAAAGGTACGTTTTTTTATGTATTTTCAACATTTCAACCAAGAAATTGATTTCGGTTTAGTGGGTGTCCCCTACTAAACAAATCAAACAAAACTAACGTTTTAGATGTATTACTAAAAAACTAATATAGCCAACCAATACTCTTGTAGTTTATAATTAATGCCAAAGCCTTTCCAACAAAATAAAAATAATAAAAACACGCTATGTTAATCGCTATCAATATAATATAACGTATTAACCTAGTTAACGACAAATAATATTTCATTGTATTGTTTTGTACTTATATAATATTTAATATGTACACAGTAAGTATTCTCTATATTGTAAAAGGTCAAAACATATAATAGTATATATATTATGTTATCTTTGTATGCATTATATTATCTCAGCTTATTGTACTTAAAACCCTTTGATAATTTATACATTTTACTGCTTCAATATGTTGATTTTGTATAAATAAATGGTATTTAGTACTTAGTTATTGCTAAAAAAAAGTTACAGTCTACTTAAAGCCTAACGGCTAAAATTCTAAAACATTTAAAAAAATGCAAAAACCCGTTTAAAAACACAAAACAAATTTGAGAGTAAAAAAAAATCCGTTGCTTATCCCGATTTAAAGACTAATGTAGTAAAATTTATCTACTTTTATCCCCACAAAGTACCATCTAGATAAAATTTGTGATTTTTTAAATTGCTACTCAAAAAATTTGGGGCCAGATTAAAAAGAGGTACAGAGGGTACAGTCACAAAAAAGCTCACATCGTTGAAAACCTATAGTCTCACAGCTGCGCGTGGAAGCTATTTAAGTTAAAATACAATTGTATAAATAATATTTTTTTATGAATAAAAAATTAAAATATTACAGTTAAAATTCATTAATTTAAAGTAGTAAAAGCAAATAGTCTGAACTCCACATTAGTGTAATATTACAGATAAATCATAGATGATCATAGAAAAACCAGCTATGTAAATAAAAATTGAAATGGGCACTAGCCAAAATATATTTCAACTATACAGTTTCGGTCGAAATATAAGTCCGAGACGAGACGCACATAAGCCACTTCAAAGCATTTGGTTGAATAAGTTAATGGAACTTATTATTTTCTTTAGAATTGTAGCAATTTAAATATTTCAGTCAGTACTACTACAAGACTCTTTGTATCTTTACAACACAACTAAATTGTTTTTTATTATTTACAGTTTAAAATGAATCTTTCCAGATTTTTATTATCATTTGTCTTTTTACACGTTTCGACAAATCATCTAAGTAATTATTTTTTTTTTCACATTTTACTTTTTCAAGGTAGTTGATATAAAAATAAATTTATATTTTTTTCTTTTTATAGCAGACTATAAGAGGGAGGTTTTAATTACAAGTAACATTTTTTTTTTAAAATGTTTTTTTAGGATTTTAGATTTTACTGTTCTTATACATATTTTTTAAATTATATATTACAGACGTACACATCGAGCTTGCTTACAATATGAATAATTTTACTGTAGGAAACAAAATTATCGCAAGTAAAATATATTCTAAATAAATTTGCTAACATATAAATGTTTTTTATGCTTGTCTAACTGTCAAATTAGAAATTTTATTTTCTATAGACAGTTTCGAAAAGAATACTAAGTATACAGAACGGAAAACAATGTAAATACAAATTATTTAAAAAATAAATAATTTAAGAGCATGTAATTTCAAAAATTGCCATCGATGTAGATTATGAAGCACGTATAATAGGTTTTTAACTATCAGAAATTGTATTCATAAATATTATGTTCGCTGTGCCGGGTAATAATTTTCATTGTTTATTATAAAAATATTTCCACAAAGTTGCTTCATATTCCTGAAGTGCACAATATTGTCGTTTTAATTTCAGAATACTATGCATACCTTTACATTTCACAAGGTAACTAAATATTTATATTACATAATTAAAATACTTGTTTATTTTTTTATAATTTATACACATTTATGAATAATTGTATTTATACTCACATATTGGTTTCATAAATTACACATAATATGTAAGTACATTTAATTTTAATTTTCAGAAGCTATAGAAATTCAAAAAGCTTTGCAAAGTATAATTACAACTGAATTAGGTAATTATTTAAAATGAATCATTTTTAAAGGACCAATTTAAAAAAAAAAAAATTACCCCACGCAGTTCTAATGGAAAAACGATAGAACTCAAAGTTTAAAGTTATAATGTTTTTTTTAAGGTTTTGATGGCCATTCTAATTATCATTTTAATCGTTCATTCAAATATTTATATTAGAAATGAAATGTAATATTTATACAATATTTTTCATCAATTAATTGGTCTTTGCAATCTCTGTTTCAGAGTGATTGTAATAGATAAAATATAAAAATATTGTTTTATTGACTGTATAATAATTTGATATTTGATGTATTTGTTACAGGGATTGGTGTTCCTGCAGTTCCTGACCAAAGTAATTGCGAATTTATTGATAATATTAAATAGCCTTTAAAACTACTATTAGAGATGTCATTTTTAAAAATGATTTTTATCGAACAATAATTTCTATATACAAACATTTAGTGTCCTTTAAGTCACCGCTAGGAAAATTTATGTTATTGTTAGTCCCATAAACTGGATGTTAAGGTATATTAATAATGTGCTAAAAAAATTTGGAATTTTTAATGATTCTATATTTACAGTTTTTGAAGAATTAGTTTTGACACAACTTGGAAAAGAGAGAAGACGTTTTACTGGGAAAGCTTTAAAAGATTTGATGAGCCATTTATTAAGTATATATGCCTTATGGTTTTTATTATATTTAACCTATATATAGAGTTTTATTTAAATAATAAACTTCCAATCATTTGTAAAGTATTACAACAGTGCTTTGCAATGTTATGCAACTATTTATCATGAACAACTAATATATTATTTACTTTTAATATTTTTATTTTTTGTCATCAACATGGTTATTTTTATATTTCAGCAAATGTTGATAATTTGACCGCACTTGTTGAAGTGAGAAGAATTAACCCTACAGTAGCGTTAAATAGAAGAATGGTCCGTTCATCAAGTAAGTATTTATGTAGAATTGTTTTTTAACTATAATATATATATATATATATATATAATATATAAATAATTCGGCATTCACACCTCTAGAATAAGACCACCCGAGAGTACCCAAAAACAATTTTAGAAGTGGTTTAGCACTTTAGTAAGCTTCCCATTTAAATAAAATTGAGTTGTAGCATATAATTTTTATTTTTATGAATAACACCTTAAATTTTTAAAAATTTATAAGAAAACAAATTAAAACAGACTTACATTAATTAGTATTATTGTCTGCTGTACACAAATATACCGAGTGATTGAAAGTGATTATATAATAAGAGAGTGTAAGGCAAAGCGAATCCCATTAAAACTCTTATTTTATATATATTTTTTATTTAGGAGACCATTTTTTACAACCAAGACGAACAAAGTAAAAGGGTCCAAGAAAGATAAAGAGAAGTAGCATTTTAAACTGAACCTATCAGCTTTGCAATAAAAAGTTTTCAAAGTTGATTGCTTTAAAATTGAAGGATTTTTTCATGAAAAATAAAAATTATACCTCTACTTAATAAACTTGTTAATGTGCAGAAACAACTCTAATTTTTAATTATATTTTTTAAAAATTTTTTTTATTTGATACTCTTTGTGATCATATAAACATGCCTTATGACTAAGCGTAAAAAAATGTTTTTTTTTATGGAAACAGCCTAATATATATTTATACAAAAGACTAGAAGTTTTTCTTAACATACAATTCATATTTATAGTTATGACTTTTCTTTAAATTAAGGTTAATTGAGTCTTGCCCCATAAAAAAAAGTATCAACAAAGTATTTAGTAAGCTAAATAATTTGCCAAATTGAAAAAGAAGATTCTAAATAATCATAACAAGTGATTAAAAGCTATTAATAAGTAACCTGTAACGGTGGGGCAAAGCTACTCTTTGTGGTCATGTAAATATGCCTTAGGACAGAAAGTGTGAAAAGTGTTTTTTTTTTCTTATCAAAACAGGCTAATATATATTTATGGTTGTTGTGTCTTGGTCCCATAAAAAAAAGTTGTAGCTAGTAAGTTAAATAATTTGCCAACAAGAAATTGTTTTGATTTTTTAGATAGCAGTAAACCGGAAGGCTCTTTATTATGGATGTGTCGTTTACTAGGATTGTTCACGAGTACAAAATTTCCAATATCATTTATAAAAAATATTAACACTGGCCATAAAAAAACTTGTTTCCTGGAGGACGAAATTACAGCCAATAAAATATACAGAGAAATTAACGGCGTATGGTGGCAAGTAAATGTCAATAACATTGAGGATAAACTACAACTACTAGAGAAACAGCTATGATAATTTAAGTCAGAAATATAATGATATAACCCTTCTAAAACTATGTAGAACCATTATTATTATTATATTACAATAGTATTACCATTCTGCACTAATATTTATTAATTATTTTCATGTATTTCAATAATCAGTCTTTTTTAAAATTATATTCACATTTGTTTGTTTATTTAATTGGAAGCATTATTAAAAATAAATAAGTATATAGATTGCGTACGAGTCCGCAACACAACGGGATACATTTTTATGTATCTAAGGTGGCTAGTAAACATATCAAGTTTCTGGCTAATATTTTAGTGTTTTCATAATATCTGGCCCAAACAGTTCATAGAGAATTTGACCCCTTCAATTATTGAATTTATTATTAATTTCTATTTTGAACGTTGTGAATACAACATATATGCCCCCCCCATTCCCACCTCAACCCCAACTCTCATATCTTACCCACTAGCTCTCACCCTCTATCTCTCATCCCCTAACTCTCACCCCTAACTCTCATCTCTATCTCTCAGCCCTGACTCTCATCTCCTAACTCTCACCCCATAACTCTCACCCCTATGTAATACCCCCTAACTCTCACCCCTTCCCTTATCTCATATCTTATAAATCAGCTGTTATTCTTCGTTATGATAACCGGTGTCATTATGATAAGCGGTGTCGGTGTCGGTTTTCCATGTGTGTGCTATAGCAAAGACATAAAAATGTCAACAAATGTATTCATCCTTTCCACCTATCTGTCTATTACTTATTTCTAAGAAGTTCTAGGTCCAACAATTCCAGTCAATTTTGACACTTTTTGGATCATTTGGTTATGGCCTGTCATAGGTTATGTCTTACTTAACTTATATTCCTGTTTATTATTGCTGTAACCGCTAAGTCTTTCCCCAATTAATCGGATGCTTTACTAAAACTCAAGGAGTTTTGGTGTGACTTTTAAATCCAGATATAGGTGTGAAAAAAATATATTAAAATAGTGTTAGACCTTCTTCACGATTAAACATAACGATGACCTCGCAGGTACATTTTATTTGGATACAATTATTTAAAATAAAACGCATAGTAGATTATATTATTATTTACCACTTTTGTCGGGTCTACCTAAGACTCTCTAATGGAAGTATATAATACATAAATATTAATTTTATTGAGAATAAGCGATTATAATTTAAACTATGGAGTACAAACGATTGAAACATGAATTGTCGACCATTCCAACAAAATTTAACAAGACATTGTATGTGTTATTTGGTCCACTACGTTTTTGCAAAAAAAAAAAAAAACCAGTACAGTGGGGTCGGGGCATAGTGGGGACGGGGAGGTTATAGATTTACAGGAATTTTTAAATCTGAAAGTGATAAAATCACTTTCGAAAAAACGCTTCGATACAAATCGGTAGTTACTATTTTCAAGCCAGTACAGTCCAAACCAAGCACAGTATAAACCAGTAAAGTTAGAAAGTTTGAAATTGAGGTTCTGTATTTACAAATAAGCATCAAAGCGTTAATTTGAAAGTGATTTTATCCGAGAGGACTAATACAGTAGAGTATAGGCATAATAGAATGAGGAAACGGAGAGGTCACAGGTCTACAGGAATTATTATAAATAAAAGTGATAAAATTGAATAAAATCACTTTCAAATAAACGCTTTGATGCTTATTTGTAAATACAGAACCTTAATTTAAAACTTTCTAACTTTACTGGTTTATACTGTGCTTGGTTTGGACAATCTTATGAGATATTTGATATTAATATATTACAATACATAATATGTACTATAGGATAGGATATATTTTAGGTTAATAAAAAAATATAAACTAAAACCGCAAAATAATTTAATGTTATGCCTACTTATATTTAAAATACAATTACTTAAACAATAATTGCTAATGAATAAAATAATACAGGGTGATCCAACTAACGTAAGACACTCATTTTCTATAAAAATATGAATTTTTTGAGAATTTTTTTTTTTTCCTAAACTTTTAGGTACATATTTCACTACATTTTTTAATATTTTGAACACGTTTATTACCAATCCTTATAAGCCAAAACATGGGATTTTTGTTTTTTTTTTAATAGCAACATGTGTTTTTAATTACATATATTTGTAGACAAAAAATAAAAAAATATTTTTGCGTTTGAATTTTGAATTTTCATTAATTTGTTCATTTGTTATGACTTTATAAATATTTGATTTTTTCCTGTACTTCTTAATATTTTCAATCGTTACTACAAAGACAGTAGTTTTATTACATTGCATGAAAATAATTTGACGTATTATCGTACCGTAGTACCGTACTCTGTATTATAATCAAATATAATAAATAATTTGTAATCTGTAGATAAGAACCGTTTATCTATCATTATTTTAGAATCGTTTATAGTGACTTCCTAGTTGTTAGAATGTTATCGCCAATAATTGGTCAATGCGAACATACATATGCATTTTATGTGCTACCGGTTTTGGAAAACCGAAGAAATATTTGATTATTAAGAGGAAATGTAGTATCTTTATTAAGTCATAGCCAATAAGAACAGATGGTTTTCCAGAACAGATAAATGAAAATAAAAAATTCAAACGCTAACATATTTTAAAATGTTTTGTCTACAAACTAATGTAATTAAAAACATGTGATGCCATTTAAAAAATCCCCCTTTTTGGCTTATAAGGATTGGTAATAAAAATGTTAAAAATATTGAAAAATGTAGTCAAATATGTACCTAAAAGTTTGTGGGAAAAAATTCTCAAAATATTCATATTTTCAGAGAAAACGAGTGTCTTACGTTAGTTGGATCACCCTGTATAGTTTCAATTATTTTATTTGTAATATTTAAAACAAATAGTCTGCACAAACAACAAGTCTTTAGACGAGACGCAACAATGCCACTTCTAAGCAGTTGGTTAAACAAGCTAATCGAAGTGATTTTTTCTTAAAAATTGTATCAATCCAATAATGTAAGTATTACTATAAGGCTTAAAAAATTGTAAATACGTTTTTAATTAAATGACATAGGAAAAAAATTAAAAGCATTCATTTTCAATGGGCATTTAGGATTAAAATTGAATTTCATTTTTTTTATCTCAAACATATATTGAGTCTGAGTTATTTTATATTATTTAATTATGTATAATAGATTTGGTAAAAACAAAATTGTAGATTAACAAAGATAAACTATAAACTTCTCATCTCCACATCGGAGGTAATTGTGACTAACATAAATTGTATTTATGTTTATTATTATTTACAGATAAAAATGAAAGTTTTCTGTTTTTTTATATCATTTGTCTTTGTACACGTTGCGACAGATGAACTAAGTAATTATTTTCTTTTCACTCTTACTTATTTAAGGCGGTTCTTTTTCTTTATCTTCGCCTAACATATGAGGAAGGTCATCCTAGTCTTAAACCTTCTTTAGAGCTCGGCCTTCAACAACATCTCGTTCAATCGCTCCAGCTATCCTTATATCACCCTCTATTCCGTCTATCCATCTTTTATTCGGTCTTACTCTTTCTCTCTCTCCATCTAAGTTCATCTTCATATCAACTATCATTGACTATCTTAATTAAGGTAGTCTAAAATTAAAAAAAATCAATATTTAACTTTTTACAGTGGATTATAAAAGGGAGGTTTTCATTACAAGTCAGTAACGTTTTTGTTATATAAAAAATACTTTTTACAGTTTAAAATTTACTTTTTTTTATACATATATTTTTAATGATGTATTGTAGATGCACACATCGAGCTCGCTTATAATATGAAAAAAATTACTGTAGGAAATAAAGTGATTGCAAGTAAGATATATTTTAAATAAGTATGCTTACATATATATATTTTTTACGCTTGTCTAACTGTCAAATAAGAAATTATATTTTCTATAAAAAGTTCCCAGAAGTACACTAGGTACAGAACCAGTGTACTAAACACTGTGTAAATACAAAAATTATAAAAAACAAATCATTTTTATTTTCATTTATTATTAAAGTAGCCGTTTCTATAATTTACAACGTCTATTTAAGCTAAAAGGTGGTGTAGCGCTAAGGTCCATACTCGATAGGCATCAGCCATAATTTAATACAAGGTGTAATCTTATTCTGATGATATATCTATTTTGATTTTATTTGAAACTTCTTTTAAAGCCCAAACATTTGTTTGATTATACTAGATGGATTGGAGCATGTAATTACAAAAATTGTTGATATTGAAGATCATGACATGCTTCGTGATTTAGACTTACAGCGTGCAGAAGTTGTTTTAATGAGCATTATGATCGCTGTTCCGGGTAAAAATTTTCATTGGATATTATTGAAATATATCGACAAAGTTGTTTAATATTCATTAGTACACAATATTGTCGTTTTGTTTTCAGAATACTATGCATATCTTTACGACCTAGATGGTAACCGTACTTGTACTTATTAGTTATTTATGTATAATTTATAATCATTCTTTTATCATGAGCTCGTAGGGTTTAATAAATTTTTTTTTTTTTTTCATATTTGTTTTTATACAATGTGTTCTTCATTTCAAAATTGAGGTCAAATTATACAAAAAAAGAATTCAATTTCTCATTAAGCCCTGAGATATTGAGTGACCCATGATAAATCACCTTATATGGCTATATATACTGACATATTGGATTCATTCAGAGAAAAATGTGCATTTATATGTATTTCGTTTTAATTTTTAGAAGCGATATATATCCAAAGAGCTATGCAAGATGAAATAAGTAGTAAATTAGGTAAATATATAAATTTTACCATTTTTAAGTGAATAATTTTCAATATATTTTAATTCTTAGTTCTAATAAAAAAATATCACACTTCAATTGCAGTTCAAAATTACAACGCTATTTGTTTTTTTAATCTTTTGATGGTCATTCTAATTATCATTTAAACCGTTCGTTCAAACATTGATATTATAAATAATGTTTATTATTTATACAATATTTTTTATTAATTAATTAGTCTTTGTAATCTCTGTTTTAGAGTGACTGATAAAATCTAAAAATCTGGTTTTGATGTTTAATGTATTTTTTACAGGTATTGCTGTTCCTGAAGTTACTGACCAAAGTAATTTTGAATTTTTTTACTAAATAAATAGGCTTTGAAACTTGTGTTAGAGCTATCATTATTAATAATGTTTTTTGGCAAACAACAATTTCTATTTACAAACATTTAGTTGAATAGAAAAAATGAGGCTTATTTAACTATTTACGGTGTTATTTTAAATGTCGTTGAAAATATAATAGTTTCTTGATTAGGAAACATTAACAAATAAAATATTTGTTTGATAAGTAATGGTACTTGCATTACTAATGAACGTAATATTGGTGAACAGTAATTGTTAGATGAGTGCATAAAATATATGAATTAGAAATTATATAGTATTAGGTGTATAACCACGAGGTTATAATAATTAAAAGTTAGAAAGATAGAACGATATAGTGATAAAAAATGAAAACATACTGCATATGTGTTTTTTTTACACTTATTTTATTAAAGTGATGAGGATTAATTAAGTTTAAATAGAGTAATAATGTATCTATAACTATAGGAACGAATAATGATGTATAAAGTATGTGATATAGGTAAAAATATATTTTTACAATAAAAAATTGGTTTCAAGGTATCACCGCTAGGAAAAATGATGTTCTTATTAAACCCATAAACCGGATATTAAGCTATAGTAATTACGTGCTAAATAAATTTGACATTTTTTAAGAATCTATTTTCGCAGTTTTCGAAAAATTAGTTTTGACACAACTTGGAGAAGACAGAAGGCGTTTTACTGGAAAAGCTTTAAAAGACATGATGAACAACGCAATAAGTAAATATGTCTAATGGTTTTTAACCAGGTGTATTCGAATAAATTAAGGATACTTTCTTCGAGCTCCAATATACAAATGGCATGTTAGCAATAACAACGTGTTTTTGTATAAACACAATTTTATTTGTGTCTCTACACAATCTTGTAACCTTGTAGGATAATATAAATAACATTTGAGCTAAGGGCACGTGGCTCATATTTTTATCTGCCAGTATTCTTAGTAAAAAGTGTTTTTGTCACACTAATATATTATGTTATATTATCAGCTATTATTGTTTTACATTTACTATATGTGTTTATTAATAGTACTGGGTTAATCTATTAATAAACTTGTATTGCGTTTTATTCAAATATCAAACTTCCACTCTTATGTATAGTATTACAACAGTTCTTTGCAATGTAATGCATCTATTTATCATGAACAACTAATTTATTATTTACTTTTAATTTTTTTTTTTTTTATCAACATGGTTATTTTTTATATTTTAGCAAATTATGGAAATTTGACCGGTCATGTTGAAGAGAGAAGAATTAATCCTACAAAAGCGTTGATTAGAAAAATGGTCCGTTCAGTATGTAAGTATTTTTATAAAATTATCCTAACTATATGTATAAATAATTCGCACTTTTAAAATACGACCACAAAAGAGTAATCAAAAACAATTTTAGAAGTGGTTCAGCACTTCAGTAAGCTTCCCATTTTAATAACATTGAGTAGTATCGTATTTTTTTATGAATAACACCTTCATATAAGTCATACCAAGTGATTTAAACCTATTAATAAGTAATGGTGGGGCAAAGCTACTCTTTGTAGTCATATAAAAATGCCTTAGGACAGACAGAGTGAAAGAAAGTTTTTTTTCTTATCGAAACAGACTAATATATATTTATGGTAGTTGTGTCTTGGTCCCATAAAAAAAAAGTTGTAACTAGTAAGCAATAATTTGCCAAATTAAAACAAGAAATTGTTTTGATTTTTTAGATAGCCGTAAACAGGATGACCCTTTATTATGGATGTGTCGTTTAATTGCATTGTTCATGAGTACAAAATTTCCAACATCATTTATAAAAAATATTAAGACTGGCGATAAAAAAACTTGTTTCCTGGAGGACGAAATTACAGCAAGTAAAACATACAGAGAAATTAACGGTGTATGGTGGCAAGTAAACGTCAATGACATTGAGGATAAACTGCAACTACTTAAGGAACAGTTATGATAATTTAGTCTAGACATATAATGGTATAACATTTCTAAAACTGTATAGTACTATTATCATTACATATTTTTAGTAGTACTGGATAAATTGAATAATTTAGGAAATTTTTTACACGCCTGACGTCATAAATCACAATAGATAAAATTTAATGTTTTCTGTTTAACTATGTGTATTCATTTAATTATTTGTATTATGATATGTGTATATTAAAAATCTTATATTAATGTAACATATAACATATTAATGTAAAAAAAACTTTAGCAACACTTGTGGTTGTATATTATAAAATATTAAAATAAATCCTTAATATCATTTACATAATATACATATTTCGGCAGCCATGTTACCATCATCAGTGTATACAACAGACTGAGGCGCAGCTATAGAATATTACATTATTTTTATACTTATAACAATATTACACTGAACTTTCTTCATTCATTTTCAAAAACATTGATTACTTCTTCCTGGTTAGGATAGGTTTAATTTTTTTTTTTTTAATTTTTATGATTTAAACCAATGTTTTTTTGACGTTAAATAATACCATGGAATAATTTGAATTTTCGCAGAAATTTCTATACAAAAATAAACGAGATGTTTCTAAAAATTAAACAAAATTTTGTTAAATTCTTTACTTGTTTTTTTTAGTTAAAATGTTACAATTTCTATTTAAATCGCCAAAAGCCGTGAGTAAAAAATAACTTATTTTATTCCTTGGAAAATTTTCTATAAAATATATGTAATTTTATTTTAAGAGTTGATAAGAGTTTTTTTTCAAATTATTCTTCAAAAACAAAGTCGACAGTCAAAATATAATAATTAATTTCCCTTATCAACATTCCATATATATATTTCATGGATGGACATAACAGTAAATAACAGTTGACTAACTAATAACAGTTGTTACTTAAACCATTGATTATAAATATAGATAGCCCACTGGCGTGTATTTTTTGCTGCGCGTAAATTGTTGCCGTTGTAGAGCGCTTTTTACTGTTTTTAGTTATGGCGGTTAGTACCGTGAGCGCTGACGAGCTCAAGACGGTCAAGACGAGCTCAAGTGCTGACGGTCTAAAGAGAAAAAATCAATTAACTTTCAATCATACTACTACTTAAATGCGTTTTGTTTGATTAATAGATTTCTTTAATCAAGCCTCTTTATAGAAGTTAATAGGCTTAAAGTCAGCTAAGCTTAAAAAAGCCGGCTCAAAGACTCAACCTTTCATCAATTTAGATTCATTCTGAATTTAAAGCCAAATAAACATTTTGCATACTCTAAGCTATCATTTTAATATAATCAATTGAATACAATGTGTTTTTAAGTTAGAAAATATTAGAACGATGGTTTAACGTACAGGTGTAATAAGTGTATTGATTATAATTTTACAGATGCTTGCAAAATGTAAGTCCATAATGCTTTACCATTTATTGAGTTTAAAAACATATTGATACGGCCTATATATGAATAAGCTTAACGGCCGGTCCCAATAACAAGACGTGTAACTATGTTTACTGATTGTTATTTTTGTTTCCATTGTATTACGTACTTTTGTTTTTGTAATTATTATTTTGTATAAGAAATAGCAAGTAGCTGGTATTTTTATTTCTAAAAGTCACATTCGTGACAGTTTAACAGGCGCTAGCATTGGTATTCACAAGAACGTCAGTCATTCGGGGAGGAAGTATTGTGCAAACCAGTCAGCTCCCAGGTTGGCGATTACTTGGAAAAAAAGGAACACCAACCACCATTGAAAACGCATTGCCATTTCGACGAGTCTTTAACAGGAGCTGAGAAGGTATTGTGTTTTTATTTTTCTGGACCCACGATACCTCCCAAATCCCTGAACCGATTTATTCGTGTAGCATCAGAAATCGTTCCTGAAAGACACTTTATTGGGCCAACAATTTTAAAAGTTCACCCCTTCCCTTTCAAAAAGGATAAACACCTAACAATTTTACACAGTTTAACGGCAGAACCGGTCCATCGATCGACAAAACAGTTTACAATATGTTAATATGTTGCCAAAACCTTAACAATAAGTAAAGGTTATTATTACTCACATAAATATATATATATTTTTAGATTTACTGTGAGCATGAGCCATGACAGTTGCTGTGTAAGTAAATATACAATACAGATGGACAAGTAACCAATATTATAGTATAGTTAAATATTAATAATTTAAAACAACCTATATAAGGATCTGGAATTAACTCCTGTCAAACTGTGGAATAACTTATAAACGTGCTTTTAACGGAATTCAAAGAGGTCCGGTTTTTTTTTAGCCAAAAACCGTCGATTGGTGATGGCGATTTCCACCGAACAGTTAACTCTGGACCCTACATTGCTTGATTTGATAAAAAACCGTTTTCTGAAAACTTATAAAATCGGCCCTTATTAAAAACACATTTTTTTAAATTAATTTAAACTAGTATTGATTGTTGTCTATTGATAATTATCACCCCCACCCGTTCCTACCAAGTCAAGTACTGCGTGGATTAGGTCTGTGTACGATGATGCCGTCATGTCCTCGCCTCATGAACTCAAATTGAAACTGTAACACTCATAGCTAATTCGGTTTACAAATGCATACATAAATCTCAAAAATACCTACATGCGCCTAAACTATATACTTACTAACTAACTATAACTTCCTCAAAGATCAATAGGCACAACACGACCGCGGTGTACTATTGCAAAATCTAATCTTGAACGTTTTGAATTTGACATTTAATAATAATTAAAGTTTTTTTCTATAATTTCGTACAAAAAAAATATTTCCACATTTCATGCCAGCGTATAAGGGTTATAGCTCGCAGGAGTCCCGGCTATGTTTGGGCGTGATTGAGCCGAAAGGTTCTCATGTTGACGTTAAGGGTAGCAGTACCTACTGCTACCCTCAACGTCAACATGAGAACCATGAGACCATGAGGAACCTTCGATATGACCATGTCGACTGCCCCAACGAAAAGAGTCGTATCTCGTTTTTTGTAACTTTCCAGGATGAACCAAACAAACATTCAAATTTAAATTATTATTCTGTTTTCAAACTGATATGTTAAAAACAGAATAAGAATTTAAATTTGAATGTTTGTTTGGTTCATCCTTAAAAGTTGCAAATAACGATGTACGACTCTTTTCGTTGGGGCAGTCGATGTATACTTTGCTCGGCTGGCTTCCGGGTTATAGAACCAAACTATGCTGGTACGCAGGCTCGGGACTGAGGGATTGAATATCCAGGCCCCGATTGTAGAAATCTTTCGGAGGTAGGAAACGAGCCTGGAATGGAATTTGGAGTATTCCGTACGAACACGTTGCTATGTCGACAAACAACGCTTTTATAATTTTTTTTTTATAACTTTTTGGAATAGTACACGTTTTTATACCTCATTTCCACCACAGAAGATACCTCCAACACACATTATATTTCCAATGGCTTTTTATTGGTAAATACAATTCGAAACATCATCGTACACGGAGATACCACGTCAAAAAAAAAACGAGCCAAGTACTCTACCTCACAGGTGGTTTGGAAACGAGTATGAATACCCTGATTATAGGCATATTATATTATGTTGTGCTCAAGCTGACTACATATTTTCAAGTTAAACGTATAATGATTTTCAAGAAGACCGCGTTTTGAAAGATAATTATTGAAAAATATAATTATTAGTTCATAATGCTATACTGTTTATTGCGTTTAAAAACATATAATATTGATACGACGGACGCCGCTTAACTTCAGCTGCCGAACGTCGCCTGGGGTAAGCACTACGTCAAACTATTCGCCCCCTCACGGCTCCCCCCCAAAAAAAAAAAAATTACACACTTAATTCCTAACCACAAAATTGTGTTTTAATTATAACATTACCAACGTCGAAAATGGCGCTGTACACTTTCAATACCACTGCGTGGTACATTTTCCAAGCTCGGCTCATACCATAGACGGCCTTTGCAGCCGTGCCCACCGACATGGGTTCCACTGTAGCCGCGGTAAAGCTTCCCAAGTACACAAGTGCGTCGGCGTGAACGATTTGCCTGTCCAAGTCGTCCACGTCTGAATTGAGGGAAAAGCGAAACAGCTTGTGCTTGACCATGGACTACCAATGTCGACCGCACACCGCTCTTCCAGTTGGCGACACTTGGTAATGCGTTGTTAAACGCAAAGCAACTCTCTGAAAGCTTACGCTTGAAAAAATGCACGGCATTTTGATGGTATGGTATAATTTTTCTCTCGCATTTAAGTTTTTTTTTTTAATAAAAATTATAATGTTGAATATTATTTAAATGAAAATGTTTTGTACTGTGAAATTATATATTCATCGTGTTAATCCAATAATATTAAACATCTTAAAAGGCGCAAAAAACGGGTCTTGCTAAACCAAATAAATATATTTTAATTTTGTTCAAACGCCATTTGATAGGTTATCGTCATTCTTTTTTAAGAGGGGAGTTTGTTATTATTTTTATATCAAACATTACAGTTTTAGTATTATTTTTCAAGAAAATATTTATTAAACACATTTGAAGCTTCACATATTATCGTTCATAACTTTTATCTTTAAAAACTCTTGTTATAATTTTCCTTTTATATTATCAAATTACAATTATCTGGTCATTTTATTTTCACGCCTTACACTTTTAATCCACTTCCTTTGTGTAATGTTATAAATTAAAAATATCACCCTGTATAAAATATATTGTGTTTTCATAACACATTGTGTTGGTTTTCTGAGATTAAACTATACCTATTAAATTGTTTCATGTAAAAAAGAATTACCCACATTTACGGTTGAAATAAAACAACTGCAGTTTGCGATATGCAGGTCATTTGGTTTTGTGGCCAAAAGTAGTTGAACGCCGGACAGATCTCCTTGCATCACCATGCATATGGCTCTTCTAGATGTTTTCCATGACGGCTTGTCATCAATTTGCGAAGACATGGTCCGAAGACAAAAGTGTTTCCAAAATAAACCAAAACCTGTATAGACCAATAGACAAATAGACATATTCATGGTCCAACGTTTTTCCTTCAAGGGAAAAACTAACGAGGTTTTTTATACTTGTTAATAATCAGTTTTAATATGTGTATATATTTCTCATGCTAACAGGTTTTAAAGTTTTAGATTATGTTAAAATAAGGAACATACTTCTATTTCTATGAATTATGATTTAAAAAAACGATTGTGTCTGTATTACAAATTCCAGATTAGCCTCTTCCCCTTCTCACTTTACATCATTTTTTAAACAGCGGCTGAAAATTCCCTATATAAATTCCCTATGGCTACTTTTCACATCACCAACCCTGGCGCATGAAAAAATCATTCGAACTTTGGTATTGCGCTTGGATGTGTAAAGTGCATTTTTTATCGTTTTACCGAAACAAAGTTTGAAAGTTCATAAATGTCATTCCGTACATTCTAACAACTTGACATGGCCTTTAATAGATGTGATATCTAATTAATAATACGGTTGTTGCTGTACTGTTAAGTTTATGGTGGACAATAAATTTGCACACTGAAGAACTACCCAATTAATATTTGTATAGGTACATTTAGATGTGTATAAAATATATAACATGTATAAAATCTTCTTACCATCTTGTATAGAATTCATCTTTGAAAACAGACTAAATTTTAATTTGTATTTTAACAAAACAAACAAAGCTGGTGTGAAAATAACGACAGTCATAAACTTTCACAATAATATAACATGGTTTTGGTAAACATCAAATGAAATAATTCTTGTAACCATAACTATCAGTGTGTTCATTTAACAAATATTTAATACTATACGGTAATTTTTTATTTTACTATGTTGCGTCTGTGTTTGTATATTAATGTTCCTATGTGGCAAGGTGAGGTTTTTAGGAAATTCAGATGGTTAAATTACTAAATTATATAGAGCATAACTTTCGATTATGATGGTATTATAACAATAGGAAGGGTTCAATATTTAATAAGTTTATGCAAAAGCATTGGAAGTAAGGAACCCCAAGTAGCAACACTGGGATACGGATAGCAAATATAGGGTAAAAGTTTTACTTTGTATTTTATCATTCGTAGTGTAGAAAGTATATTAATCAACTAATTAGTAGAAACCGTCTTCGATATATTAACACACGGTTTACGACTGTCCAGTAAAAGCTGCTGAAGAATCGTTTGTGGTAAAAATTCTTTTTTCTTTCAATAGACGAATCAGTATCACATTATACAGCTCGAACATCGACTGAATGTGGTGATCATCTCATACCTTTAACCAGTAATTATACATTGTGAGCCCAATACAATAAAATATATATCAGTGTACGGTTAACCTACCGTCTTACATAAATCACTCTTAAAATCAATCTTAATAGAAAAAAGTAATTTATTAAAACACATTTAGTTACCATAGAGTAGCTCTCAGATCCCATATATGTTGTAAAAAGTATCAAAACATTGGATAATACTATAAAAGGTACACGTTAGGTAATTTTATAACATTGTCAGTAAAATACATCTTTTATTACTCGTATATTTTGAGAATCACCCTGTATTTTATATAAATGTAATATATTTTATAGCGTGAGCATGATTTTTGTATGTTTATCTGTAAAAACAATTACATTAAAATAACAAAACTATATTTTCTACAATATCAAGTTTTACTCAAATTCGGTAGTATATTTAGTAAATAAATTACCGATTTTAACTATAACACTAACGTATGACCTTGCTACGTTAATAAGTACAAAGTCATTTACTATTTTTTGTACCAAACAAACCAGGTTAGGTTTTACAGCATAAAGTCTGGAACGATTTCAACCACACTTACTCGTTATACACATATGCTTACCTACGATCTGATCAACAGAACATTATTTTTATGTATTTTTTCGATACATTATTATTGAGACAAAAAAAAAGTTAAATAATACTTAAACTCCTTGATTTTGATCACATCCAAAAGCTAAGCACATCTAGTATAAAAATATTATGTGTATTATGTAAAGTTGAAAGGTATTTGGTTTTGTCGGACGAGAGAGAACAAAAAAAACAACGTTTCTAAAGTTTTTCAAAATTCTTCTATTTTTTAATAGCTAGTTGATATATTAAAAACAACTTTTTTTTTTTTAATATCACAATACACAAATTTACTACCAGAATATTAATATTGTTGAACACCTGATGCCGGTCAGGTTTAAATGGGTTGATTGAAGATGCTTAATGCGCCTGATGGCCACTTTCCGTAACACTCACAGAAATTCTCGACTCCTTGCACCGTTCCGCACCTACCGTGGGGCGGCGGAGTTTTGTAACCAAATTGACTTTTACACAGTCTTTCGCATTTGCCAGCGTCGCAAGAGTCCCAGGGTGTGACCGGATTCAAGTTCACCAAAAGCAACATTACAAAAATAAAAGCGTACATGGTTGGTTGGTAAATAAGAAAATAAAACGCGGACGGACAACACACGTCTTCTCGCAGTAACCGACTTGTGAGTATTCTTTAAGCCTTTACCGACGTGTGTGATCTATATATATATCGAAACACACAAAAGCGACTTATCTTGGTAAAGCCAGGCCTTTGTAAACTCGACGAGAAAGTCACCGTTATCGCGGTTAGGTTAAATAATAATACAGGGTGATCGATTATTTAACGTAAGACTTTCGTTTTCTTGGCACGGTAACGATTACAATATTGTTTGGTTTTTATTATTGAACAAAACTGTATTTCCGTTATTTTTCACATTACCACTACCAAATTCAAGACGGCAGATGGAGTGCGCAGATAAAAGCAAAATACTACTCTAAGAAAATGAGCGGTTACGTGTAATCGATCACCCTGTATTATATTTCCCAAAGATGTACTTCAATCGCAGAATGCAAAAATTAATGTTTTATCAACAGTAAGCAACATTTTGCACAATGGTTGCACATATTATTGCTGTCGGTCATATTTCCAATAGATTGGCTATGCGGGTTGCATTAACTTTCATTAAAGATTTAATTAATGAACGGATGCTAAGTGGTTGCACGTTCATAATTTGATTACAACGGTATAAATGTGTTTATCATCAAAGCGTATGGATCATAGTCCATAGAAAAAACATTTTGATACCGTTAATGAGAGGAGATCTTCACCTCACCTGCCGTCCTAAATTTTCAATCTTTAGCGACATTGAAAGTAAAATTAGACACCAAAATCTGGTTATCACTTTTAACATATTATTCTCAATTTAAAAAGTTTTAAAAAAAAATGTATGTTTTTGTTATCCATTTTCAACTAATAAATCAATTTCGGTTTTGTGGGTGTCCTAACTGAACAAATCATATAGCCAATAATATAGCCAACAATACTCTTGTAGCTTATAAATATTCCCAAATCCAACATAATGATAATAATAATAATAACAAAAACACGCAATGTTAATCGCTATATAGTGTTTAATACGTATTAACCTAGTTGACTATAAATAATATTTAATTGTACTGCATTGTACTTATATAATAATTAATAAGTACACAGTGAGTATTCGGTTTGTTGTAAAAGGTCAAAACATATAATAGTATATAATATATTATATTATGTTATTTCAGCATAATATTATATTTAGAAACCTTTGATAATTTATACATATTAAAATATGTACTAATAAAATACGCAGTAAGTATTCTCTTTATTAGAAAGTACCACCTAGATAAAATTTGTTATTTGTCATGTTGCTACTCGAAGAAGCTGGGGCCAGTCACAAAAAAAGCACACATCATTGTAAAGCCTATAGTCTCTCAGCTCCGCTTCGAAGCTAATTAAATTTAAAATACAATTGTATAAATAATCATTTTTTTATGAAAAAAAATCAAAATACTCTAGCTGTTAAAATGTATTAATTTAAAACCAGCTATGTAAGTAAAATAAAATAGGCACTCTGCAAAATACATGTTTTTTTTTATTATTTACAGATTAAATTATGACTCATTCCTGGTTTTTAATATCATTTGTCTTAGTATACGTTTCGAAAAATCAACTAGGTAATTATTTTCTTTTCACGCTTACTTATTCAAGGCAGTTGATCATTTATGATTTATGAATAAAAAAACAAAATAATATAGTTAAAATTCTTTTATTTATTATATTTAATGCAAATAGTCTTAGGAACTCCACGTGAGTGTTTTACAAATATATGATTGTATAAAAACCAGCTTTGTAAATAAATTTAAATAAGCACTCTGCAAAACATACTTCGATTTTACTGTGTCGTTCGATATAGAAAGCCACGATAAAGCCACTTCCGAGCAGTTGGTTAATCAAGCATAATCGAGCTGATTGTTTTCTTAAAAATTGTATCACTTCAAAAATTTAAGTAAGTATTACCATAAAGCTTAAAAATGTGTTAGAATTTGTTTTTAATCAAATTACATAGGAAAACAATAAAATTTGCTTTTATTTTCAATAGGCATAAGACTAAAATTGAATTTCATCTTTTGTGTTTTAAATACATATTGAACCCGACTTAATTTTTATTTTTAATAATAAATTAGGTAAAAATAAAATTGGAGATAGGTACTGATAAAAGATTTAAAAAAAAATTTTTAAAAATTGCTGGTTTTTTTACACAATGAATATTACATAGTTAACAGAGACAACATTTTTATTTTTATCCATCTAACCATTAGTGCTGTCCAATAAAGTATCTTTCAAGCTCGATTTCTACCTTGCTGTATAAAAAAAATCAATTTAGTGGACTAAGAATAATAATGGGACTAGTGCAACATATATTTATTTATCAAATAAAAAACAGCCTTGTAATACCAAAACCTTCTCAACTCCACATCGGAGGTAACTGTGACTAACATAAATTGCTTTTATGTTTATGATTATTTACAGATAACAATGAAAATTTTTTGTTTTTTATTATCATTTGTCTTTGTACACGTTACGACGACAGATGAACTAAGTAATTATTTTCTGTTCACTCTTACTTATTTAAGGCTGTTAAAAATGTAAAAAAAAATCAATATTTCACATTTTTACAGCGGATTATAAGAGGGAGGTTTTAATTACAAGTCAGTAACGTTTTTGTTTTATAATAAATACTTTTTAAAGTTTAAAATTTTACTTTTTTGTTAATTATGTATTACAGATGCACACATCGAGCTCGCTTATGATATGAAAAATGTTACTGTAGAAAATACAACTTTTACAAGTAAGATACACTGTTAAGAAGTATGCTAATATATAAATGGTTTTTACGCTTGTCTAACTGTCATATAAGAAATTATATTTTTTATAAAAAGTTTCGAGAAAACACTAGGTATAGAACCAGTGCACTAAACACTGTGTAAATACTAAAATTATAAAAAACAAATCCTTTTTTTTATATTTATATTTAAACTAGCCGTTTCTATAATTATTTTCAACGTCTATTTAAGCTAAATGGTAGTGAAGCGCTGAGTTCCATGGGCATCATTTAGGGCAAGGTGCAATTTTATTCTGATGTTTAATAATATATCTATTTTGATTTTATTTGAAACATCATTTTAAGCCCAGAAATTTGTTTGTTTATACTAGATGGATTGGAACAAGTAATTACAAAAATTGTTAATATTGAAATAAATGACTATAGACTTGATATTGACTATGATCGTCCTTTTTTTGATTTATGGCGAGCAGAAATTGCTATAATGAATATTATGATCGCTGTACCGGGTAATAATTTTCATTAGATATTATGAAAATATTTCAACGAAGTTGTTTAATATTCATTAAGTACACAATAATGATGTTTTTATTTCAGAATACTATGCATACTTTTACGACCTAGACGGTAACCGTACTTATACTTATTAGTTATTTATATATAATATATTTAAATATAATATATATATATATATACTGACATATTGGATTCTTTCAATGCAAAATGTACATTAACGTGTATTTCGTTTTAATTTTCAGAAGCGATAAATATCCAAAGAGGTATGCAAAATGAAATAAGAAGTGAATTAGGTAAATATATATGATTTGTCATTTTTAAGCGAATAATTGTTTACATTTTTTATTTCTTAGTTCTAATGAAAAACGATCACATTTCAATTAAAGTTAAAAATTATAACGGTTTTTTTAGCTTTTTATAATATCTCTAATTATCATTTAAACCGTTCATTCAAATATTGATATTAGAAATAACGTTTTATATTCTTACAATATTTTTCATTAATTAATTGGTATTTGTAATGTCAGTTTTAAAGTAAATATAAAAATTCGGTTTTATTGTAATTTGATATTTAATGTATTTGTTACAGGGATTGCTGTTCCTGCAGTTCCAGACCAAAGTAATTTCGAATTTTTTGATAATATTAAATAGCCTTAAAAACTAGTATTAGAGCTGTCATTTTTAAAAATGCTTTTTGTCAACCAATTAAGTTTGAACAAAGTAATAATGCATCTATTACTATAGGAATGAATAATGATGTTTAAAGCATGTGATATAGGTAAAAATATATTTTTACAATAAAAAATTGGTTTCAATTAGGTATCACCACTAGGAAAAATGATTTTCTTATAAGTCCCATAAACCGGATATTAGGCTATGGTAATAATGTGCTAAATAAATTTGAAATTTTTTCAAATTCTATTTTTGCAGTTTTCGAAGAGTTAGTTTTGACACAACTCGGAGAAGAGAGAAGACGTTTTACTGGAAAAGTTTTAAAAGATATGATGAGCAACGCATTAAGTAAATATGCTCAATAGTTTTTTACTTTTTTCGAGCTCCAATACTAATGACAGCGGTTGTGCAATAAAACAGTATTATGACAGTATTTTGTGATGTAATGCAACTATGTGGATCATGAACAACCATTTAAACATTTTTGCAGATTTAGAGATTTTGAGACCGGTCGGTCTTGTTGAAGAGAGAAGAATTAATCCTACAGTAGCTTTGAATAGAAGAATGGTCCGTTCAGTACGTAAGTATTTATACAAAATTTTCCTAATTATATACAGGCTGTAATGTAAAGTTCTACCGAGCTTCAAATGAGAAACATTTAGGATGCTCTATGAGTACAAAAAATAGTTTTCATTTTTCTTTCATTTTAAAACAAAAAATTCTGCCCCTACTCAATGAAACTTGGATACTCTTTGTGGTCGTATAAACATGCTTTAAGACGGACAGCGTGAAAAAGTGTTTTTTTTTTTAATCGAAACTGGCTAATATATATTTATGGTAATTGTGTCTTGGTCCCAAAAAAAAACAAAATGTGTAACTAGTAAGCTAAATAATTCGCCAAATTAAAACAAGAAATTGTTTTGATATTTTAGATAGCCGTTATCAGGATGACCCTTTATTATGGATGTGTCGTTTAATTGCATTGTGCTTGAGTACAAAATTTCCAACATCGTTTATAAAAAATATTTGTAAAGGCCGTGATAAAACTTGTTACCTGAGTGACGAAATTGAAAGGAATACATGGAAGGCGTACAGAGATTACAACGGCGTATGGTGGCAAGTATACTTCACTAACTTAATAAAGGCCTCTGATCGTAAACTACAGCTACTTGAGGAACAGCTACGATAATATTTAGGTCAGCAATATAATGGTATAACAATTCTACAAATGTATAGTACTATTATTTTTATATTTGAACAGTATTAGCATGGTCGATTATTTCAATGTATTTCATTAAACAGTGTTTTATTCAAGATTATAATCACATGTGTTTGTTTATTCAATTGGAAATATATTTTTATACAAAAATTCATTTATCCTTTGCAGCTATACCCATCTGTTGCTATTACTTATTTGTTTTGTCTTTTTGGTCGAGTCCAAAAAAGTAATGTCTATAAAGAACCTACACAAAATTTGTTTTATTTATATTATGAAGGTATGAAGACACTTGTATCAGCTGTACAGAATAATAATCTAATACGAATATTAAATATAAACGGTTTGTTGTGTCTCCAGTAATATTTACTTTTTGTGACATGTCTTCTTTTTTTTACTCAGTGATTCGGTTAGGTCCAGTTCGGGCAACAACATAATCAGCTACACATTAACAGGGTGATTTATTAATGATATGACACTCGTTTACTTTGAAATAATTGCATTTTGTCATTTTTTTTTCAAGGAACGCGTACAGCTACTTAAAGTCAGACGGTTTAAGGTCTCAGATCTCATACAGGTCACTTTTGTTGTCCCCCAAATAGGCCACTTATCTTCTGTTATTTGTTTAATTTGTAATTAAAATTAGGTTGTATCTATTTTTTTTAAATTTTATAAACCAAAATGTGCAATTTAAACCACACTAACAGTGTGTTATGGTGGATTTTCGATAACGTGAACAAAATATATAGTTTTTGTTTCGCTTAGCAAATAATATTAAAACAAACAAAAAAACATTAATATAGTCTAAAATGATTAATATTTTCAACAAGTGTATAATGACGTGAACTCCACGCCAGGAAAATATATCTGCAAATCATTTTCAAAAGAAAAACCAGCTAAGTAAATAAATTAAAACAGACACTATGCAATTATATTTCGACTTTAACACAGTTAGTTAAAAAAGCTAATCGCATTGATCTATTTCTTAAAAATTGTATTAATCCGATAATTCAGGTAAATATCACTATTAAGCTTAACATTTGTCAAGTAAGTTTATATTATCCGAAAACTATTAAATACATGTATTTTTTAAAAACGTGTTTAAGATACAATAATTGTATTTTATTTTTTGTAAAAAATAATGGCAATAACAGAGCATTAATACAATCTATATAGTTATAAGCAATTTTTCAGCTCACTAAAAAGCAGCTTTGTAAAACCAAAACCTTTTCATCTCTGTACCGGCTGCGACCGTGGCTCATATAAATTGCTATTATGTTTATTATTATTTACAGATAAATATGAAACTTTTCTGGTTTTTAACATCGATTGTCTTCGTGGACGTTTCAACAGACGACCTGAGTATTTTTTTCTGATCACACTTACTTACGTTTTAGGTAGATGAAAATTAAAAAAAAAATCAATATTTCACTTTTTTACAGCCGACTACAAGAGAGAGGTTATCATAACAAGTCAGTGACATTTTTGTTTTTTTAGTTTTCATTCACAATGTTTTAATTTTGTATTACAGACGCACACATCGAGCAGGCTTATTATAAGAATAATTTTACTGTAGGAGATAAAACTGATACAAGTAAGATATAATTTAAATAAGTATGCTAATATATTATAAATGGTTTTTTTTTTATATTTGCCTGACTGTGAAATTAGGCAGTGACTAAGCACTAATAGGGACAGTATCAAAGTTAAAATATGAGCATCGCTTAATAGATAATATGGTGTTATGTTGTTCTGATGATTTATATATTTTTTTTTATTTGATTTGAAACCTATTTGTATAGTCCAAAACTTGTTGAATGTTTCAGACGGATTGGAGCACGTTATTATAAACATTATCGATACCAAAGAATATGATACATGTTTTGCAGGTAATGAAAATTGTAAAATAACATTAAAAAATAATGTGATGACATTAGACAAAATATTTAAAACATTTTATTCAAATTCATCTCCATGCAATTTATGAGTGATGTTAATATGGAAATGTTCTCCATAGTCTAAATGGAATCATTATAAAAGTATACAACCTCGTCTAATCATTATATTTTGTTCAATTGTCACATCTGCTTCAGTTTAGCATTATATTTTCATAAAGTCTTAAATTTATGCAATGTCGATTTCAGGAATGATAATCATGAACATTATGATTGCTGTGCCGGGTAATAATTTCCAATCGCATACTTTTTGAAATACACAGTTGTGTATGATATTCATAGTTCACTAAGTACACAATTTTGTTGTTTTTATTTTCAGAACATTATGCATACATTAGCGACCTAGAGGGTAACCGACCACATGGGATATATGTTTATAAATTGATATTTATGTATTGTATAACCATATGTACATACTTACATATTGGTTTATATCAAAAGAAATAATATCTATAATAAAATGTGCTATGTTTTTATTTGCAGGAGCTAAAGATATCCAAATAGCTATGCAAAATGAAATAAAAAGTAAATTAGGTAAATTTATAAAATTGTTTCAGAAAATTAGAAATAAAATGTATACAATATTTTTCATTATTTATTGGTCTGAATAATATCAGTTTTAGAGTGAATTTGATGATTTCATATTTGATGCATTATATGTTACAGGGATTGATGTTCCCGAAGTTTCAGACCAAAGTAATTCAACTTTAATATCACAATTTCTTGATCAGTAGAATTTAATAAAGTTGTAAATACTATATTTGTCTAATCAATAATGTGATTTGCAATTTTGAAATTATATAGATTTCAGTTGAGGTAAAACTATTCTCATGCTATGAGAATATTTTTAGGCTCTCTGAGTCTCAAGCACAGAAAGAATACATTATTTTAGTTCAATACTAATGGCTGGTTGTGCACAAGAATTAGTTAAAATATAGTTCTTCAAAAAAAGGAATTCAACTAATTTATTTTCTATTTTTCATTATTAACACAGTCTGTTTAATAGCTTTAGCAAAATTCGATAACATAGATTTGGAACAACTCGGGGAAGAGAGAAGACGTTTAACTGGAAAAGCTTTAAAAAATATGATGATCCATGCATTAGGTAAATATTAACAAAGTATTGTAATGGTTTTTAAACATATTATATTATATTCTCATTAAGTAAGAACACTTCCTTCAAATCCCAATACTAATACAGTTTTCTGATTGAGCGATGAAATTACTATTATCACAGTTCTTGTAAAAGTATAATTGACTATTTGACATTAGCAACTTATTTACAAATTTTGCAGATTTTGAAAATATGACCGGTCTTATTGAAAAAAGAAAAATATTTCCTACAGAATTAGTAAAAAATAGAATAGTCCGGTACGCAGGTAATTATTATAATCAACTATAAGTAATTATATTAGTGTAGGTACACTTTCCTATTGTGAATAAAAACTTGAACTGCAAACTTCACGACTTAGGTGATGGAAAAAAAATCTGAAAAAATTAAGGAAAGATTTGCCAAATTAAAAAAGAAATTGTTTCGATTGTTTAGATAGCCGTATACAGGAAAGTCCTTTATTGCGGATGTGTCGTTTAATAGCGTTGTTTATGACTACTAAAACGCCAACAGCATTTATAAAATCTGTCCTGACCGGCTCGAAAAGAACTTGTTGCCTTACTGATGTACTTACAACGAGTAAAACATACAGAGAAATCGACGGCGTATGGTGGCAAGTAAGCACCAATGCCATTGATGACAGACTACAACTACTCAAAAAAGAGTTGTGATAATTATTTAGACCACAAATCGATGGTATATAATAACTTTTCTAAAAAATTTAATAGCACTATTATTGTTAAATTTTAAGTAATACTTGCATTTTGTACTAAATATCGAAGTTTTTAATTAATTTAATGTATTTCTTAATAAACAGTTTCACTCAAGATCATAAACGCGTTTGTTTATGTATGTATGTTGATTTTTAAATATATACTTTATACTTATGATACTACTTCTTACCGTGTTAAACAATTAGTGTAAGTAACACAGTGAAGAAACAATAAAAAAATAAAAACACAACATGTAGTATATTGTTTATAATATGTATAAGTTATTTATTTTAAAATATTACAAACGCGTCGATACACGTGTTAGGTATATTAAATTATTGTTTGTCTATAAAATTATGATTTAATAAAAATTAAAAAAATTAAAACACCGTTAAAAAAAGAGCGTCGCAAGCGTACTTTACTTTACATAGTAATATACGTGTGTTATGCATATATATATCATTTTTTTTAAGATATCGTTGTAAAATATCATTATAAATTGTTATTTATATTATACTACAATTATAGTGTACTATGCTAATATACTGCTAACTTATTATAATGTTCTAACACGAATACATTACATACAACATATTATTATCGTTGTTTTACATACATTAGACAAGCCCGATTTGACTTGAAACGATTAAATATTACTATACATAAATATATATTGTCCTCGTCGAGTTTTATCGATTGTTTTCGATAATAAATATATATTTTTTTAATAGCAGCTCATCTAAAAGTTCATATTAAAACCGCGGTAATGATTGCATGATTTGATAAAAAAATAAAAACATAAATTGACAATTAACGATATGAATTTGAACATCTTTTTAAGTACATTATTTGATTTGATTTCTAATCAACAAGTTAGTTTTTACCATTTTTTTACTGTGCTTGAAAATAAAAAAATTATCAAACGTGAAGCAAAATGAAGCAAAACCGGTGGTTCCTGTTGTTAATAAATTAACAAGAGCTGTTAAGTATTTTTAATTGTTTTTTTAATTAAAATTGAAACCTAAAAATTAGGTTGTATCTATCATTGTTTGTGTTTTGTCAGCAATAATAGCAAAATATGAACAAAACTGAGCAAATTAAACCACACGGGTACAGATACTTGATTATATTTGGTCTACATTTTAAGGGGACGTTTCGATATGTCGCTCTCATAATTTCTATACAAGGAGAAAATATACATAGTAGGCCGAACTAAATGTGTAGTTGCTTTAGCTAAATGTTTAGTTGGGCCAATTATGTATTTTTTCCTGCGTAGATTACAGGTAGGTACTATCAGTAAGGCTAGTGTTGAAAATAATATGTAAAATTCAAGATATGGATAGATATGGATTTGTCTCATTAAGTAGTAATACAAGGGATAACGTCGAGAAATATTAATTATAAATAGTTAAAATTATTATTCAAAGAAGAATGTATTACATTTATTTGTAAATTTAATTTTAACAGGAATACGTTTTATAACTAGGGATGAGTTCTGTCACGGAAGTGTATGATATGATATAAGGAAGGTTTTAATTGAACTTTTTTTAACCTAACCTACAAAACTACCTACTCCATAGTATGTGATATGTCTAAAGCTCAATTTTTTATAAAACTAACATTCTTATTTTAACAGTTTATACTTTACCGGAAACCAAACCTTTTCGATTTTAAAAAATTCTAATCAGAAATCATAATCAATCTTCACATCATAATACGCGTAAAACTAGGATTTACCCGTTCAAACAAACATGGAACTACTCTAAACTCCGGCACTCCCAACACGTCTAATTTAAAAGCTTGAAAGGGGAAACCCATTAAAGAATAACAAAAAAAATTATCACAAATAAATAAAATAAGGTTTTTTAAGCGAAGAATGAAAACAAACAATCTTATTGAACATTAACCTTACAATGTGGTGTAATCTATAATATCTAATGTCTAGTCTAAGTACATTTTGTGTGTGTCGATAATTTTAAGGGTCACCCGGATAAATACTAATGTAAAAAAAAAGAATATTAAAAAAAAAATTGAACACTTGATTTCGACCATAATATTATTATGTACTTATACACTGGCCAGCTGCGATAGAATACATCTGCGCAAAAACCAAAATGCGTTACTGTCGTATGCGCGTGCGCAGCCAAGAGTAACGCGTTTTTTTTTTACTGCGCCGGTGCGTTCACTCGCTGAACAGAGTAAACGATTGGCAAGTACAAAAATGTCAATTTTCGATAAAATCGTGACCTACGAAAACACATAGTATTGTTATTACAACAACGGCCGGTATTGTAATGAAACCAAAAACAAATTACAAAATATTACAACCCACAGCAGTTGTTGTGTAAACGAATATAATCGGCCTTAATCGTTACGAATTTGCTTACAACGCGAACACCTACAATTAACGTTATCGGCCGGTGTCGCCTAAGAACTACTGTAGTTGGTTTCTTCGAACGACTTGTCGATGGACAAAATGTCGGAACACGTTACGGACAGCGACAGTTTGCTGTCGGCCTTGTGACCGGCCGAACCCGCCCGGTGGATGGCCGGGTGTTCCGGACGCTGTGGCAACGCGACGGCCGAACCGGTGGTGGCACTCCTTGGCGGCGGCCACTCGCCGCTGCCGCCGGTCATTATTTCGTTGGACGACCGCCAACCGCCGCCGCAGCCGGGCGATCCGGAACGTCTGCGGGCCACTACTTCGGAACTGCTGGAGTTCTGCCGCCTTTTCCATTGCCGTGACTCGGCCACGTGCGGCACGTCACATGTGGCCGACCGCGTGCCCCACTTGGCCCTGTGCCGTTCGGCCGCGTACGCGATTATGGCGTCGTCCAGTTCCACCGGCGTCTGCCTGCGGAGCACGTGCCGACGGGCCGTGTCCGAGCGCCGACTCCTGTCCCGCACCCTCATCGTCACCGGACACTCGTTGGGCACGTGCAAGTCCAGCGCCATCGACCCCTGCGAGCCCCTCGCCGCCGCCCTCGGGTCGTTCATCGACTCCCGGCTGCCCCTGTTCAACAGCCCGGAACTGTTGTGCCGGGTCCGGGGCGGCGAGAAGAACGGGCTGTAGTCTTGGTTGTCCATCGACATGGCTTGCCGGCGCAACGTGTGCGGGCTGAGCAACGCGCGTCCTCCGGGCGACAGCAGCACGTGCACGGCCGGTTTGTGCCGGAGCGGCAACCGTCCGGGCGGCGGTCGCGAACCGGCCGCCAGGTTCGGTGCCGACGGGCTCTTGTTGATTTTGTGCCGGCCGCCGTCGCAAGGGTTCTGGTAACTGCTGCGGCCGCTGTCGCCGCGCGAAGGATACCCAACGGACGGCGTGTGTCGACTGTGCCGGTGTCCGGCGGCGGCCGCCATCCCGCTCCCGCCGCCGCCCATGATCTTCAACTGACTTGACATGAACTTGGCCGCCCGGTCACGCGCCTCGAACGTCATCACGCACGCCGCCACAACAATGAAACCTAAAACAGACAACACGTTTCTTTAATATAAGCATATAAATCAACGTGGATATAATTTTGAGCTGGAAGTCTATCTGACGTCTAGTGACATTGTAACGTTAGGTTAGATAAGGTCTGTGAGGGTAGAGGATATGAGAAGAGAAGGAGTAGGAAAGTATGTGCTGATAAGGGGCTAATGATAAGAAAAACAGCTGATAATGATTAACGTCATCGCGACACCGGAAAGTGAAAGTGAGAGGAGAATAAAGTAAAAGTGAGGGTAGGGGAGGGGCAGGAGAGATCCCCCGACATTGATTGATGAATTTTTCATTTTTCATTTCAACCCATCACATTCATGTTATTTAATATATTTTGTAATAATTTATCGATTATGTTATGCGTTATTAATTTTCCAATTATACATGATGTACCGTGAACGTTATCAATTGCAAACATTTTTATAGAAATCGAAAATGTTCGTGTAATACTATGATCGATTGTGGGTTAGAAATATTACATTTTTTTCGAACGAATAACAAACTTAATATTATGTAGGCGGACTAAAGAATGCGTCGGTGTTGTGAGTATGATAAATATAAAAATAATATATTCCAAGCAGCGCCTCCCCCTTCTGTCAAAACTGTTATACTGCTAATAAAACACCTAAAGTATATTTATACAAAACTCGTTATCGACCAGTCAACACCCTACTCTTATAACTAATACCTTTATTAAATAAAAATATTTGTTTAGCAAAAATATGTTTTAAATGGCTGTCGGGTCAGTTCAAAATTTGTGTAATATTTTTCGTGTGTTCTATTAAAAAAAAAAAAATTTATAGTAAAAATAATGCATGATGATAACAATAGTAAAAAATGTCAAGTATAATATTTTATCATCATCGTATAAGCTTAACGGTCCTTGAAGACCCAACACTGTCATTATGATACCATGGTGTAATATTATAATAGGGTAGGTATTATTAATTCATACTGTTATAAAGTAGATATTTATTATTTACACACCGCCAGACGGTTTAATTTTGAAATATTTTACAAACATTATTCAAGTATACATTCGGGGTTGGGTACAATTTAATTACTTAGGTTGTGCAATGCTCAGTTGAGCCGGTTTACACAGCGTTAAGTTCACTAATATAATTATACAAAGATACATATTTATTATATTATAATTTATAGACCAAGATCAATTTATAGACATTAAGGACCAGACACTCATTTTCTCGGAAAATAATTTAATAATTTTTTTATTTTTGAAAATATTTTTTGTTTATTTTATTTTACAACATTATAAAATTACCAAGTAGTTACCTTTTTTTTTAGTATTTTCCAAAACTATATCGACTTTTAAAACTTAAACGGTAATGTATCTAAATAATTAACTTTTTAAATACAAAATAATATGATGGCAATCTTGACTGTTCGATAACAATTAGTTGGATAATTAGGTACTTTTATAGTTAAGCTAGGCATTTGCAATTTTAAAGATTTCTTATTTGAAAATACTAAAAAAGGCTGTCGATTGAAGGGGAGGGGGAAGTAAAAAAAGTTTTTTTAGACACAGTCTAATATATTTAATATATACTCTACTTGTCTAACTCGCCAAGGAGACGGCAAGGTCGAACAAACTTATGTAACATGCCATTAATACTATGTTTGTTAGTTTAGAAATCCTTACACCATAATATGATTACCGTGTTTAGGAAATTACT